TGTTACTTTCCTTAACTTTTCTTTTGACTGTTGTAGTATTTTTATACATAGCCATGGCGACTATTTTCAGCCATTCTTCAATCTATAAATACTTAAACCTCACCATGTTATATCTCTTGGTGCTCTTAGTCAAAAGTTTTTTTTAATGTTACTGCCAGCCATAAATCATTTTTCTTTTTCAAATTTGTCATTTTTTCTTGTCAAATTTGTTATTGTTAACTTCCTATGTAGGTAAAACCTCAAATCATTTGGGGTTTTATCTTCATAGAAAGTTAACACTAACTGAAGACCTGCACTGTCAGAAGCTTTCAACATTTCAGCTAATACGCTAGAAAGACCAGTTAATTTGCTTAACTGAGCTTAATGAATAGCAGATTTATAAAGTTACAGTTATTACCTCTGCTGTTCCACTAATCTTGTTCATTGCAGACTTATCCATTATTTGATTTTTTCAAATTTCCCTCTTTTTACCTTTGTCTGTAAGTATTTTTATTTTCATGCCCTTTAATATTTCAAATCTCACCAAATAACTTCAGCTTATCTGATTGTGCTTTGTAAACAGATTTCTTACGCTTATTCAGAGCATTACAAAAGCTTTAATCTTTCTTCGCATTTTATTTCTTTATATATGTTTCTTTCTGTATCTTTCTTTTATTTTTCCATATAATTTCTAAATAGTTTTCTTTCCTGTTTTCTTGTTTTTCTTGAAATTTCTCCTCGAAATAAACTTTATACTTCGTCTTCTTTTTATTTTCAAATTCTGGAAATTAAAAGTAGATAAAGTACTTAAAAAAATTATTTTATTTGCCAATTTGGCAAATAAAATAATTTCTCTATTTTTTTCCTGCAATAAACTCACTAACCTAACCTTTGATGTTACATTGATATCACACAGTCGCTTAAACATAATGTATTATTAAATAATAATAAATATTCTAGCAGTCAGGGCCCGCGGAAAAAAGAATTTAGTAGGTTTATTTCCTTCACCTAATCAATTATTTTTTTATTTGATCATCACCGCAGCACTATGTTAATTTTTGTTAAAATGAATTATTAAAAGTACACTCATACTCTTTTCCAAAATTTGATTTCAATTATTAAAATAATAAATCATATTTTATGTGAAATAAAATTTCAATAGCTTTTAGTAATTGGTACAAAGAATATAATTTCCTTTCTTTTAGATTACTTTTAATGACTTAATAACTTGTTACTTGATAATTATTTTTAAATTACCTTTAAACTGAGTTGATTTTGTTAATTTTGATTCTTTATCTGAGATTTTTTATATGCCTAAGCGCTTTGTTTATGATTTAAAAGGTCTGGCAAATGTTTAACTAATAAAATCATTTCTGTTATCATCAATAAAAAAAAAGTTTTTAAAACATGTTCATTTATGACAAATTTGTCATTTTATATATTTATTCATATATGACATGTTCATTATGACAAATTGCATAAATTTGTGCTAGTTTAATGCATTTTTGAAATTTTTTTAATTAGTAATTTTTAAAATAGTAGTAGCATGTATATTTTATTAAAAGCTCTTCTACCTAAATAATACATATCACCCAAACTAAGTGAGCTAATAGAAAAAAATTATCTAAGATAACAGCTTCAGTAAAAACTTATTTTGGAGTAACTCTTAAATATTTTGTAACAAATTGTATTATGTCATGTACTGTGAACCAATAACTATTGTTAAAAGAAGTTACATGTTAATAAGCATTGTTATTGATACATTGTTGTTGATGTTTGATTATTAACTATTATCAATAAAATCAAAAAAATTTTAAAGTATAAAAAGGGAAAAATAAATCATGGAAATTTGAGCAAAGAATTTTATTAAAATTTCTTAAATTAAAGAAATTTTAAGCAAACTTCCTGTTTGCTTAAAAAGCGAATTAAAAACAAAACAAAACTAAATACTTCAACTTAAGGTACAATTTTAGTTAAGAAACGATTTTGCTAAGTTTTCTAAAATGAGTCCTTATTGTAATATCAAAAAAAATCTAATAGCTAAGTTATCCAGGTTTATTTTCAGAGGTGACATAAAAATAGTTTTTAATAACTTCATTATATGCAAGTGTTAAATTTCATTTTTTGTGTGTTAAAAATAACTAAATAGTCGTCGTCATCATCATCATCATCATCATCATCATCATCATCATCATCATCATCATCACCATCATATAACAAAAGACTCTTCATTATTGCAATAATATGTTAACATGACAAATATTATTAATTTTAAAAAATTACTAAATAAAGGTTTTAATTTGAATAAAGTTTTATCTGCAGTGAATAAGATTAATAGCAGAACTAATAACATCAAATCAACAAAGGTTAAAAATTTTGGTCCTTCTTGCGTGTTTGCTGAGATGTTAAATGCTTTAGGGAATTCAGGTATTCAGTTGATGTCATATTTTTGCAACGCAATTATTCATGAAGATAAAAGTAATTAGAAGAAAAGCTGGATATCAAAGATTTATAAAAGAGGCAAAGACACACTAGAATTTTTTTCATATAAAATTTCAACAAAATTGTCAAAGAAAAATTTAGAAAAACCTTTTTTTCAACAAAATAAAAGCAGTGTATTTATCTATAACATGCAGTTTGGTTTTATAGTAGGAAAAAGAACAACAAATACAATATTTACTGTGGTGCAAGTTTAAGAAAGAGAGGTATTGTGGTAGGTTTCGGAGTATTTAGGTGTTAAGGAATGGCTGGCAAGAGTTAATATGGTGTGTAAAAGACATCACAACATTCAAAACAAAAAATCAAAAGTGATACTTTAAAGTAATAGGTTGTGTGCATCAAGGTTCAGTGCTCACTCTTTTATTTTTAATAATATTTTAGAAAATCTCTCAACATTGGTTGACTATGAAAACTATTCAGATGACTAATGTTTGATTGCAGAGAAAAAAGTTAGAATTAATACTAAAAATTTGTATTGAAAAAATGGAATGAAACCAAAAAGGCTTATAATAGACAATAAATATATATACATATATATATATATATATATATATATATATATATATATATATATATATATATATATATATATATATATATATATATATATATATATATATATATATATATATATATATATATATATATATATATATATATATATATATATATATATATATATATATATATATATATATATATATATATATATATATTAGGGTGGGTCAAAAAAATTTTTTTTTTTTGTTACAGGCTCTAAACATTGCTAATAGTTATTAATATTGATACTATCAAATATGAGAATGATTGTGATAGATTTAAAGGGCTCAAAACTCAAAAGAAGCAAAATTTTATAAAAAATTCGAAAATAATAATCGTTTTATAAAAATCATATTGCTAAAAAAAATTGTTATTAAAAAACATGTAAAAATGCACCTTTTTCACTTTTAGTTAAAAAACTATAGTTATTATGCAATAAAATCTAAAATAATAATTTTATATGAAAAAATTATTATTTTTGAAATTTTTATAAAATTTCACTTTATTTGAGTACCTACATCACATAATTTTGATAAACTTTTTTTTTGAATAATAATAGGGCCTGCTAATTTTTGTAATTATAGTTGCGGGTGGAAGACATTGTTCAATCCATAAAAGTAAATACTTTCCTAAATTAGTACATAAAAAAACAACTTTCTAGCAATGTTTAGAGCCTGTAGCAAGAAAAAAAAAATTTATGACTTGTCCTAATATATATATATATATATATATATATATATATATATATATATATATATATATATATATATATATATATATATATATATATATATATATATATATATATATATATATATATATATATATATGTGTGTGTATATATATATATTTGTTTTTTCTCATCTAACCTTTTATTTATTTATTTATTGATCTATTTTGTGATTATTTCACTTTATATTGATCACTCTCAAATCGAAAGAGTTGATTATTATCAAATAATCAAAACAACAATATATATATATATATATATATATATATATATATATATATATATATATATATATATATATATATATATATATATATATATATATATATATATATACACACACACACATACATACACAAATATTATAGAATTATAGGATATAATCTGTAAGAATAGTGCTATATATATTTATAATTATAGAATAAAATATTTTATATATTCTGCATAGCTTTTCTTTCTGTAATATGCATAAATATTCAATTCAATATTTTTGCTTGATTGCAAAAGAAGAATTATTACTAACATTTCATTGTTTAAAAAATGGAATGGAAGCAAAAAGGTTTAAAATAAACATAAATAAGACAAAATTTAAATATAGTAAAGTCAAAAATAAGCAAGAATTATTTTTATTAATCTGTTTTACAGTTCAGGAAACTTCTTTTGTAACTATTACCTGGAACATTGCCATCCAAGGTTATCAAGCTCCTCATGTCCTTACCACACTACTATGGGATTTTACTTCATAGTTTTCCATCTTCTAGTTGTATTGTCTAAAAGGTTTTGTATGTATGCAGCGCTCGAAATAACGGTCGATCAACAATCAATGATTGGCTATTTTTAGCGAAATTTCAAAAAGATCATGGGAAAATAACCTGTTTTTGTGAAAAAATTACATTTGATTGGCAAGCTTTGAAAAACTGTTTCGAGCGCTGTGTATGTTTTACAGAAACATTTTTCTTATTTGATCAGTTTAACCACAACACTTTATTTAGAGGTCTGTAGAGGTCAAATTTTTTTTAAAGAAATTTTTGTTGTTTGTTTGTAATACTTGTTATCAAAATTTCAAATTTTTAATTTTTTTATAAGATTTGTCTGTCATCTTGACAGGTAAGAATTCAATTTGGGAGGGCAAAATTTCACTTCGCTTGAAACCTGAGATACTTAACAGTTTTGTTCAAAGTGGAAAAAAAAAATGTTTTCAGATCTACTAAACTTATTATTAAATATGTTCATTTGTTGACGAAAAATACTAAATATGCAAGCAAATATGCAGATATTGTAAAATAAATTCAATCAATTACATTTGAACAATTTACTAAATTCTTTTTGTTTAGTTTTCGGTCCTTCCTTGCTAGAGCACTGCTTACTTGAAGGAGGGTTTAGTCCATCTACTAAACTATCACAAATCAACACCAGCGATAAACAAGGTAGGTTTATTTGAAAATTAATTTTAATTGTTAAATAACTGTATGTTGTAAATTATTTTTTTGTGTGTTTAGAAATATCAAAGCTTTACTCTTCCTTACAAATTGGTGATAACATATTAAAAAATATTTCATCAAAAGAGGGAGAGGTATTAGTTTTTGTTGATATATATATATTTATTTATTTTTTTTAGAATTTTAAAAGTTCCAAAAAATGTTCTTTAAAGACTTGTTATTTATTTATATTATTTAAAATTTTAGGGTTATTTAATACAAAAAAAAGAAAGTAACGCCAATGCTGTTGGTGAAAAGGATTTACTTATGTAAGTTATTTTTGCTATCAAAATATACTTTAAATAGCACAAAATGATTACAAATCTCAACAGTATAAAGATCTATTACAAATATCTCATTTTAATAATGTTAGTTAAAAAAAAATAGTTCCTATTTTTTGTTGAATTTATATTTGTTTGTTAATTTTGACAAGTTGATTTCAAAAAGTTTTTTATATTTGGTTTTAATATTCTTTTTTTATTGAAATAATATCAGTAAAATATCAAAAACAATTTAATTGTTTGTATCATTATTTTTTATCATTTTTTATCATGTTAATCATATGTTAGTATGGGTCATTCCATGTTAAATGGAGTAAAGGTCCTCTATGGACCATCTCAGATTTTGCTAAAATGTATTGATTTTGTACACATCTATTAGAAAGCGTGTTATGAAGATTTCAGATTAAAATCTAATACAGTTCTTGAGTAAACACTATTTAAGTAACTTTTTTGCAACATCACATTGTAAATCCTTGTGATCAAGAAACTTTATAATAGAGATACAATTCTTCTTCTTAAAAACTGGGACACCAGAGTTTTATACCAACTACTCTACTAATTAAAAATGAGATTCATTTGATGATGTTTGCACGAATGTAGATAATTTTCCCTGCAGAATCCATGTTATGAAATTTGAAGTTACACACCAGAAACATGTGACTGCATTAAGGAAATATTTCAGAAGAGCATCAAGATCTTAATATTAAATTTATGAAAAAGTCTTCTTTACATAGCAAATTCACGTGGCCAAGCAGAGATCTCTGTTAGGTACCTTTAATGCATTTTTTATGAAATCTTTATTATCTTAAAGTCCAGTATAACAGACAAAGATGTTATTATATTGACTTGAAAAAAATCAATGAAATTTATATTTGAGCATGGTCTACTTAAATATGCAACAGTGTTGCTTACAAGAAAAACAGTTGGCCAGTTTTTACAGTTTAATTTTATTAATGACCAAAACAAATATTATCTAAATACTAAAGAAAGCAAATATATATACATATAAGCAAAAATAACAATACAGCTATTGAAAAATATAACCTTTCAAAAAAGTAAAATTGTTTGAACAAAAAATACATGTAGCAGAACCTAATCCACCATATAATAGTTTTAGAAAATAAAAACAATTATGAATTTGCAAAGCAAAACAAAAATTAAATATTCAGAATCCAAACAATAGTATATCTATAGCAAATCATAAATAAGTTTATTTTTTGTTGTGTCAATGCTTTTACTTTATATCTTTTAAATCAATTTGAATTGATTGTTTATTATTATAAAATATATTTATAACAGTCTTGTAAACCAGGGATTATCTTTTTCGGAATATTTCCGGAGTTTTGGATATTTTTTTCAACTTTAAGTTTTTCCAGATATCCAAAACATTTTCAATACATGCAAGTTAAGGTATATATTTTTGTAATTTTATACTTTTTTATACTTTTTCAATCATCACTCATAAAAAAATTATGAAAAGTTTGAAAAAAATTTAACTAAACTTAGCTAAAAGTAAAATTAAAAGAAAATAAGGGACAACAAATTCCGGATTTTTTCTGGATATTTAATGCAAACAATTTTTTTGGATTTTTAAAATATAACTTGGTTGATCTATGGTGAATATACTGCCTTCCTGTTTATGAATCGCCAAGACACATAAGACAAGTGTTATTTTTAAACAGTTCAAGTGCAACTAGAGCTGAGCATTTTAGTTTGTTGGTATATTTGGTTAATAATAACTTTTTTGTGGTGTCTAATATTCAAAATAAGTACCAAATATATTCTGCCATGTTTTCATAAAGTTCTCTTTTTCACTAAAACTCCCCTTCAGGGTAATTTGATATAAAGTGAAGATATTTTATTAGTTTAAAGAAGATCTTGCCGCAAAGAACATTTGAATTTGGATTTAATTTTTGTTTTGTTATGCAAGCAATAAACTAAAAACTTCTTTTAAACTTTTACATAAATCATATTCTTCTATTTCATTTCACATAAATCAATTCTTCTATTTCATTTTGTAATAAAAGTAGGCTGTTTCTAGTTCTTTTACATCATTTTTTACTTTATTATTTAACCATTTATTCAAAGCATGATTTTCTTTAATTATAGATTTTAAGCTGATTATTTTTTTAGAACTTTCAACTTCATGCTAACTTAAAAAAATCTTTTCACCATATTACTGCCTAAGTTTCCCAAAAATTTTTCTAGAGGATTTGAAATCTGCTGATCAAAATGTGTTAACAATTTTGATGCCTGAGCATTTGATGCCTGAGCAGACATCCTTGTAAATTTGTATAATACTATTCACTTATATCTTAACAAAGGGCATTTAAAACTGAGGCCTTTGATCATTTGAAGCAACAGCATTTCCTATTTTGTTATTAGTATTATATATATTCTTTAAATTTGAAATTGTCCACTAATTATTTATTAAATATAGAAAATTAGCAGCACTTATTTTTTTTGGAAAATAACTTTTAATGGCAGAATACATTGACTCATAGAAAATTTGCAAAGCAAGCTCGCATTGCAAATTTTTCATTTTTACATTTAGGTAAAAATAACACTTTGTTTATTTTTACTCGAATGTAAATCACTTCGAGTAAGTTTGCAAATATTCTTTAAATTAGCAGGCAATAAGTTATTTTTTTCATTAGCTTGGTAAAATGACTGCCACTAATAATAGCCAGCATCAGCATTAATTGTATCCTCAAGTTTGTCAAAGCTAAATGTTGGAAAAATAAACCTCTTCGAATGTAATAGATTATTTCAGATGATTTTAAAAATACATAGTACACTATCAATGTGTATATTTTATTTTGTTTATAATAAAAAATAGGTCTCTGTAGAATTGTACTTTGAGGTTTTTAAATGCGATGTTTTTAAACATATTGGTTGAATGGTTGTCTGTAATAATTACGTAAATTTTTAAAGTTAGTATCAAAAATATTTTTTATACATTCTTCAATTTCTGTCATCAACCAATTTCCAGAAATTCTTGTTTCAGGACATGCTGAATTTTACAATCATGATATTGAACACTTTTTTGCAAGTACATTTCAATTAACAAAACTAAATATAAGCTTATTGATGCTCTCAATGTCAGTTGATTTTGTTATTTTTTCAATAGTAACACTTTAAAAAATAACGCCATTATATTTTCTTGAATAAAAAATTTTGAGGGCAAAATTTTTCTCTAAAGTCTCAGAATAAATCTTATCTTGTATTTCGAAAACCACTGTTTCATCTAGCAATAAATAACAAAAAAGGTAGGAAGTAAAGTTGCTTTAAAAAACCATCTTTATTTGTATGAATTGTTGGAATAAGGTTCATTTTCTAGAGTCTAGAGTCTTTTATTTGCCTTGTTTGATAAATTTTTCTTCAAAATGATCAATACATATTCTAAAGAATTTGATGGTATCCAATTAATTCTGTTTATAAACCTAATCCACCTAGATTATATCTGAGGACTTTGAATGGAATGCTTTTTTTTCAGTTCAGTTATAAAATTCAGTTTTAGTTATAAAACTGTTTAGTTGATTTTTATTATTGTAACTGTTTCCGCAAGCAACTATTTTTTAGGCATTTTATATGACAAATTATTTTAAAATGTAAAAAAAAGTTCTTGTTTCAATCACTATAGTTATAATTCTTTCATAAATCACTTCAAAAACAAACAAAGAACTTAACGAAAAACTGACCTACTAATTGTCGAACTTGTAAGAACCAGGGGTGTGGAGTCGTAAAAAAAAAAAGTAACGACTCCGACTCCAGTTGTTGAAATTTTTTGAGTACAACTCCAACTCTGACTCCAAAGCAAAATTTTTGAAAAATTCTTTGAATTTTTGAAAAAATATTGCGCGATAAGTTGAAATTTTTTTTTGACAAATTTATGAAGCATTCTTTGAGGTTTAGTATGAACATAAGGTCAATTGAATGTTTTGTACATGCACTTACAATACCAAGAAATTTAACTATTGGAGTCGGAGTCGCAATATTTTTTAGCGACTCCGACTCTGCTAAAATTGTCGCAACTCCGACTCCACAGCTCTGGTAAGAACAAGTCTTGCTGTGTATTAAATAGAACATGATTTAAGAAAAAAAAAATTTTAATTTTATTCATTTTGTTTATTGTTTTTAATTAATTTTGTATAAATGTGTGTATATATATATATATATATATATATATATATATATATATATATATATATATATATATATATATATATATATATATATATATATGTATATACACATATTTAAACAAGTGCACGACACTAATTATCTTCTAATATTTAGTATCATGCATTTTGTATTGAAAACCTATGTAAATTTTTTTCATCACTTTAATTTACAAATGGTAAAATATTTTGTTTGTTTTTTGTTTAAAAAAATTGTGTGCAAAGAAGGAGTCATATAATTTTATCTGTTAGGGTTGAAAGAAAATAAACATTTATCAATACTTTTTAATTACCACTTCATAACAAATTGTTTAATTCTATACAACTTTTTTGTTTTTTAAGTTTTAAAAAGACCAACAAGTTATTTTAAATTGTTTTTGTCAAAAGTTTACCTAACTTATAGATACTATAAATGCGACTATAAATAACTATCCTTAAATTACGTCATGCAATTTTTGACTGTTTTTGACCGACCAACCCCCCACCTCTCTCCCTTCCTTGTCACAAAATCGTAACACTTAATTAGCAAGTTTTGTATGAGTCATCACAAAACCACTTACCCCCTCCCCCCTATAGACTCTAAAATTCTTAGTGCTTAACTGATTTTTTTTCCTGTTTGCTGGATAATGGCAACTGTGACTCCAATATTTGAACTCTGTAGATCGCTTAAACACTCTCCCTAATCAGTCATCTTACTATTAATTTTTAATCAGTTTTCTAACTATTATTAGTTTAGAATCTTTAATTAACTTCTTGTATCTCATCTTGAGTCTAATAACTTGCTCTCTGAAAATGTTGGTTTCATTTCTTTTATTCTTCTGCTGACTTGTTAACCAATTACATTCTTCTGCTGACTTGTTAACTGAAAAGTTCTGTCCTACTATAGATAAATGAGGCAAGGGCTATTGCACTTAATGTACCAATGGTTTTTGATAAAGACTGACATGCTGGTCTTCTCTACCAGTTCACTAATATAAATATAAACAATCCATTTATTTTTTCAGTTTTTAATAATAAACATTTTTCCATTAATATGTTTAAGAAATTTTAAAAAAAAAAAAGATGCTATCTTAGGTAATAGATGCTTTGTGTCAGGGACAAATTTTAAAAAATTCCTGATTCACTGTATATTAATGGCTTATAACTTTTAAATACAGCTCTCTAATCTACTAAATTTTTAAAAAAATTATCTACCACGCTTAGATCAATAAGAATTTTGATTCTTGTTGAATCTAGTTTTTAAGATTAGGCTCTTTAAAAAAATACAAATACTTTAATTCCAAAACAAAAGTATCATCTTCAGCACGCCATAATGGAAGAAGCTAAAATGTGAGATTAAATTTTTTTTTTGTTTTTCTTAAAGTATTCATCCCATACTCTCTATCTTAAAAGTATTCACTCTCTTAAATAAATGGAAGTAGAAAACAAATTGTCAAAAGCTATTAACATCATAAAAATTTACTCCATTCGGCATGGAGTGATCCTTATAGCTTTTATTTTTTATTTTTAGTTATGTCAAAAACAAATCAATTTTTTTTTTGACATAACTTGTTATTTATCTCTCATTTTTTAATTATTATTCAAATTTTTAAAGTATAAAAGAATTTATATATTGGTTTCGGCCAAAATTTTGATTTAAACTAACACCGTAATTTCAGTATTGGTACTTTTTATAAATTTTAAAACATACCCAAAACTGAAAAATTTGTAAGATTTTAAATTTTTATCTAATTTAGAAAAATAGTTATTTTTGAGAATTTTCACAAAATATTTTACTATTTTTAAATGAAATTTTAAGCATTTTGTTCCCAAATTACTCAAGATTTTAGTTACTAAATAGCGCGTTTCCGTTTGCTTTTAAAAAATATTAAAAACCCAAATAATCAAGCCGTTGCATGGCGCATAATATTTTGACTGACAACATTCAAAAAAAAAAGTTTGGTTTAAAATATTTTGTCTTTTTTTTTCGTTCAAGAAAGTGCACAAAAATAGCAATATATCATAGATGTAAGTTTTTTAGTTTTATAGATTTTCCTGAGTACTTTAATTTTTAATATTATTTTCCTATGACAATTAATTTATTATTATTATTAATATATAAGATGGAAAGAAGTCATCAAAAAAGTCAGATTTGGAAGCATTTCACAATATCCAATTAGTGATCCTAAGGATGTCAATTGCAATATTTGCAATAGAAAAATCTTGCAATTTTGATGATCCTAAGTACCAGACTGTCAGTGGCCTTTCGTCTTATCTCAAAACATATTACCCTCTTATTGCCAACTTTGAAAAAAAAGAAATTTTTTTTTATTTATTTAAAAATTTTAATCTGCCAAAATGTTGGTATCGGTTACGGTAAAATATTTGTCGAAATGTTGGTTTTGGTTTTGGCACTGAAATAGAGAGTACCGGAAATTTGTGTTTTAGTTTTTTTTTTTTTCTTCGGATCTATCACTAGTTAAAAGGCATAAAAAGAAGTAATGTTGAATTTTTTTTTAACAAATTACAATGTTTATTTAGAGGTTTCAAATCACGTAACTTTAAAAATATTTGATCTTTATACTTAAAAATTTGTAACTGGCTATATTCTGGGGTGATTAATCCAATGAAATAATCAGAAGTGTAAAATATTATTAAGTACTTTTAATTATCAATTTATTGCTCAAGAATGCTTTCCCAGAATTGGTAAATACAGAATTGGTAGATTAACTTTAAACGAGCAAGTGAAGATGTTAATATGACTGGCATGTTTTCTCTTTCTGGTATTCAAAGTATTTAACCTAATCAGCAAATTAACATCAATACATTGAAATTTGGTGAATTTATTCTGTAAAAAAAAACTGCCTAAATTTATTTAAATTGATAAATAAAGGTGCTTAATAATAATTTTTTACATTTCTGATTATTTCATTGAATTCGTTGCCCCTGAATATAGCCAGTTACAAGTTTTTAAGTAAAAAGATCAAATATTTTTAAAGTTATGTGATTTGAAATCTCCAAATAAGTGTTGTAATTCTGAGGAGACAAGAGGGGCCTGGTCAATATCTGCTAAAAGTCAAATAGTCATATTTCAGGATCTTTTTGGAGCTAGAGGCTAAAATTTTCAAGGAATTCTTATTAAACTATGTCCTCTCAACAGTGTAAAAATTAGAAAAATCTGAGATGTATGGTGACATGACCTGGGTCAATTGTCATGGAATTACCTCTTTGTTTTAGTTGCCTTATTAATAGTATTTATAATAATAGTAATAGTGATTCCATTGTAGTAATAGCTTTATAATTATTGTTATAGTTTTTGAAATTGTTATGTTAATTTTTATAATTACTTTTATAGTTATAAATTTTATTATAACTATTTTTACCATTGTTTTTATCATTAGTTATAATTTTTAATAAAGTTATCATATTATAATTATTATTTTTAATATTTTTTTATTTGTATTACTGTTTTTGTTTCTATTTTTAATATTATTATAGTTTATTAGTGCTTTATTTTCTTTTTATATTTTTTTCTTTTTTGTGTTTTTATGTTAGTTTTCTTTGTTTCTTATTATTTTTTTTATTTTATCTTTTATTTTTAATTATTTTTACGTTTTGTTTAGTTTTTTTTATTTTCTCTTTTTTTTAGGTGTCACTCCATTGACTAGTTTTTAACTACACGAGTGACACCTAATCTTATTTATGTAAGTTTATAATTTATTATTGTAAATTTCTATATTTTATATTTGGACAAAAATAAATAGACAAAAAAAATTCAAATATTTTTGCTTAATTGTTTGAATATTTTTTTTTATATTTGCATAAATTTTTTTTTTTTTTTAAAGTGCTTAATACTTTGGGGTTATTTTCAACTTAGTTAAACTGAATGAGAACAAATTAAATAAATTCATTAATAACAAATAATTTATTTGTGCACCAAAACAAGCAATTTTGAAACAGTCACGCTGTTTCAAAATTCTTTGTTTTGGTCCACAAGCATTAAAATTCCTTTTTGTTTGTGCAAAATATATAAGTCTGTTACAGTGATATTTTGGTTTTTTTTATTTAGCTATACTGAATTTCATCCATTTTTGTACCATCAACATAAATCTCTTCCATTTATACACTTCCATTCGTTTAATAAGGTATGTTGTTATTTTTACAATTTTTTTCTTTTTCGACTTTTTTTTTAATTTTTTACTTTTTATTTTACATATACTTTTTTTTGCTTTCAAATTAAGTTGAAGGCTTCATTATCATAAGTTACAAATATTTTTAGTTTTTAAAATTTTATCAAGGAATCAACATGAAAGTCAATTTTAAAAATTTTAAAATGATACTAATAACTAAAATGTAATTAAAGAGCTTGTTTATTATAATCTGTTATATATTAAAATATATTAAAATTGAATTTAATGTTGCCGTTACCCATTTGTGCATGTTTGATATAGAACTCGTGGCAGCCATTACACCCAGTTAATAGCGTGAAAGAGTTGCTGCACTTTTTTTTATAAGAAAATGTAAACAAAAGTATATGCAAATCTCTATCTTATGTAAACTTCAAATTATGTAATGTTAAGAATTGCATCAAGTTTTACATTTTTACTTAAAAATTAAGCAATATCTTAATTTTGATTAAAGCATTTATAAATTTTTTCATAAATTATACTTCAATTTTGATTCAATAATGTTAAAAATTTGAAGAATAGTATGCCTTAATGGGCAAAGTGGTTGCTGCGTTTCTGAAGTACAACACAAGGGTTTAAATCTTGTCGTCTGCACATTTAATTTTATTTATATATATATATATATATATATATATATATATATATATATATATATATATATATATATATATATATATATATATATATATATATATATTTTAAAAAAATAAAAAATTTTTCTTCAGGTACTTTTACTCAGGTATATTCAAACCGAAAAAACAAAATCAATTTTTTTCCGGCTTTTTAAATATAAAATAAGACATTTTGAAAGTTTTATTGATTTTATATACATAACATATATAAAGATATTACATCTTGTAATAAACAAAAGGAAATTTTTTAAAGTTTTAAACTTTTATAAACATCAAAACAGCGGGAGAAATTTGCGCATATGTATTAATAGAGATACTGTTTTTTTTTTATAGAAGTTCACAATTTTATAATAAGAAGTTTGAACATTAATAATATTGAACAATATTCGTTAACTCAAAACAAAAATTTTTATTATAAAATTATTAAAATAAAATGTATAGAAATGGTCAATATGGAATAGACTTATCACAACCCATTTTATACGGGTCATGGTAAGTTTATTATTTCACATATTTTTAAGTTTATTTCCACATGTTTTTAAAACTTTTTATATCAATAGTAATTAACAACAAATTTCAAGCAGGTATTCTAAATATTATTTAAAATACTCGCTTTGGGTACTCATATGCAAACCGCTGCTAAATAGCAGTTCGCATAATAACTAGCAAAATGTTTAATATTTTTTAAAATTTATAATACAAATTATTTTTTTATTCATAGCTTTAAAAGGTAGACTATATGTTTCTCTATAGACTTACCAAGAGACCCGTATTTGGCAGGTCTGGACAGCTAATATATCATATATATATATATATATATATATATATATATATATATATATATATATATATATTCTCATCATATTAAGACTCATCAGAAATGAATGATCCAATTAATAAAACTTCAATTTATACCAAAAATTAAATTACAGGAAGTCACATGTCTTAACTACTGCAATTTTTCACACATTTGTGTAAATTGCTGACACTATTGTAAAAAGAATTCTTTAGAAATGATTACTTAAGCTTTTTTTAAAAAATAATATATTTTTTTCAAAGGGGAGTTAAAGTAACTATTATTTGAGCTCACTTATTTTTATAGTTTTTTAGGAGAAACTTATTTTCGTGCCTGCATTTAGAAATCAATTCCGATTTTTTGTTTAATAAACATTCTTGGTTTGTATGTGTAATTATTTCAAATTTTTCTTGTAGACATAGTATGCATTTTTTTGAAATATTGTTATATGCAGGCACTGTTTCTAGGATGGACCAATTCAGTATAAAATCATCAATATTTTTATCTTTTAATTCCCATATATATTTTGATAGCATGGTGTCTTTTGAATACTTTTTATTTTTAAAAGATTGCTTATGATTGGCAAAAAGTTTTTTCCATTCACCTTCTGTTATACCAATATAATGTTTATCAGGTACATTCTTAGAGGAGACAACACATTTATATACCACATTTTTTGATAAGCAACTTCCAGTCATTGAACAATTGTTTTTTTTTTGTTTACAATTACAATTTTCTGTAGTTTTTTCATTTTGGAGTTCTTTTTTGTTTAACAAGGCATTGTTGTGACCTTTTATAATTCTTTACATATTTTTTGTGCAACTGTAGCTAACTTTAATAGTATTTCGATTAAAAATTTTATGTAATTTATTAGAGGGCGGGAAATGCTTATCGATCAATTTTAAAAACACTTTTCCTATGTTTGTGGAAACATTTTTGCTATATGGGGGGTTGAACCAAATTACATTTCTAGTTCTATTTCACTTTTTTGTATTCTTTTTTTCAGGGTCAAATTTTAATTCAAAGTTTTCAAAAACACTTTTTTTTAAGGGCATCTTTAAATATCTGTTTGGAGGAATTGAATACATTTTCATTAGAGGAGTTTTGGTTAAGCCTGTTATTAATTGAAATCGGGATTTGTTTTAGAATTTGGGGTGGATGATTTGAGTTAATATTAATTACAATAATTCATCGTTTGGTTTTTGGAAAGGCTTGTATGTATTTTCCGAGAGGTTAAATGTGACATCAAGAAAGTTCACAATTTTTAAATTTATGTTTATTTCAATTTGAAAGCCAATATTTTTAAAAATTTTTATAATATCTTTTCTAATTTTATCAAGCTGTGGACCAGATTTTTTACGCATTACTATTAAACCATCGTCGCGATAAAGGCCTAAATCATTTATATTGATTATTTTACTTAATAAATCTAAAATATATAATCCAACAAATTCACAAATTTCTGCTCCATCATAACTTCCCAATATTACATCAAAACAGTTATGTATGTTTTTCTTTTTCCAAGTTTCCTTATTAAAATAAAGTAAGGTTTTTCTACAATGTTTTATTATGCGAATTGTTTCTTTAGGAATAACTGTGTGGCTTTTTGCAAACTCAATTGTTTTATCTAAAATATCTGCAGTTAATGAGGGGTAAAAATCATTAATATCAAATTGAATAAATGTACAGTCATTTTTATTATCAATTATGGAGAACCAATTTATAACATCAGTGGTATTTTTCCACTGTTGCAAATTTAATTTAATTCTAAGAATATTATTAATTTTGTCCAATTTATTTTTGCTTACATGTCCAATCTCACTTTTGAGGGAACCAATAACCTACAAGAAAGTTTGTTTTGAAAATTTGGTTTATGGTCTTTTAGTGTTACATAGGCTTGGGCAGGAGCAGTTGATTCGATTCTGTTATCAAGGCTTATTTTTTTAGCAATACTTTGCGCTTCTAAATTAATTGCATTTTCCAAATTTTTAGGGGCTTTCTCATAAGAACTAGTAATATTGCCGCGTAAAAATTTTTCATAGTTTTCTGTTGTAAGTTGGTAAATGTTATTTGTTTTATCAGCAAAAACCAAAATATTAGGGTTTGATTTAATTTTTTTTAACATCTAACTTTAATTCTGTTTGAAATTTGTTTTTTATAGCACGAAACTTTATTGTTTTAATTAAATGCAATAGGTCATTTTCAAAGTTTTCCAAATCAGGTATGAAAGGCGGGGTATTTTTTGTTTTAAATCCATAATTATCATTATCTTGGTTATTATTAAATACATCATCTGTGTTTGTAAACAAAAAATCGGAATTTTTTTTTTTTATTTTGATTCACCTCCTCAAGGCCGAGAAGGCCACTACAGACAAGGAGGCTACTTATTTGTGGCTATAACCCTCTCTCAACTCTATAACTCCGAAACACGAACCTTGACGAACAAGGCCGCTGCGCGGAGAAACGAGTTGAGCGCAGTACTACCAGGGACGTGGTGGGGATCGAACTTGGAACCACTCGTTTATGAAGCGAGCGCTCTACCACTACAACACTACCGCAATTGATTTCTAAATGCACGCACGAAAATAAGTTTCTCATAAAAAAATATAAAAATAAGTGAGCTCAAATAATAGTTACATTAACTCCCCTTTGAAAAAAATATATTATTTTTTGCAAATTATAAGAATCAGGAAAGCAAGATGAAGGTTCCTAAAAACAAGGAAAAAAAATAGATAAATAAGAGTTTTTTGAGCATTTAGGAATAATTACAGAAAAAGGACTTAATTGAATAACGAGTAACACAAGAATGAATTTTAGTAGATGACACAAGAGACGCAAGCTCTTTAGAGCAGTGTCCATTATAGTATTTGTAGAAAAGAAAAAGAGAAGAAACATAACGATGATGTGGTAATGGTTGGAAAAAATTTCAAAAACAAAAAGCATTTTTTATAAAAAAAAACAATATTAGGTTTTTTTGAATAAAAACTATGGTTTTTAAACGAAAAATGAAAAAAAGGTAATATTTACAACATAATAACAAGTTTTTTTAAGTTGTTTTTTATAAAAAATAAATCTAATTTTTAAAATTTTTATAAAATTTTGCTTCTTTTGAGTACCAAGTTGACATATTTTTAAATAATTTTTTTTTTAATAATATTAGGGACCTGTCAAATGTTTAGTGGCTTTGAGGGACCTTTAGGGCAAATAATAAAATTTAGTAAAAAATATTTTTGAACCACAATATGATAGTTGAATGGGAAAAACTTCAATTAGCTATGTTCTGAAAACAAATTAGCATACTGAACAGCCAAAATATATATATATATATATATATATATATATATATATATATATATATATATATATATATATATATATATATATATATATATATATATATTAATAACAATAATAGTAGTAAGATACATTAATATATATAAAACAATAACAACAATAGTACCTCTGGGATGCAACAAGGTTATATATTTAGCTAGATGATTTTTCTTGTCTATATTATTGATCTTCTTGATATTTCTTCTATTGGTAAAATTCAGCACTCTTGAGTTGTTAATTACTTGAAAATTGCTTAAAAGATTTTTTTTTAATTGATGCAATGAAGCTATTTAATTATTTATTTTAATAATTTTTTACATTTTTTATTTAATGCTTTGATAAAAACTAAATATTTGCATTATCTGCTGAATCTTGTTTTGAGTTTTTTATAGGTTCTATTCATTTTTTCTCAAAATTTGTAAAACATGCTTTCTTAGGTACAAGTTTGACAACATTTTTTTTTTTTTACTATTCTAGAGTCTTCTTGGAGTGGTGGGTTGTAGCCAAATCAGAACAAAATATTGAGGGGAATTCATGCTTTCTAATAAATGGCAAAAAGATCCATTAAAATTTATTTATATATAAATCAGGTTCAAAGTTATACTTTTCAAACATAAATAAATTGAGTAATTGTTTGCTATATAAGGAATTTTGGTGCAATTTTCTCAGTTTGAATATACTTGAATTTTCTGGCTACATATTTACCTTTCGACTGATAAAAATATTGCTGAAACAGACAATTGTGAAAATTTTTTTTTCAAATAGGTTTCATTGTCTTTAACTATGCACAAATTTTCTTGGTTTAAAAGTTTATATTCTCCATCAATAGATCAATTTAAAGTCTTTCTTTTTTTCACTTCTAGTGTCCCTTTTCTTAGATTAAGTCTGTATTGCCACAAAATATATCCAATTAAGTATTCAGAAACGTTTAGAGTAATGGCAAAATAAAAGTACTGAACTTTATTGTGTTTAACCAATATCTAAAATACAATATTTTTATATAGTATTCTTCTAATTTTCTCCGTTCTTGATGAAAAGTTATCAGATTTTGATTGCTTAAAACAGGTAACCGATCCCGATCTCTTTTCTGTGACAGCGTGGAGCTTGCAGTGGCTGGTGAATTTAAAAAAAAACTTTTTATTTAGTAATTATTTTTGCACTAATGTTGAATTTTTTATGTTGATAATTAGTAACACTCTTACAGACTCTTCTACTTTACGTCTTTTGGACTATCTTTCAGTATTGGCCTCTTAAGAATACATTTATCCAATCAATTGCTAAGTTAACATCTTCTAAATATGCCTCTCTATCGCTATCTCTATGTATTTTCTTACTCTTGATTTTATTCTCTGCCTCTATAAATCTTCATCTGTCATTTATAGAATCGTGTTGCTAATATTTGGCTGGTTCTTTTAACTATGCTCTTTCTCTTATAAATAAGAATCTATAAGATATTTGTCTATAGGAGAAAGATATTTTAAATATAGTTAAATTTCCACTAGTAGTCAAATTTGAGCTTTTGTTGCATTTTCATAACCATTTTTTCTTTTTTACAAGTACCATGGTTGCTTCTCAGGTGGCCTATCATCTCTTGTTCCGTCTACCAAAACTTGTGTGATTTGTCATTTTGCAAAATTGAAACTTTTACTTTTACTTTTTTTTTTCCCTCTTAAACAACTAAAGAACTGCAGTGTTTTGAAATTCTCTACCAGGGCTGCGGAGTCGCAGAGTCACAACATTCTTAGCAAAGTTGCTAAACAAAATTGCGACTCCGACTCTAATAGTAAAATTTCTCGGTATTGCACGTGCATGTACAAAATATTCAATTAACTAAACCAAAATATTCATACTAAACCTCAAAGAACTTTTCATAAAATTGGCAAAAAAAAATTTTTAACTTATCGCATATTTTTTAAAGAATTCAAATTTCAACAACTGGAGTCGGAGTTGGTACTTTTTTTTACAACTCCACACCTCTGTTCTCTACTGTCTCTAGGTTTTCCTGACTAATAGAGTTTTCTAAGCAATAGTTTTTTCCTATCAATTGTTTTCTTGCTCTTAAACTCCTAACTTGTGATTTTGGCTTGCAGCTTTGCTAGAAAGTGTTTTGCTAGTTAATTAAAAATATATAAAAATGCTGCAAACTTAAAAAATTAAAAGATAAAAAGTAGGGAAGATAAACCCATTTAATTCTGGATAAATCATTAATAATTTATTTAAAGATATTTAAATTTAAAAAAAATTTAGAAATTGCAAATTAATTAATTCTAGTTATTATTTTTTAATTTTTTTGTTCATCATAAAATATTTTTTAATTTTATTTATAATATGTAATAGTTTTTGATTTAACTTACTTTTGTTTGTTTGCTTTCATATGTTTCTTTAAATGTTTATGAATTATTAGTGTGTTGATGAGTTTTTTTCGAAACTTGAATCCCAAAAGATTGATTTGAAAGCATTGCAGCAAGAAAAGGCTGCTCTCAAAAGACTTGAGAATGTCCGTGAAGATCATGAAAAGAGAATACACTCTTTAAAAGAAACACAGGTATCTATTTTTACATAACTTTAATACTTATAAATAAAAAAAATTATAACAATATTTAAAGTAATAAAAATAATAGCATATAAAACATGTCTAAAATTTTTGAAACCCAAATAATTTGATTCTGGAAGTTTCACAAGTAAAACCTGTATTACAGGCAATGCTAGAATCAACCATATAAGACATGTGAAATGTGATAATGGTGAAGAGGTAAAGTAGCCTTGCTTAGTAAGCAAAAGTTCAATCTCCACATTGTCTCAAGTAGTGTCACACTGAACTTGTTTTTCTGCACAGCAGCTTTGTTTTTTAAGATTTGTATTTTGAAACCATTTTAATTTTTTAGAATATTACTAGTAATAAATATTATTTTAGTGTTTCTAAAAAAAATTTAATTCGTATCAAAAAGGAGTAGAACTAAAAAGATTAGTTTAAAAAAAAACTAAAAAGAAACTTAAATTATTAGTTTTAATTTTGTTTGTTAGAGTAAAATAAAGGAATTGACTTATATTTTGAACTAAATAAAACATGATTATGAGTTGTTTATTTGTGAAATCTATTTATAATTTTCTACTAAAATCGGGACTAAAATCAAGACTTGGCAATGTCATGAAGTGATGATATTTTCTGTTAAATTGAAAGTGGTTATCTTTAGTAATAATAAAAAGTTGTTAATTCCTTCGATACAACTGTTAAAAAAAGTCATAAGGTGGAAATGGGTTGTAATTTAAAAAAATATTGATAAGCTGAAATGACACCTTTTTTTTTGGGTGTTGGTGGATGTGAATGTATGTATATATATATATATATATATATATATATATATATATATATATATATATATATATATATATATATATATATATATATATATATATATATATATATATATATATATATATATATATATATATATATGTATGTATGTATGTATATGATATATATATATATATATATATATATATATATATATATATATATATATATATATATATATATATGTATGTGTATATATATATATATATATATATATATATATATATATATATATATATATATATATATATATGTTTATATGTATATGCACACGCGTATAATAAGTAATACAGAGTATAATATATAGAGTATAAAAGTTTGATTGTTTATGTACTGTTTATTGATTCTTTGCATGTAGTGTTAACGAAAAAAATTTAATTTAATTTTGTTCTCAACAATGTATCAAGCATGTAGAGAATCATTTAGACTGGCTTATTTATCATTGGCCCATTCTTGTGCAATCTTGTGTTATGCTATTTAATCTCTTTATTTCATTTTTCCTATCTCTATATAATATGTTTGAAAAAAATGTCATTTAGTTAAGTTTTCGATTTTAGGATAAAGAAGCAAGAAGAGCAAAACTTATTGAACTTAATCTACCACTTGTAAGTTTTGCATCTTTTAATAATATTTAGATATATGTAAGTTGTTATATGTGAGGGTGTGTGTATGTGTGTGTGTTTATGTGTGTGTATACAAACATACATAATGTATATATGTATGTATATATTTTAAAGTTGTTCGTTTAACAAAAAGTTATTATTTTGTAAAGTTTATATTCACACATTCAGTGGTCAGGCTCGGAATGTGTGAATATTTTAATTTAAAATTTTGTTCAGATTGAACGAGCAATCATAATTGTGAATAGTGCAATTGCAAATCAGCTTGATTGGGAAGAAATAGAGGATTTGTTAAAGGAAGCAAAACTTAAAGGAGATCCTGTTGCAAACATAATAAAATCACTACAATTGAAAACAAATCAAATAACAATTTCAGTAAAGTAAAGTTTAATGGTTATTAACATATTTTCAGATATTTAATTAATCCTTGATTGATTTTTAAAATAATGCTTTTTTTTTTTTTTTTAAAAAAAAAAAAAAGTAATATTAGTGATGAGGAAGAAACAGAATCAGATGAAGATGATTTAGATGAAGGTGAAAGAAAAAAACAAAATAAAAAGGTTAAACTTTTTTTAATGTTTCATCTTATTTAAAAATCAATTTTTTTGCGTTTTTATTGAAAATATGCAGTGGTTTTAAGCCAAACTAAGTAATTACATGCAAATTATTATATTTATATATTATTTGCTGTGCAACTAATTTTTTTACTCTTATATTTATTTTTATTATAAAAAGAAAGTGGGGATGCTAGTGAAAATTCTTTTTTTTTTTTTCTTTTTTTTCCATTAAAATCAAAGTAAATTATTTTTTTTGTTAAAATTTTTTAGTCTAGAAAACAAAAGAAAGTTGACATTATAATAGACTTGGGTTTAACTGCTTTTGGAAATGCCAGAAGGTATTACTATATGTTAATACAGGGTTCATGGCACTCAGGGAAAACGTGGAAAACCAGGGAAAAGTTTTAAAAATTTAGAAAATCAAGAATACCTGGAAAAGTCAGGGAATATTTGTTAAAAATCTGTAAAATCAGGGAAAACTCAGGGAAAATTTTTAAGTTTTACATTTAGCTTGAAGTTATTTTGCAAAGTACACATTTTGAGTGTTTATTGTTGTTGAAAATTGCTCACTAAAGTGGTTTTTTAACTTTTATATTATATAGTAACTATATGTTTAGCTAAATGTATAAATAAATATAATAATATAAGACATGACTTCAGAAAAGACTTATTTTCAAGAGGATTGGTTACAACAAGATATTTATAAAGATTGGTTAGTTCCCAACGCACATGCAAAAACTAAAGCTCATTGCAAAAAATGTAAAAAATCATTCAGGCTGTTAAAAGTCATGCAGCAGGTATTTACATTAATTTTTTTAACGTGAGAGTGAGAATTAAAAAGAAATGTTGCTTGATTGATTCATTATTTTATATTTTAATACCAGTTTTAAACACATTGTAATCAACTTTTGATTGCAACTTGTTTCAGTTGTTTTCCTTGTTGGTTGGTTGCTTATATTGTTATTTCAAACTTTGCAAGCTAAACAGTTAGAGAAAAAAGATAAAAAATTTTAGACATTTTAAATGTTTCATTATTTATCTTGTTTTAGGTAAGAAGCAGTCTGCTACAAAGCCTGTTAGTTGTTTCTTTATTAATGGAAAAGAGTTGCATGCTGAACCACTTGGAAGTGAAGAAAAAATATCCACATTTTTCACCAAAAAACAAGCAACTATTGTCTCTTTAATTAAATCATTGTTATCAACTAATGCTGAGATCATATGGGCCCTGAAATCTATAATGAGCTGCTACTCTAATAACTCATGTGCAAATTTAAACGACACTTTTAAAAAGATGTTTCCTGATAGCAAGGTAGCAGAAGATTTCACTATGAGCACCTCAAAAGTATCAAACATTGTTAACCATGGACTAGCCCCATACTTCAAGACACTTTTAAAAGAAGAAATCACAAAGTCTGATTGTTACATTTTATCTTTTGATGAGAGTTAAAACGACATAACCCAAACTTGTCAGATGGATCTACTTGTTTGGTATTGGGATGGCAATGACAAACTTAAAGTGAGATATTGGACATCAGCATTTCTTGGTCATTCTGCAGCTTCTGACCTTCTTACACATTTCAACGAAAAGTTATCAAGATTTGATTCAAGTAAAATATATCAAGTTTCCATGGATGGACCCTCTACGAATCTGAAATTTTTAGATGATCTTAATAAACACAGAAAGGACAACAAGATGCCACAACTTATAATATTGGAAGTTGCTCTTTGCATGTAATCCATGATTCTTTCAAAACAGCTATCGAATCAACAACATGGAATATTAAAGAAACTTTAAAAGAGTGTTGGCAAACTCTTCATGATAGCCCAGCTAGACATCAAGATTATGAAACAGTCACAGGTGCAACAAAATGCCCTCTTTTTTTTTGCGGAACAAGATGGGTTGAAAGTAAATCTATTGCAGATCGTTGCATTGAAATCTGGCCTAATATATGTAAGTTGATTGAGTTTTGGGAAAAGTTACCATCTTCAAAACAACCTAAATCAAAAAGTTTTTTAAATGTAAAAAAGGCTGTTAAAGACAAACTTATTATTTTAAAATTTGAAGTTTTCAGCTTTGTTGCAAGCATATTAGAGCCATATTTGTTGGCATACCAAACTGACAAACCAATGATTCCATTCATGTATAGTGATTTAGAAAGACTGTTATGAACCATACTGAGCTTGTTTGTGAAACAAGATGTTACAAACCATACTGAGCTTGTTGGTGAAACAAGATAATAGTTGTAACAACAAAGTTGTTACAACTTTGTTGTTACAATTATTATTGTAATAGTTGAAACAAGATGTTATTGATGTTGTATTTCAGTCCAACTAAAAGAAGTTGATTTTCATAAAAAAGATAATCTACTTAAAGGAAATCAAATCAAACTAGGGTTTGCAGCTGAAACAAGACTGGCTGCTTTATGAAAGAAAGATATAATAACCATTGCTGATATTCAAAGTTTTCACAAAGATTGCACTAACATGTATGTTCGATTGATTGAAAAGTTCATGGACCGAACTCCACTAGGATCTATCATTGTACGCAACTCTCAGGTTCTTAACCCAAATGCAATGGTAGTAATGACTCAAGAAGATGCTGAGAAGCAGTATAAATCTTTATTGACCCACTTGATTAGCTTGAAATATGTTTCACCAATCTTTTCTGATAAAGCTATAAATCAATATGCAGATTTCTTTAGAGAATCAAGGGTTTATCAAGACATCTTTCATGAATTCAATCGAGAAAGAGATAGCTTAGACGACTTCTATTTTAAAAAATTTAACCTAAATAAATATAAAGAGTTTGCATTGACTGTTAAAATATTATTAACACTAAGCCATGGACAAGCCTCAGTTGAGAGAGGTTTTAGTATAAAGGCCACAGTACTAGAACAGAATTTAAATGAAAAATCAATAACTGCAAGACGTTTAGTCGAAGATCATATGCTATCAAATAATCTTCAGCCATATAGTATTGAAATTACAAGCAAAATGATTATCAGCGTAAAATCGGCACACAAAAGATATAGAAGCTACCTAAATTCAATTGCAGACACTAACAAAAAAGAAGCAAGTCAATTGGCAAAAAAGTTGTTAGCGATGAAATAAAAGATGTTGAAACAAGGCGAGATCAACTGGAGAAAACCAGTGAAATGTTGCAGTTTGATTTTGTAAAATTTGTTGAGGAAGCAGAGGAGAAGCAAGATCTAGGGTTAATTTCTAAACCTAATGCGATGAAACAAAAAGCAAATGAAAAAAATGAAGAAATAAAGAAATTAGAGCTAGCACTTTGCATCTTAGAGAAAAAACGAAAGTTGCTAAAATAATATATTTGTTCTCACATGAAGTTTATATTTTGTTAACAAAACACATTAGTTTTTTTTAAAACATATATAAAATGTTATTTTTTTAAATATATTTCTTTTAGTTATCAGATTAATATGGCTCTGTTTCTTGTTTAAAACACATTTAACGGATTGCTATAAATTAATTAAAGACAGTCTCTGATTTCTTAAAAAATAGTGATAAAAAGTATTTAGGGAACAAGGATTCAGTTGCAAAAGTATTATATTTTTCAACATTGATAGGCAAAATATTTAGACTTTTCACCGCACGAACTCAGGGAAAAAATACTTGAAAATCAGGGAAAACTCAGGGAAAATGGTTTTTCAAAACTGCCATGAACCCTGTAATAGTTGATTTTTTTTGTAAATTAGTAATTATAAATTACTAACTTATGTCTAAAGATTAACTTCTAAAAATATAAAAAAAAAAATATATTAAAAAATATTATTGTTAAAAATTTTAAACTTCAGATATAATACAAATTTTTCTTTACAGAATTTTAAAACATTTAAATAATTTAAATATTATCAATTTTGATTAGTTTACACGATAAACGAAGGAATGCTGCGACAAAAGAAGAAAAAACTATACAAGCGTCAAAAAAGGTTTTTTAAATTTTTTTTTAATTTTAAGGATTCTTTTGATTTTTTTAAAAAAATAGGAAAAAAATTGTTTTAAAAAATCAAAAACAAGAACATTTTTAATTTTTTTTATTATTAATATTTTACTATTATTAAATAGCATTTATTTAGGTTTGCCAGTTGTCTAGCTTTTACGAAGGCGAACACAATAAAAAAATTTATTTTTAAAGGTTTGGTGCTGTGTTCTCCTCCATAAAAGCATATTATCAATGTTAATTATTTATTATTTAGATGTAAGATATTATTACAAAATAAGATATAATTTTTATTTATTATTGGATAAGGATCTGACTCTTAAAATAATTAAAAAACTCATGACCTACATGGTCTCTAAACATTCAAAGATTTATCAAAGCTTAATTTTGCAGTCTTTTTCATTGTAAAAACAAGGCTTGATGAAACCTTTTTAGATTCTTTATCTCTATTAATCCTTCTATTCTTTATCTCTATGAATCTCAAATCTGTCCTTGTATAGAATACTGTTGCCATAACTTGAGCGGATCTTTGAACTACGCCCTTTCTCTTTTAGACAAGGTTAAAAAATGCATTGTAACAATAGTTGGACTTGCTCTTGCAGCCAACCTTTAACCATTGTCATATTGTCGTAATGTTGCTTCTCTTTTTCTTTTTTATAAATGCTGTTATGGGCACTGCTCTAAAAAGCTGGCATCTCTTGTGCCATCTACTAAAATTTATTCTTGTTTTACTTGTCATTCTTTTAAGTCTCATCCTTTTACTGTGACTGTTCCTAAGTGCTCCAAAAATGCTTATTCGTCTAGTTTTTTTCCTGGAACATTAGCACTTAGGAATTCACTACCTTCATTTTGTTTTTCTAAATCATATTATTTGCAATCTTTTAAGTTGTCTGGTAATCGTTATCTTGCTTTATAAACTTTATTTTATAATAATGGTTGCTTGCATCTTGGTTGGAAGTGAAGATGTTGAAAAAAAAGATTTCAATTTCTGGTAAATGCTTGCAAACAGTTTTAACTAAGATTTAAATGTGCTGATAGTTTGACTTTTACATAAATTGTCTCTAATCCATTGAATGAATTGAAGTTAGCAGGTAACTTGTAGTTTTCTTTGTCAAACTTCAGTTTAATCATGCATATCTAGAGCAGTTATGATGCAGTGAACTCTTGTTTCAGAATTGAGAGGTTTAAGGTTTGATGCCACAAAAGCAACATCAGTAAGAAAAACAACAGGTTTCATTAAGTGCTTTTTTGAAGTGTTCTGTGACAAGAACATTTGGTCTTCTTAGTGCACTTAACTAAAAAACAAAATCTTATTTTATTATTTAGTTATTAAGGTGCTCTAAAAGGCAACTAAAGAATAAAATTAATGATCTTTCAAGACAAGCTTCCAACAGCAAGTTTCAACCCATAATTTTGTTGCATGTAAAGCAGCTTTGGATGCAATGTTTCAACAACAAGAAGACTAATTAAATGATGCTGGAATTAGTGATGAGCAGCATCAGCTAGAAATGAAAATTTAACCTAATTAGACTTCTGCTAGTTTTAAATGTTGCTTAGAACACTATGTTTTATTTATCTTATTAAACTATTACTGGCCATATTGGGGATTTTCCCAGTAATAGGTATGAATGAGCATTACAAAGATCCTGAGCTAATATTGTTAGAGGGTCCTCCTCATCTTTATCATTAGCTGGATTGATTTCAGCAAAAAAATTTATCTGTTTCTTATTTAGAATCTTTTTTTAGAAATTCACTTCCCAATGCTCTAGAACTGCAATCTAATAGAAGTGACTTGTTATTTTTTCTTTTTTCTTTCTTTATTCTATTTGTTATTCTATCAACCTTAAATTTCGAAATACAAATCTGGTTAAACAAGGCCACTGCCCCGAGAAACAGGTTGAGTGCAGTATTTCCAGAAGCATATGGCAGATTTAAACCAGGTGATTTTGAGCCAAGTATCGCTAGTCTTTTACCACATTTTTCTTGTTGACAACAAAAGTTTTAAAAGAAGAAGCATAATAGTAATTGCAAATCAAGTATTGCAAATCAAGTATTGCAAATCAAGTATTGCAAATGAGCATCACAACAGTATTATTTTTTCAATTGCAATATATTTAATTAATTCAATACTAGTATTATTAAAAGAAGTAATGTGATGATTCTTACTTATTTCTATTTCTTGATTGTAGCTTTAAAGTTGGTCTTGATTGTTTCAAAACTTTTCAAGATCTTGTACAACTTGCTCTTATGTTTTGTTTTTCTAAAAATCGAATAGCAAGGTGTGTTTTTTTTAAGATGCAGATCCTTATTATCAGTTAGTTTTGTGTAAAAACATCCAGGACATCATAACATAAGTCTCAGTATTGCTGATTTTTACATCACTTATAAATTTTAATAAGTTATAATAAATTTTGATAAATTAAAAATTTATCATCTACTTACAGACAGTTCTTAAGATATAAAAAATGATTTAAATTTTTAAACTGACAAATTCTATCATTTAAAAAATTGGTTTAGGAACTTGTTTCTGTTTTGTGTGGAACAGAAAGCTGAAAATTTTTACATTTACATATTTCAGAAAAAATTTGATGAAAGAAACCAATAAAACAAATTATAGCATTTTAAAATAGACATGTCTAAAATTTAAACATTGGTCATAATTTTACAAGGGCTTAAAGCGTTATAATATAAAAATGTAATGTAATTTTTTTTTAATAAGGTAACCTTGTAAATTAAAGTTGAAGAGCGATCTTTTTCTTTAACATAGAATTTAATTATCACTGAGCAATTAAAGTTATGTTTTAATGTTGAAAATAAATATTTATGCATTTTATTACAACCACATAAAATAAAAGTATTTATTATAGACAAAATTGTTTCACATAAAGGTTCTATAATCTTTTAAGTAATTTTTATTAAAATGATATAAAGGTTGAGATGAATAGAACAATCTAGAACAATTAGAAGAACAGTTATTTTCTTTTTTGAAAAGATGTTTTTAGTTCTATCAACTAAATTATTTTTTTTCTTTTAAGAGTTCTTTTTATGATTAAGTTTTTTTTGTAAGTGCTTCTCGTCAGTCAAGTTAAAAAATGTTTTTGCTCATTTTTGAATTGTTCTTAAAACATCTTAACAGCTGTGACCAAGTTGTCGCAACTAAATATTATATGTGTTGTCAGGCATAAAGTGGGATTGCACTCTCTTCCCGACCAAGCCTGCTATATATAGTATATATTATACATACTATATCAGGCCTTGTGATGAATAAAAACTGCGCGACGTGATTTTTACGTCATTAAATTATTTTTATTTGCTTTTCATATTTATCGCCAATTTACTTAATTACCACAAAACTACTTTAAATCATTAATGTCGAAATGTTATTATTTTAAAATGTTTTGGAAAGTTTCGTTTTTTTTAAATGTAAAAACTTTAGTTTATTTTCTCGACGTTTGACAGATTTTGTCTATACTAAACGAATAAAAAATATTATAAAAAATATTATAAAATATGCTAATATTTGATTTTTTTTTTCTCAAATATGTAATTTAAAGTTTTTCAAATAATTAATTTTTCTTTTTAAAAAGTCAGCGAGTAATAAACTGGAAAATTTAATATTGTACAGTTAAAAACTGTGCAATAGCTAATATTTTTACTAGCGATTTTATATAATATTTTTTTATTTATTTATTTTTATATATTTTCATAAAGCGGTTGATAAGCACAATCACTCGTATTACTAAAAAACTTTAACAAACATTTTGAATAGATTTTAATGTTTACAAGGAATTTTTTTTTGATGAATTTTTGGTAAAATAAAATAAAATGTTAGAATAAAAATCTTATAGGTATAAAAGAAATATTTCAGCGAAAAAATTATTCTTAAAAATTATTATTAAAAATTCTTCGAAAAACTATTGACGTTCTATTTTTCAACAGCTGTTCTTGAGCACACGCTTTGTTGAGTTTCAATAACTTTTAACAAAAAAGCGGTTGTTATTATTTAAGTAATTTTTTTTGAGTTACAAAAATTTTAATAGCTGTACTTTTTTATTGAATCAAGTAGAATACGATTTAATATTAATCCTTTTATTTTTTATTTATTTGCGCTTACCAATTTTTAAAATGCTTCCTCAAAATTACTCTTAAATACTTTAAATACGTCTAACAGTTAATAAATATTTTTAAATCTATGGAATAATTTTAAAACCTAACAAACCCCCATAAAATAATTATTTAAGTTAAAAATCTAAAACTAAAAGAAAGTATTTTTGTTCAATTTTATCGACAACTTTGCTATTGCTGAATAATTTTATTAAAATGTTAGCTTAAAAAGATTTTAAAAAAATTAAAAAAAAAGCTTAAAAAACTTCTTTTATTATCTGAATTTTTTCTACTTATAAATAATGAGCATATTTAATCTTTTTGTAATTCAAACTTTTATATCAACTGCGTGCGGTTTTTAAAATACTTTATTAAATGTTAAAATAATCGTAAATTACTTCATTAAAATTCCGCTCAAAAATATCTTTAAATATACTCAAACAAAAAATTTTTTGCTTGACGCAAATAACCCTAGCTACGCTCTTGGACGACGTAAAATTCACATCACCCGACGCTTTATCGCAAGGCCTGCTATATAATACTTGAAAACAAAAGACAAAAGAAAAAATAGGATCTACCTTTATAAGTTTGATAATATGGTCATTTCTAATCAATAGCAGAATGCAGATATGCTATTGTTGATACAGTTTTTTCTAAAAACCAGACATATAGTTTTCTAAAGCAGACATATAGTTTCTAAAGCAGACATATAGTTTTTTAAAAAGCAGGCATAGATATAAAAGCATATATATATAGTTTTTTCTAAAAAGCAGACAATTTCTTAAATAAAGCAGCATTATTTGTACTGTTTTTATGTAGTAAACACACTGGTCAGAAACAATCAAGATTTTGTACATTAGTGATTAACATAACTTATATCGAAAAGTAACATTTTTGACAATGGACTTTAAATATATTTATCAAAGTTTGGATCTTCATAAGAATGAATTAATGACAACGAGTTAGTTAAAAAGATTAGGTTAAACTCCACTTTCAATATTTCCAAGACTGAAATTTTAACCTGGTTATGTTGATGTTGTGGTAGTGTTGTAACAAAACTGAAAATGTTAAGATATCAGTTAAGAAAAATTAAAAAGGTATTATGAAACTTTTTAAATATATTCATTATTTTCCTCTTTTTTTTTAGGTGGATTATTATTTTTTTTTTTTTTGACTCTTACAATTTTAGAAACATCTGTGAAATATTTTAACATATCAGATGGTATACCAAACGAAATATTACAAATAAATGAGTTTTTAACATAGTTAAAAACTTTATTCGTTTGTAACATTTATAAATTTGGTATTATTGGCCTACTAATAAACTTTCATTTGGTATTATTGGTCTACTAATAAATTCTTGTTTGGTATCATTGTCCTACCATCTGATGAGCCACTTATTTTTTAGTAAAAAATATTTTTAATAGATTTTCAAAACAATTCAAAACAAGAATTAGTTTTGAGAGTTTTGCATGCATTGGTTGCTGTCATATTTTTATTCTGTTTTGAATTTCAAGAAGTGTAATTTGCCACATGCATTTATTTAGAAAAAAACATTACAAAAAATTACTTGTTAAAATTTTTATATAAAACTAAGTGATAATATTTTTTTCAAGGGAATCTAACACTATTTTCTCAAAAACTGCATAAACTTTTTGAAACATAAACTTAGAAAATTTTTTGATCATACTATTACATACTATAAGGTATTATTTCTGAAAAATAATTTGGTTTTAAGTGGCTAGTCGAAGAATAATGCAATTGACATGCACAGATTGCGGATATGAGTATTCATTTTAATTTTTAAAAATTTTACTGCATTTTAATTACATTAAATTTCATTTTTGCATTATTAATTTCACTGATCATTTGAAGATTTTATTTTAACAGGTTTTTTATTTATTTTTTTATTTTAAAATTTATTTTAACAGGCTTTAAAATCTGCTGAATATAAAACAAAAGAAACATTAAAAGAAGTTCAGAATGCAAAAATTATCAATAAAACAAGGAAAACATTTTGGTTTGTTTTGAATTTATGTTATAATTTTGTAACAAGTAACAAGTATTGGTTCACATTTATTTTAGCTCTAATTAAAGTTAAATAACCAAAGTAAAAATTACCTCTTCCTCTCCATTACACACTCCCCTCCCTTCCTCAATACAGGTGATTTTTATTTCTGAAGCAAGTCTCAGCAAGCAATTGTTTCACAAACATGTAAGTTAGCCTCTTTACAAGGAACTACAAAGTGGTCTTGATATAAAGACCTCACTGAATACAAACATTCTACAGTTACTGCACCATTCTCCCTTTAATCACTAAGTGATGACCACAAAATTATAGCCCAGAAAAAAATTTTTTTTTATATTTGAAAAAATCAGTTTTACCTTGGTTTAACTCGCGTCCTTGGATGGTTACTTACAATTTTAAAGTTTATTTTGTAAATGATTATGCCCAGCCAGCACAAACACGTGTTTTTAGAATCTAAAATGTTAACACCTTTAGACGTCTAAATTCAGATGACGAATAATAGCTGTCTCAAGCCATCTAAGAAATGACTACTAATAGATGTCTTCTATTTATCTGTATTTAGACATCTAAAAGTGTTAACATTTTAGATGCGAAAAAAACCTTCTAAAAGACGTGTTTGTGCCGGCTGGGTGTAGTTATAATTTTTGTTAAATTTTGTTTCATTATTCTTTATATATATTTTTTAATCTTAATGGTTTTAATAGGTTTGAAAAGTTTTACTGGTTTATAAGTTCAGAAAACTATTTAGTGATTGGTGGTAGAGACCAACAACAAAATGAAATCCTTGTTAAAAGATATTTAAAAGCTGGTGAGTTTGGTCATGTGTTTTACCTATCTTAATTATCCTAATTTTTTAGGAAGGTAAAGTTTAAATGAAAATTGTTTAACTTTCAATTGTTTAAATTTCAAAAGTGTTTTGTTAAGAGTATTCAAAGAATTACCATAAACCTCTTGGCAATCTAGAGTTTTTATTGTAGAAAAAGAGCTCTTGAAACCTCTAGTTACGAGCTTTTCAGCTTTTTTCAGCTTATGTCATTTAGCTTTTAAATTGTTTACTTTTTTTATGGTTTTCTAAATATAACTTTAAATGTGCTTTAATTTTATGGTTAAGCAATAATTTTATGGTTAAGCAATAATTTTATGGTTAAGCCAATAATTTGAAACAAATTTAAAAAAGTAAAATTTTAGCTTAAATGTTAAATGCAACATTAAAGTTTTTGCAATAAAAAAAGTTTGAAATTTTTTTTGTTACACATTTGTTAATTTAAAAAAAGGTATAAAAAAGATGCAAAGAGTGGTTTTGTATCTCTAGTTTGTACACATTTTAGAAGTTTTAATTTGTAGTATGAGTTCTGGGTGTTTGAATCGTTTAGGTGATCTTTATGTTCATGCTGATTTGCATGGAGCAAGTAGTGTCATTATTAAAAACTCAACTGGATTGGATGTTCCTCCTAAAACACTAAATGAAGCTGGTACAATGGCTATTTGCTACAGTGCAGCATGGGAGGCACGTGTTATTACGAGTGCTTGGTGGGTCTATCATAATCAGGTTTCATTGATAATAATTTGTTGTTGTTATTTTTTTAATAGTAATGATAAAATGATTCTGTAATGTTTTTTTTTATTAGATTAAATAAAATTGTTTCCAAATAAACCATTGTTTTAACTGATGGTTGCTTATTATTTAATAACAACGGTTTTCAGACTTGATTAATAATTGAGTTATCTTTTTTTTTTAATGGTTACATATTATAGGTCAGCAGTTTATTTTTGTCATTAAAAAGATTTTTATTTATACATGGGTCGAATTAACGCAAAAAAATCTAATTGCAAAAGAAAAAATCTCCCCTCCCTCTTCTTAGCCTTGGCGCCACTTTGTGGTAAGGGGGGGGGGGAGGAGTTGTGTCAGTATAAAATTGTATCCTTTCTACATTAGTTTGTAGTTGTTATTTTTTTAATATAATATCTCTCATATTTAAATATTATCTTATAATTTTCTTGTTTGGTGGAGTTTAAAAGCATAAGTTACTATTATAATTTACAGCTAAAGTTATAATTTAAAGTTTAAGTAGCAAGTTATAATGTAATGACCAAGTTATAATGTAATGAGCAAGTAAAATACTTAATACTATTACGATATTACTTTTAGTAACTATTTTTATTTAACATGTTTTTAAAATGTGCAAGTAAAAAAGTAAAATCGCTAATATTACAATATTTTTATATTGTAATATTACAATATCTTTATATTGTCAAAACAACAAAGTTGTTTTGACAATATAAAGAGTTTGCATTTATGTAAAATAACTACGTAATGCTATTGTATACAGTTTATAACAATAACATAAAATATGTTTAAAATAAAACAAAGTAAATTGTTCTTGCTAATAAATTAATACATTATCTTTAAACTTCATGTTTACACAAAATTATGAAGTTTAAATCAACAACAAAAACAAAAACAAAAACGAGTACAATCAAAGTAAAAAAACCACGTTCATATAATAAATCATTTAAAGATTGAACTAAAGATTGTTGGCAATCATAACTTTCTACACTTTAAATTTACTGTTTTCTTAGAGATATAAACTTCTAATTTTTGATGGAAATCAAATCGTCTTTTATCTCACAACTTTGTTTTGATATTTTTTGGTATTTAAATTTTTTTTACAAGTAGAGTTCTAGAATAATCATTTGATTTAAAAACTTTTTGTTATAAAGAAGTTATAAAAAGGTAATTGAATAGATAGAATAATTTTTAACAAAATAGTAAAATATATTTATCACAATACTTTGCATAATAAATTTTTTTTTTTTATTTGATAGATGAGACTGTTATCATTTTGATGTATAATCATATAAACGAGTTTCCACATGACGTAAATGTTTCCTATTGTGTGGTTATTGTTATTTATAACAATTGCAAGCGCGCATATCTTGGCTTTTAAACAATGAGTTAAACATCCATCTATCAAAACGTCCTTGGTTTAAGTATATGCTTAAATTATTTTTTTTGAAAATAACTTCTTTGAACAAAATTAAAATATTTTTTTTTAATTTAAATTTTTTATAATATAATTTTTAGTTTAACATTTGCAATAATCACTGGTTTAATGTTTTTCTCAAAACAAAAAATTATTAACAATTCAAAATGTGCAATTTAAGTAAAACTTTCTTCTTCACTTGCACTATGTTCTAAATCTGATATTTTTAGATTGTTACTGCAGCTAGATCTAAGTTTAACTTTCAGAAATTATCCTTGCAATGCCACAGGGTATTACTGACGCTGCTGCAATTAAATTTATGATTATTGAGCGTTAAAATAATTTTAAATTTTTCTAGTTTTATTTCTAATTTCAATCGCAAAATTATTCGAATAAGAGAATTTTAGAAGACTAAATGTCTTTAATTCTCGAATTAGATTTCAAATTAGACTTGAAGTACATTTCTTTTTAAAAAATATTACTGAAAAACAACTTGTTTTTGTTTATTAATATTTATATCGCTTTAAATAAAATGAAAATATAAAAAAATGGTATTGCTTTTTCATATTCTATTCGAGATTTCTCAATAAAATAATTTTTAGTTAAAAGCATAAAATATGTGCTGACAACATATAAGACATAAATAGAAACATTTCTGTGTCTTATTTTTGCGAGTCTTTGAGTAAATTATTTTAATAGTTGAGTAACTGTAAGTTAAAATTAACTGGTTATTTTGATTTAGTTTATAGGTAAATTTACTATTTTATCCATTCAATAAATCAACCTAAATATAACTGTAAAATATTATTGGCTTCCACGCAGAGATATAAAGTAATTTAAATTCAAAAGCACTTTGTATTGAATAGAAATCTCTGCGCAAAAGAGCAAATGATCATACTTCCATTCAAAAGATAAATTTAGCGTGATGTACTTTACAAGCCCTAATAAAAAACTAAGACAAAAACATTACTTTTAAGAATACTCAAAAGAAATGCTAAATTAAAAAATAAAAAAAAATTAAAAAAAAAAATTGCAAAAATCTTTTTTTAAGAAAAAGCTAATCGCTAAGGTGTGAAAAGCAATCGCCATTTGTGATCGCAATACCTTTAATTTGAGCCACGCACAGACATGCACACACAGATATATTTTTGTGATCTCGACACCCTAAATTCAAGTCCTGTAATAGAATGATAGAAATCGATGTCAAAATTGTTTATAAAGAAACAAAATTTTCAAAAACAAATGCAGCCATAAAATAAATTATGAAGATTAATTAATAAATTGATGATTGATTTTTTTTTTTTTTAATTTTTCACCAAAGTTTATTGATTTGATAAATTATTTTCAACTAGAATAAATTCTTTAACTTGCTGTGGAAATTTTTATTTTCAAATCCATTAACTTAAGTATTATAAGTTCAAGTAGGTTAAAAGTAATAAAATCTTTGTTCTGTAGATTTCTTTTGATAAAAAAAATAACCTTCTATCTCATCCTTTTTATAAGTATTTTTATTTTTTAAATAACTTTATTGATCGATTTTTTTTTCTGATGAAATAGAAATATTCTTGATAGAGTAAAAAAATTTTATTCTCCATTCTGTAAACAACTTGGGAAAAGTCCTCAACTGTTGGACCAAAAATGATTTGTTATTTTTTATTTGTATATAAAATACAAAAAGGTCATGTATTGTATGAGTGCCCAATAATGTATAAATATGATTTAGGTAATTTATTTAACAGAGCATGTATGGTAGATTTGGGTATTATGAGCATCTTGGTATATGAGCATACCATAGGATTTCTAAGATGTAAATAGTGAGGTTCAAGAATCTTTGATTTTTTTTAGTTGACTTTATGCAGTGATAACAGAAAGCAGTATAATTAGTGTAAATTTATACACAGTAATAAGCAGCTCTCATCTAATTAAAACGCTATTCAATTTTTTGTGTTGTTAAAATATTATCATTACACATGAAAGAATTTTGTTTAGGAAAACAATGCATATTATTGTTTGGAAAAACAATGCATAGAAACATTTATTTTCTACTTTACTTAAAGATACCATTTTTTTGTAATATAAGCATGCTTAAATTACCCAGTATTTTTAATTGAAATTTTTTTTTGAATAAAAGTAAAAAAATTTCATATTTTAACAATACTAAATATCTTTCTGTGATTTAAATTCTAAAAATTTGTATTTGCGTTCGAAAAAAAAAGGTTTGAGTTAATCAAATTGAAACAATAATGAATTAATTTTTCTTTTTTTTTGCATAAAAACAAAGTTTTTATTGTTTCAATAAAAAGCAGTTTAAAATTTGATTTTTTAATAATATGTTTTGTTAATAATGAACCATTATATTCCGCAACTTAGTTCTAATTGTCAGGTTGGTATTTTTTTACTTAATGTTAACTTTTTGAGCTTATTTAAAGTGCTCATTTTACCAAGCGGTCTGCTTAATATAAGCACTTTTGCTACTTTTTTAAAGCTTTTTTGTTTATAAGAAAAAATTTCAGGTGCCATAAAATATCTGTATGGATTATGAGTAGTGATTAAAAATTCTTTATTTGCAAAAATTTTCGATCCAGGATAACTTATTTTTAAAATATTCCAATTTTTGCTAATAATACCCAAATCTACCCTATATATATATTTACAAATAAAGGAAATACAACTTTTCTTGATTTTATTTGTTTTGTGTCTAATCAGCCACATAATACAAAAAAAACTGCTTAAAAAATGTAAAGTTGCAACGGAGTGAGCTCTGTTGTCAAAATAAAACAAGAGATAATTTTTTTGAATTTTCTTACTAATATTTTATATAAAAAAGTTATGTCTTGTTTTTCCCATTACCTTTTTTTTAAAACTTCAATTTTTAAACTCAAATTTTTATCTCTATAAATCTCTGATTTTCTCCATTATGATGAGACAATGATAAAACATGTAGCGGAGAAATTGTATTTGTGGAAGAGAAATGGTATTGATTTTTGTTCTTTAAAGAATAAAATTTGATGGGTAAAGCTCTTTTACTTTCTCAGTAATGCTAGCCTTAGAATTCCATATTCATACAATTTGTTTGTTAAATAAGTTTGTAAAATGTATTTATTTTGATGTAACCTTTATATATAAAACATGTTTATACTAAAATAAATTTATAGTAAAACAGATTAATACTAAAAGGTGTATATTCTAAAATGTGTATATACTAAAAAAAATTACATTTTTTTTTGATATTTTTCCTTATTTGCTTTACTTTACTACAATATTAATATAATATCAAAATCTTTTTAATAAATAAAAGGTTTCAAAAACTGCACCTTCTGGTGAGTATCTAACCACTGGTAGTTTTATGATACGTGGGAAGAAGAACTTTCTACCTCCTTCTTATTTAATTATGGGATTTTCTGTGCTTTTTAAATTGGATGAGTCTTGCATAAGTAGACATGTTAACGATAGAAGAGTGAAAAGCAACGATGATCAAGAAAATAAGGTAAAAATGATAAAAAATCTATGATTCATGATTTTAATTAAATAATTTTCAAAATTAAGTTAGTTGTTTTAATTAGATATTTAACTATAGGTCTTGCTATAACAATTATAGTTACAAGAATGGGTTAATTTACAATAAATAGAAGATGGGTGTAGTTTTAACCTGGGAAGTTGTGTTTATGATAAAGACAAGTGTAATTATAAAAAGAATTTTTATTTTTTGCTTTATATATTTTTCTTCTTGTTGATATTATTTGATCTAGTCAATTGAAGTTGAAGACTTTGAATCAAAGCAGTTAAATAATGAATTAGAATCTGAAAGTGATGACTCTTCCTCAAAAGAAGATATCCAAACAGAAGAAAGCATGGAGATGAAGGCTGATAAAATGTCAAACCTAGAAAATGAAGAACTTGTTAATGAAATGGGTAATATAATTGATAAAATTATAAAAATTGACACAGGGAAACAAGAAGGGGACACAGGGAAACAAGAAGAGGACACTGGGAAGATAAAATCAGACTCAGAAGATTTTGAAAATGCCTTTCCTGATACTAATATACAGCTTTATCATGTTTCTGGTGGAAAGTGAGTAATATTTTTTAAATGTTATATTGAAGTGTCATACTTATAGGCTAATCAGTGAGATAAACTATAGACTTTATGATGACAACTGATGACAATCTTATATAATAATACCTGAAGTATTATATAAGAAGTATATTACATATTCCTATCTATTACTTTAACGATAGGTTTGAGTTACATCCAGAAAAATCAGGAAAACTAAACACTAACACTGCAAATAATACTATTAAATCAGAAAATGACCAGATAACACAACAGCAAAAATCTTTAATGCAACAACAGGTATGTTATATACAACAGGTATATTATAGGTTATTTATGTGGTTATAGAATGAAAAAAGAGCTTTTATCCTTATTATATATGGTTTTATAAATACTATTTGTTATGATTATCTATATTTTATGCTTTATTTGTATAGTTTATGTTTACTGTAAAAAGTTTGGAATTTCTGAATTAAAAAAAAAAACGTAATTAAATAAAAAATAATACTTATGTTTACTAAACTTATATATTATTATAGTATTAAATGATTAAATAAAAACTTCCACTATAGATGTAACTTTTTATTTTTAATTTATATGCGGTATCGTACCGTTAGTACCCATAGTGAAATACCAGTGTTACCAGAGTTTTTTCTGGTTCCAAAATATAGGAATTAGAATAATATTGCTAATGGTATTGGCTAATACCAATATTTTGGTATTAAATATATAAAAAATATTTACAATTTTTTTCTAATTTTGCCTAAAATATTTAATAACAATAAAGCATTACTTGTTTATAGGGAAATAAAATGAACTTTTCATAACTAAATTGGCGAGTATAAGATGTTTTGCATGATTTTTTATTCCAGTCTAAATATTCACAAACAATTACAATTCTTCCAGTCTAAATTTAAACCTTTCTGACTATTACTTTCTTTAACTGTTTTTAAAAAACAAAAATAATCAAACACTCCAAAATACACAAGAGATTGGTAAAACCCTGCCAATATTACTCAAGTTAAAAGCTTGCATACATTGTTCAAACGTTTCATGAAATAGAAAAGTTGCTTTTGCAAGTTGCTGACTGACCTTGAGTGCTGTTGTGACATGGCCTTGGAAGCATTGTGTCTAAATAATGCAACAGTCAGTCAGTGTCAGCTGATACAACACTATTGTTCATGATATCATTAATGCAGAATTAGTTGTTGAATAGAAAGCAAATTTTTACTATTAAAAATTTTGAATATATATTAGTCAGGGATGCGGAGTCCTAAAAGGACCCCGGCTTTATAACTTTTTTTTTTTTATGGTCTCTAGTGTCCAGAAGCTCTAAACATGTTGGTTGATTAATGATCTGCTATAAGAAAAAATATATATATTTAATGACTTGGAACTTATTGTCTTTAAGTCTGGAGTCTCGGAGTCCTTGCCGCCATTATACCTAAGGACTCCGGATTCAAAAATGGATTATTCTTCTGACCTATAAGTCTTGATTTTTTCCGCATTAGTAGCCCATAACCTTTTTTTTATATTTTTAAAGCTCCTGGATACCAAAAACTAGAAAGAATTTTTTTTTTACTTTCAAATCTGGAGTCCTTTTTGAAACTCCACATCCCTGATATCAGTATTGAATGCACTAAATACTAACATGGTCCCTACTCAAGAGAATTATTATAACTTATTACATCAGCTAAAACTTAAATTCATTAATGTCATTCAGTAAGGTTGTATCTTTTTTTTTTGACTCATACAGTTTTTTTAAAATCTTCTATCAAGCGCTTTCTTGCTTTTTAGTTCTCATCTTAGCTTTCTGTTAACTGCCAACTTAATGATTGGTTGCAGCCTTGTTAGGAGTGAATTAAAACAAAAAAACAACAAATAAGAGATCATTATAAAAAATGTTTTTATTTTTTATTTTAAAAATAACTTTAAATTTTTTTTTAGAATCGCAAACCAAGAATATCCGCCAAACAGCGAAGGTAAATTTTATGATGCTGATAGTGAGGATGATGATGATAATTGGTTGATTGATTGATTAATTGATTTATATGATTATCATGATGAAAACTTTTTTATAGAGATTTAAAAAAAAAAGTAAAACAAAACGATAACGAGGATAATGACACTGTTCCTGAATCTTCAAACAATATAAAAGAAAAATTAGAAAGCACTACCAAAAATAAAGTAAGTTTTTAAAGTTCTTAAAATAAATTAAGTTAAAAATTAATGTAAACTCTAAAACAATATTGTAATATAGAGTAAACTCTTGATAATTTGAACTTTCAAGGAACTAAGAAAATAGTTCCAGTTAGCAAATGTTTAAAGACATATTCGAAATATTATGTGCAGTAAAATTCCAAAAGTCTTCTTTATTAAGTCTGTTAAATAAAAATATTTAAGAATTTTTTTAGTATTTGACTTCATCACTAAGACTGAAGGCTATATAGTCATACAAAACTTGCAATATCTTCTGAATATTACTAATTTTGGGGCAAACTGGGTCTATCATAGATTATTATCCATATAGATCATCTTAATTTGCCATATTTTCAACTTATATCAGCTGTTCATCTGTTAGTAAAGGAAGTGTACTTATTAAGTTTTTAATAAGACTTTAGGCAGACTAAGCTACAGCCTAGGGCCATGCAATTATAGGGGCTCCAAAATGGATTTAAATAATATTTTAATGTTCCAGGGTTTTTAAAGACTTATTTTTAAAAATATTTTTTTTGTGATTTTTGTTTTTTATTTATTTAATTTTATTTATCAAATTTAAGATCACATAAATTTCAAGTTATAAGATATATTTATAATAAATAAATGAACTTTGTCTTTAATTAAATTATGAATAATTTTGAATCAGAACAATTAGCTTCAGAAAATGTTATTTAAGATTCAGGCCAAAAACCAAATAGTGAAAGGTACAACCCCAAGTGGTTGATATAGTCGCTAGCAAAAGGAAATATTTTATGCTTAGTGTGTAAAGTTCTGAAAATTTCTTATTTTTGTCTTGCTGGATAGCCTTTTTAAGCTAGAAATTTTTTTTTTTTTTTTTTTTTTTTTTTTTTTTTTTTTTTTTTTTTTTTTTTTTTTTGAAAAGCCATGAAAACCCTGTAGAACACAGAGAAGCTTTGATGACTTATTTAATCCAAAGAAGTCACATTAAACACATTAAACAGGAATTATGGAAAAGAAACTGAACAACAATATTTGAGTTTAAATAAGTAATTGTTTTGATTTTGATTTTAATTTAAACAAATTTAAAAAAAAGTTATGTTTACATTGATTCAGAAAAAATGTTTTATTTATCTAAAGCAGTTTGTGATGAATTAGTTTCTCTAATGGAAAGATATTTTCTGAAAGCTGTAGTGAGAGATGTAAAAATTTAAAATATTTTGGATTCTCAGTAGATTTTTTGCATGACATATCTCATTATGATCAACTTTGTATTTGTAACGATGTGCATGAAAAATCACACAAACTAATAGGGGGCAGTACTTGAAATTCACAAAAAAATTTGAAAGTCACACGTGCAAATTTAGCCAAAATTTTGAATTTTTGAATGAAATTTGAGTAAACTTTTCAGATTGCAGATCTCTATCATACAATAACGCATCTAACATGTCTGGAGAGCATTTATCAAAATTTTATCAAAAATGGAAGAGCTTGAATTCTTAGTTAGAATTCAAGCTCTTTCATTTTTAGTAAAAAAATTTTAAATCAGCAATTAGAGCCACTTTAGGTTTAAAATTGTTAGGAAGATCATTAATATAGATAAGAAACAATACAGACCAAGGAGAGAACTTTACCCCAGAATTTACCCCAGAGTTACTCCAGAAGTTACTGGAAATGAGGAAGAGTGTTGACCATTGATTATGACTCTAATACTGCGGTTAGAAAGAAAGATTGTTGAAGCAGCTGCTGTAGTAATATTTTTAGAATTTTTAGACAAAGCGACAGATTTAATTTTAGGCTGTTGGAACAGAGTTATATGTTTATAATATTTTTTTTGTATATTCTTTAAAAAATACATGGCATCATAAAAAAGCCCAGTTTTTTTTATGATGATATATGACATAAAAGCATTTTAAATTATGTTTCTACTGATTCTATAGATGAACCATTTAGTGTAAAGTCACTAAAATCAATAATTTTAGACAAATAGATAAAGATAAAGAATTTTATCTGAAACAACATCATAAATAGTACAATTTTTGAGAGAATGAAGAACTTTTGGGAGAATGTGAACAATATTTGGGAGAATCTGAACAATATGGAACAAAGAGAAATTATAAGTGAAGAGGAAGCACATAAAAGAATAGTCAGAAAAATAAAAGTTAATAATAGGACAAATCAGAAAATTTATATAATGTATTTGACTATTGGAATCTTTGTAATTAAGAGAAGTTTAAATCTGTAACTAAGGACTGTATATAGAGTCTTGACAACACACATCGAAACTGCAAACAAAAGCACCACGCATGCACAAAAGGCACTGTTAATACTTGGTATTTTACAGCTTTTAATGGAAGGTTTTTTATTAGCTGATACTGAGTTTGAGAAACTTTACTACTAACATGCTTCAGAACCATCAAACTGAATCTACAGTCTGTGAGTTGAATTTAGAAAATTCAAATGTTCATCCTTCTAGGCAGGAAACATTGTAACAGGTTTGTTACTATGCCAGCCAGCTAGATAAAAAAAAAAGGACAACTTTGCTTACAGAAAATATTTTCTTTGTCTCAATATTTTTTTAGACAACAGGTTTTAGAAAATAAGTTTTAGACAACAGGTTTTAGACAATAAGTTTTAGACAATAGGCTTTAGACAACAGTTGGATGCAGATTACATATTCAAAAAAGATTTATCGAGACATTTTTACATTGTCTCATCTTTTTCTAAAATAATTCTTTTAAACAAGATTGTACAACAGATGGCTTATGATTTAAAAAGTAACTCTTGTTGCTAAAACTTGACAAGAAAGTTGATATTATAAAAACTTGTTATTATAAAAATATATTATATAAAATATAAGAAAACTGTTAAAAGCCTGTTATTATAAAAAATATAACAATACCTAGAGGGTTGGCAATAGTGATGTTAAGTTTATTTTTTAGGGATTTTTACTCTATAATAGTTCTATGTAAAGGAAATTTTTATTTATTGTTGCTTTAAAATGACTGTATGTTGTTTTAACAAGTTATGATAAGACATTAGAAAATATGTTTAAAGTTTAAACAAAAGTAATTATTTCTTTAAATATTGAGAAGAGACATCACTTTAGTATTTTAAATATTTGACTTGATTAGTTAATTATTTTATTATATACTGTGACATCACTTAAATATTTTTAATATTTGACTTGATTAACTAATTATCTTTTTAAATATTGAGACATCACTATAGTATTTTTAATATTGAAGTGATGTCTCAATAATTTTAGTTGATGGAACTAGAGATGATAGCTCCTTTAGGCAGTGTCCATTACAGTATTAGAAACTAATTAACAATATCCATGATAAGAGAAAGAGATGCAACTTTATTACGACAGAAAACAGACTCAAGCTTAGCAGATAAGGCGGATCCAACTATGTTTACAATGCATTTTTGTACCTTAGATAAGGTACAAAAATGCATTGTAAAGAGCAATCATCATTAGAAGAACCAACCCAAATATGATAACAGTATCCCATACAGGAACAAATAAGAGATTTGTAGAGGTAAAGAATAGAATCAGGAGTAAGGAAATGGCAAGCACAATAAATAGAAGCAACCTGAGCAGATACTAATTTAGCAATCAATTGTATATATGGTTTCCATGAAAGGTCAGTAGTAAACGATAATGCAAGAAAATGTAAAAAAGATGACTCAGTGAGAGGGTTGCCATTCATTAATATAGGAATGTCAACACTATTACGATAGTTGTTTTCAGTAAATAACTGAGTTTTGTTGAAGTTAAAATTAACAAGCCACTGCAAGCCCCAATCTATTACAGATTGGCATCAGATTTAAGATCAGCTGCCTGTTTAAAGTGATCAAAAAGAGAATACTTTTTATCAAGACAGGAGTATAAAGTTAAGTCATCAGCAATAAGAGTCACTTTAGATTTAAGATTGATAAATCAAGAAAATCATTAATGTAGGTAAGGAACAATACAGGACCAAGAATAGAACCTTGAGTTACCCCAGAAGTTACTGAAAATGAAGAAGAGTGTTGGTCTTTAAAGGGACCACCAAGTTCCGAGACATTTGTGTTCATAATAAAAAGAATGTTAAAAAAAAATGTCTGAGCAAATTTTTTTTGATTGAAACTAATTAATAAATGTATACCAAGAAAAATAAATCTTGTTGTTTTAGTCGAAGCTTGTCTTCTCCATTTTCTGCGATATTTGGAGTCTTTAAAATAAACGCGATTTTCCAGGCGCATTATACAGACTTGATAATTTATTCAAGTGCATAAGCCATAATATTAAAGTAATAGTTCATTTGATAATATATTCTTAAAATAATTTATGTTAGATATCTCAAAATGCAACAAATTGTGAATAATACAATTGCTAAAACATTTCAACAGAATACTCTAGAACTTTATTTCGCTTAGTCAGAGTATTTTTTAAACCAATAGAATTAGATTGTTCGTAAATTTGACGGGTTTTTAGTGTTCGCGAATATTCTTTTTATTCTTCCGCAAGATGTTTTACATTCAATTTAATTATGTTTCCATGTATGTCAGTAAAAAAAAAACTATTGTATATTAATTTTTAAGCCCCTGTCATAATATATATTGGGTGTTGTAATAATGGAAATATAAATAATGAAATAAAATCACCTCAATACCAAAAAATACATTTTTGAAAATCAGAGAAAAAATGTGTTAACAATTTTTTTTTAATATTTACAAAGTAAATTTAAAAAAGTGCATTATTATTTAGGTTGAATTTTATTTTATCTATTATTTTGAAAAAAAAACTTATGACAAAAGAAATCAAAATACATGTGGTCTAAACGATTATTTAAAAAAAGTTGCTCAAATAAAATACTATTTTGTTTTTAATTTTTTTACAAACACATTTTAGAACTTTAAAATATAATAAAAATGAATATTATTTGGAAATTGAATGTAAAAAATAATAATTGGTGTTTTAAACAAACAAACAAAAAAATCTATGACGTCATGTACCAAAACTTCTATGAATTAAACGCACTTGAATAAATTATCAAGTCTGTATAATGCGCCTGGAAAATCGCGTTTATTTTAAAGACTCCAAATACCGCAGAAAATGGAGAAGACAAGCTTCGACTAAAACAACTAGATTTGTTTTTTCTTGGTATACATTTATTATTTAGTTTTAATCAAAAAAAATTTGCTCAGATGTTTTTTTTTTAACATTCTCTTTAATATGAACACAACATGTCTCGAGACTTGGTGGTCCCTTTAAGGATGACTTTAATAAAGCAGTTAGAAAGAAACACTTTGATAATCTCAAAAACTTTTCCAGATATACCATATGAAACAAACTCATAGAGAAGACCAGCATGACAAATTTTGTCAAAAGCTTTAGGTATGTCAAGAGTAATAGCTCTGACATACCTAGAGTAATAGCTCTAACCTCTAAAATCTTTTAGTCACAACAGTTACCAAGTCATAGAGCGAGAGAATCAAAAACCTTATTATCTGACAGTAAGTTATTTGAATCAAAATGGGAGTATAATAAAAATGGGTAAATAAAATTGAGAAAGTTGTTGATCAAAGACTCAAAGACCTTGCCAGTAACAGAAAGAAGACTAATCGGGCGATAGTTGGAGGGGTCCAAATGTTCACCTGAGTTTTTGAAAATTGGAGCAACAGATGCCAATTTCCAGCAGGCAGGAAAACAAGAATCAGGGTTTTTTTTAAATAGTTTAGAGAGAATTGAAGAGAGTTCTGAAAAACACTATTGTATTTTATGTCAGGATTGTTGTTGGGATCACAAGCTGTAGAAGAATTTAATTTAGCAACAGAAGCTGGAGTGATTGAATGTACAACAGTGAACTAACAATGGGTTAACCTGTTTAATTGGGAGGGAAGGAAGAAAATGGCCATAAGATTAGAGAGTCGAATTAGAAAAAAAGTTCTTTGAAAATAGTTCTGCCTTATCCTTGGCAGAGGTAGTAAGATCAGTCCCATGAATGAGAGATGGAATGTTAGACCTATCCTTGTTAACAATAATTTTCCATAAGTCTCTAGAGCCTAACTTCTAAGATAAGATACGAGATTTAGTAAACTAAGAATAATGGAGTTTAGCATCAGACAGCACCTTTTTACATTGATTTATTGCAATATTAATTTATTATTAATTAATTAAATTTATTGCTGTTTGTTAAAGAATTGTTTTTCTGAAAAAAATGTTATAATTAGATAAAAAAGCTGCACAAGATTTAGAAAGCCATGGAGTAAAATGAGGCTTGACATGAAACCAATGAGAAGGAGTAAAAGCATCAATTCTTGTCTAAATCCAGGAGGTTATGTAAGATGTGCATTTATCAGCTGACAAAGAAAGACATCAAACCAAGGATTGTCATGATGAAAATCACAAAAAGAATACCAGTCAGCTTTTGGGTAGTAGTAAGTAGTGCAATGATAGGGTGAGTTTGAAAAAAAAGTACGAGATGAAAGTTTTAAAGAGATCAATACATGGTTAGAACCATCTAAGGGAGAAAAAGGAGAAACTGAATACAAGCTAGTATCAGAGACAATGCGTAAATCAAGGAGTGAAGTTAAATGATTAGAAATTACAATTTGATCAGAAATTACATCTATAAGAGAGCAGTCCTGGGAAGAAGGAGAACAGTAAAGAACAAAGAGAAAGGTGATAAAGTGAAGAGGTGCTATGTGGAAACACATAAAAGAATGGTCAAACGATTTGAACCTGATTTCACGACAAATAGGGGAATTAATGCATATGTATACCCCCAAGCCAAGCATGTGACTATTAGAGTCTTTGCAAAACAAAAGAGAGTACCCATCAACACTCAGGTCATACAAAAGAATAGCGGAATTTAAATTAATCTCACTAAGAGCAAGAAAGTCTGGTGAATTTTGCAAGAGCTAAAATTCAAATGATGAAAGGTTGCTTTGAAGACCATGAATATTTGTAAAAGATATATTAATACAGTTAGGTTGAGGGGATGGTTTTTTATGTTTAATATTTTGGAATGCTTTTGGCATGATTTAAGTTTAAAGAGAACTTGACTCATTCATAGATAGAACACAGCCTCCTAAGTAATGAGCTATGCAATTGTCTCCGTTCTGTTAATTAAAATTTAAGTTGTAACATAGGGCTCCTTATGTGGCCTCAACAATGCGGACCAAAAGCATTACCATCCATGCGCAACATGGCACTGTTAATACTCTGATATTTTGCAGCTATTGATGTAATCAGCCTCTCTGAGAGCTACCACAGAATTTGTGAAACCTTACTACCAGTAATTTTGCAAGAATTTGCAATTACGCTGCCTAAGAACCATTAAACTGAGTTTTACAGCTGTACCCTCATAAGGAGGTAACAGTAAGAGTTGCATAGCCACTATCAAGGAGACACTAGCAAAAACCTATGAGTAGAGTCAAGAAGATCCAGCATTCATCATCCTAGGCAGGAAACAATGTAACACAGGTTTACATCTACTCCAACCTAATGATGAAGAAGGGGTTTAAGGGTGGTTAGCAGATTTTTTCTGCTTACCCCTAAAGTCTTTGCCTAGAAGGCCTCCTTTTCCTTGATGCAATTAACATCTGTCTAAGATGAGTATTTTTATCAAGATACCATCTCTAGCCTTTACTCAACCAAGAGCCTTAAAGCAGATTTTTAAGTTGGAGTTTTTTCCTCCTAGTCTTCGCCTAAAATAGCATACCCTACAAGGCAGCAGAGCATGGGGCAGTTACTGGATGACATGATACCAGTAGCAGGGTGATTGTGATGAACCTGAACTTGACCTGACCTGGAATAATTAAAAGACTTCCTGCAATCAGTGTTATAAAACATTACGCATAATTATTATTAACCAAGTCAAATATTAAAAATATTTTTAATATTTGACTTGGTTATTTGATTATTTCTTAAAATATTGAGGCACCACTTTAGTATTTTTAATATTTGTCTTGATTAGTTAATTATTTCTATAAATATTGAGACATCACTTTATAGTGATCAACCAAAACAGAAAAATAGCCGAAACTGATATAAACTGAAGTTTTGGATAGTTTGGTGTCAAAACCAAAACCGACAATTCAGCAAATATTTAACCAAAATCAATGCTGAAATTTCAGCTAATCAAAATTAATTTCATTGAAAAACTTTATTCAAAAATTCCATTTTACATTTCCTGTTTTTTTATATGCGTATTATGTTAGAATTGATTACACATGTTTCACAAATTAAGATTTTTTCAGCAAAACAATAATTTTTTGAGGTATTTTTTGAAAATTCTTAAAACTTTAGTGCAAATTCTCAAAATATTTTGTGAAAGCTTTCAAAAATAACTATTTTTCTAAATTTTTTAATTTTTGTTGTAAATTTGAAAATTACAATTGTTGAATTAAGATTAACTTTCAAAATAAAAATCAATTAAATGAATCACCTTTTTAATATTTTAAAAATTAAAAAAAAAAATTTAACTTATTGCATTTATTTTTTTCATTTAATTATTAAGTTATTTTAAATGCTTATATATTTAACAAAAAGAATTCAATAACAATGCTTTATCAAACTATAAAGTAAAAAAACATAAAAATAATAATAATAAAAAGGTCGTTATGAAAGATGTTTTTTATTGGATAAATTAGTATTATAAAATTATTAATTTTTTGTACTTTAAATGACAAAAACTTATTTTTTTTTTTTTTTTTTATTAAAACAACAAGGTAAGTAACTCAATTTTTTTATTTCTTATGTCATTTCTGATTTTTTTTTCTTTTTTTTTTTTTTTTGTAAATTATATTGAGACTAATTTTTAAGGTTCCAGCTAATAAAAGTGTTGCTGAAGTTAAGACATGTGATCCACCAAAACGTGGTGCTAAGGTACTATATATTATATCAATATATTTGTTACCTATGTATAAACTACTTTGTATATTATATCAACATATTTGTTACCTATGTATAAACTACCTTGTGTATTATATTAACATTTTTGTTACCTATGTATAAACTATCTTGCTTGCTATCATACTGGCATAACATTTTTCTAACTGTCTTTCTTAATACAAAGTCTTTCAATCTTACTTTTGACATCTAAATATCTTGCTAATGACATAACATCTTGCTAATGACATAATATCTTAATAATGACATAACATATTGATAATGTAACAGTTGATAACTAGATGACATTTTACTAAATTAACATTTGCTAGTGTTATTTATTAAATGTACAGCATTTTGCTAGGGTATATAGCATTTGATGTACATTTATCATCCTATCATCTTACATTCATATTAAACTTAATTTATTAAAAACAATGCTATCCTAAATACTGTATACAGCATTGTTTTTGATAAATTATGTTTGATACTTTAATATACTAAGTAAATAATTCAATTTTTCAGGCAAAACTTAAAAAGATTAATGAAAAATATAAAGACCAAGATGAAGAAGATAGACAACTTTTTCAAGAAATCATCAGAGTGAGTTATTTTCTTACAAATAAAGTTTTACATTTGTTGTTACTTTAATGTTTTATTGGAAAACAGTTGTTTACATTGAAGGCTTCATCTTTAGTCTAATGAACCAGCGAGGCCGCCAAAGAAGACAGGAAAAAATAAAATTAAAGAAAAAAATACCAAACAAGTTCAGCAACAAAAACGAGAAGTAAAAAAAAATACAGTTGAAACAATTATTATTGAACAACCAGAAGGGGATCAAAGTCTGACTAATAATATCATTGCTAATGATGAAGAACCTGATGAGGAAATTGAAAAGGTAAAAATAAAACTTTAGGAAAACTAAATTCATTTGTTTCTTTGCTATTTTTTTAAATTCTATTAATAAGCTCTAATTACTGCAATATTTATCACTAATAAAAAATACTTTTGTTATTCTAATAGGTTTTGTATTTGAAAAATAACAAAAAATATGAAATATTGACATTTCAGGTTATTTTTGGTTATTTGTGTAAAATTATGAGAAAAAAGTTACTCCTTTATTTTCAAAAGATTATAAGAGAAATAGTTTATTTTCAAAAGATTATAAGAGAAAAAGTTTATTTTCAGAAGATAATAATTTCAGACAATTCAGATTTAAAAAATTATTTTAATGAGAAGTTTTTAAAAAATTTAACACAATTTATCAGATGTTGAACAACAAACTCTGGACAATGTTTTGATGCAAATTAAATTAAAAATAATTTATTTAGTAATGCAGTGGAGAGATTAAAAGAAGAATGGAAAACAATTACCCCATTGCAAAGTGGTCCAGGACCGTGCCATAAATACAAAAAAAAATTGAACTTTATATGATATTTGTAGACCAGATTTAAACTTTCAAGGTCCACAATTTTTTGAATGGCGTTTAAGGAGGTTTTGAATTTCAAAAATTCAAGAAAAAATTTTTTAACAGAATCTCAATCTAAGAAAAAAAGATTTTTTCTTAGACCTTATTGAGTCTGAAATTACGTCAGAAATTACTGAAAATTTAGGAGTTGCCTTTATTTACTTATTTTTAATCTTAACAAAGAAGGATGGTTAAAAGATGTTTTAAAACTTTTTCTGGACATTTTGTTAACATTTTATTTAATATATGGGTCCTGTAAATCATGCTCTAAAATGTACTCATATCATGCTCTAAAATGTACTCATATATCATGATCTAAAATGTACTCAGCAGAAGAAGATTCAACTCTAATCAGAGACTTTAGAATGAGTAGGGCTGACTATCAAACTATTCATCAAAGAGCCTTAAATAAAGGTTGCATTTTATACCCTGCCTATAATTATATTGTTAAAGTTAAAAATGATTGCACTCCAAATTCTAAAAATGTTCAAATGTTTTTTGTTAAAGAAAATCAGCAAATCGGTAAAAAAGAATATGATTTTTTTATGTCAATTGATCTCAACTCAACAGCAATTGACTCATTTTCTGGATATAGTGATACTGGATTTTTTCATGCAACCCCAGCTGAAAAAAAACAATTAGTTGCATGCTGAGCAAAAAAAAAATATATATATACTTGGACTTGATGCTGATATTCTAAGAAGCAAAGGTTCTGGCACATCCAATAATGAAAACTCAGCAAGAAGAGTATTTAGAAGCTAAGAAACCTTTGCTAAAAAACATAAAGTTGATAAAAGTTTTGTTAAAAGATTCTTCATTATTATTTTTGTTTTGTACTGTAAGCATCTAATTAATCAGAAAATCAGAAAAAAAAAATCAGGAGATCAGAAAAAAAAATGTCGAAAAATTTTGAAAACACTTTTAAAAAATATTTTCTTGGAAACTTACAAATGAGAATAGCAAGATTTCTCTGCTAATCAGACCCCTTCACCACTTCTATGAGGCGGAGTTCAGAATCAAAGAAGTAGCTTGCCTCTCCAGAAGAATATTTTGATCTTCAATTTAAATTTAAAATAAAAATTATATTCTTCATATCTAACTGATTGCTGTATTGATGATATGGTTCCCAATTAGGTTTACTTTATTTAGAAAAATTAATGAAAACCCACATTCTTAAATATAAAAAAATATAAAAATGGATGTATAAAATTTTTTTTTAGAATCGAGATGCAACTCATGTTTCATTGCTATTTTTGTTATTACCTAAGCCATTTTTTTGATGATGTGGATAATTAATCAACTAGGTGGTCAAACAAGTGTTTTTGAAATAAATTTTAACATATTGATCTAAATATATATAGAAATAAAATAAAAATGTCACATGTTAAATCATTTGTCCTTAGTGTGTTATTTTAGAACTTGCTTATGCTTTACACTAAAGCTATTAAATATACTATGAATCCAAGATACTATTAAATTTTGTTTGATATGAAAAAAATAATTGATAAGAAATGTGTTTTTTTGTTGTTGTTATTTTGTGTCCTTAATGTTTTCTTTGGTTTGCTTCATGTTTATGCTGTGTAACAAGATTTTTTAAACCATATCTCAAATGTCTATAAAAATAAGTTTAAAAAAATAAATGTCTAATGTTTTGTTATGCTTTGTGCTTTTACTATACATGTATGATCATTATCCAATTAAACAAAAATGTATTTTAAATGCTAGTGACTATTTATAATCATTTAATTGGAAGTTCACGCCTCCTTCCAAACCGATGTTGCAAAACTTGTAAAAAATACATAAAACCATTTTTCTTGTCATTTGTTCTTTGGGTTTGTCTCATTGGTGTGTTCATCAGACGTATGGTAAGGGTTGAGGTTTGTGTCATTGGTGTGTCTATCAGAGGTATGGTAAGGGAAATACCAATAATAATTATAATAGGCCATGGTATAGCAAATATTTACCGAAAATTTCAGAGTGCTTCAAAAATGATAATGATATGATTTTTACCTCAAAAGTCATATTTCTGGACCAGTGTGCATTGTGCAAAAAAATCACAGTTTGCACCCTAAAATATATAAAACCAACTCAAGAATAAATTTTCTTAAGGTGGTGACTGTATACTAGATAAGGTACAATATGATAATAAAATTGACCTTCTATTAGAAGATGTATAAACTCCTCTAAACTAGATACCTATAAACTCCTCCTTCATAATCCAATGGTAAAAACACTAAATGATTTTAATACTCTCATAGACTACATGACTTTCAACTATATAATAGATAAAACAGTATATTTTTTATGGTCTGATACATCCTGTCGCTGCCCAATTTTTTATGGATTGCCTAAAACTCATAAAGTAGGGACATTGTTGCCACCTGTTGGTTCAGCATGTAATGGTTCAACCAACCATTTACCTAAATTTATTACACATTTTATTCAAACAGTGTCAGACTCATTTCCCTTTTATATCAAAGATACTACTCGTTTTTTTGAAATGCTTCAATTGCACCAATTTATCTCTTCTAACTATTTTTGTCACAGCAGATGTCATCTTATGTATACCAATACTCCCCACCAAGAAATAGTTGAAGTAATATTTTTAATATTTTATATAAAACAGGTTCTGATTTATCAGATATTACTATTATGTCCTATATAGTATAATTTGGGAAACTATTCTTTCAACATTTTCTAATTTGCTGATAGGTTCTACCAACAGAATAATGGTTTATTAATGGGCATATACTTATATATATATATATATATATATATATATATATATATATATATATATATATATATATATATATATATATATATATATATACACACTTAATACAGGAAACCAAAAGATACAATGAGCATTCTACCCCATGACTCCGATTCCCAAGGGATACACTATAAAAAAGTTATATCAGAATGGGAAAATCTTCATAAAGAATTGCTAACTTTAGCATAGAACTTTATACTAAGGGAGTATTTGCAGTGAAGGATATTAATTTACTATTTACTAGAGCTTTACAATTAGTCAAAAAACAATGATTTACTTAATTATTAATTTTATTTACTCACTGGTTTAAGTAAATGTAACTTCAGTGGTATATGTAGTTACTTGCATTTTTTCCTAATTTCGCTTGGGCTCGACAATTTGGTCTAATCCTTTGATGTTTTTTTTTTTTTTTTTGCATTTCTTTTGCATTTTTAAAAGTGTTTATTATATAACATTGGTTAAAAGAGTTATGAATATCCAAACGCTAAATTTATTATTACAGAGTACGGGTATCAGATAGATACAAATATCAGTTATACTAATATCAAATATATCAGAATTTAAGAAATTAAGTGTTTATATTTTTATGTTTTGACTTCAACAAGAATTTTATGTTAAACTTTTTTTTTCATTAATATTATTATTTATTTTTTGTAGGAAAATATAACAATTATTGACTCACTAACTGGTTGTCCTCTTGAAGATGATATACTATTGCATGCAATACCTTTATGTGCACCTTACAGCTCTCTTCAAAATTATAAGTTAGTTTTCTTATTTGTAAATGAGAAATTAAATTTTCAAGTAAACTTGCTAAGATTTGGTTTCAATTTTATTTCCTGTAATTTATGCTTTGTTCAAATTTTATGTTCTTGTTTAATAGAAAATAAGAATTGATATATATATATATATATATATATATATATATATATATATATATATATATATATATATATATATATATATATATATATATATATATATATATATATATATATATATATATAATAAAAAATAAGAATTGAATATATATATATATATATATATATATATATATATATATATATATATATATATATATATATATATACATACATATACATACATATACATATGTATATATATATATATATATATATATATATATATATATATATGTGTGTGTGTGAGTGGGTATAAAGTTAAAGTTATAAAGTAAGTTTTAAAAATAACTAATGATTAGCCTTGTTGAAAAACGCAAAACATATAATTGGAAAGTTTCAAAAAATATTATTATTATTTTATGTTTTTGCTGACTCGTGTTTTATTTATTGAAGGTTTAAAGTCAAGCTTACACCAGGAACTGGAAAACGAGGCAAAGGTATTATTTAATGTTTTTGATTACTCGCAAAATTATTTAAAACAAGTTTTAAACGTTATTTGAAAAAAGTATGTTTTAATAAGCACGGAAAATGGTATTCTTACTTCTTAATTCTTAAAGTTTAATTTGTAAAGTTTTTTAGATTTTGTTACGTGCATTTATTTGCACGAATTCAATTTTTTTTTTCTTACCTTAATGCAATTCAATTCATCTCAATGATTGAGAAATACGAACAAGAATACAGATAGATAAATCTACACTTGCTTAGAAGTTTTTGTAAAAGAGAAAGAAATATAATTTTCATTTGCTTCTAAGTTAGGATAAACAAATCTTCATGATTTTAATTAAGTTTCAAGAAAAAAATCAATATTGTTTAACAAATTCTGTTTCAGCTGCTATTTCATCTCTGCATTCTTTTCTTATGACCAAAGGTATTAGCGATTGGGAGAAGGATCTTCTTAAATGTTTAAAGGTAAGTTTATTTAATCAAAAAAGAGCTCTGTTGAATAATATTTGTTTGTAAATTTTAGTAGTATTCAATTCTAAATATATATTATGTAAAGTATATATTGTGTTAGAATTTATTCTAAATGTTATTATAAGGTTATTAAACTTTCAAACGAAAAATTTCTTTAATTTACAAACTCGTTGGAAATAACTTTTTTTAGGACTCGGATATTTCAAGAAATTTACCTGGAAAAGTGAAAGTTTCTGGACCAAATTTGCATAAAGTTAAAAAGAAATGATTTAGATTAAATGATAAAACGGTTTTGTCTCGTTGTTGTCTCGTTGTTGACTGTTCTTGTTATTTGATTAATCGCATGATTTCCGTCGAAGAGCAATATCGCTTGCAGTCTTTTGAATTCAATTTGGTTTTGATCTATAAAAAAAATAATAATAGTGCTTCTCTTATTTATAAATTCATATTAAATAAACTTATGTGGCTCTTTTTAATGTATCCTATTGCGGCTTTCTTTAAACTCAAACGTATCTATCTGGAATAATTACTAGTGTCCTAATATTAATAACAAAAAAAAAAAATTTTTAAGTATGTCAACTCTACAACTTATAGCGTAACTATAGGAAGTTCAAAAAAAAACATTAAATTTCAGATTTAAGTATAAAAATTTATATATGTCAATTGATTCAAATTTCTATTAAATTTTCTTTTAATTGTTATTTATTTTTTAACAAGAAAATACTACTTTATTCGAAAAATTTTTTACATTGGTTTTTTCGACATGGACTTTAACAACTAATTCTGTAAAGTTTGTGGCGTTTGTCGAATTCTTTGAGAAAATTGAAAAGAAATTTTTGTTTATTGTGCTCATTATTATAGCTCCATCTGTAATAGTTTGTTTAACTGTTTCTTGAGTTCCATCAGTTCAATATAATGCTTTTATTGATTGTTTTGTTGATGTTTTACTGATAATATACGCATGTACCGATTTGAGATTTAGTTTGTAACTCAGTGCTAGTTTTTGTTCGAAATCCCGAATTCTTGGTTCAACATTTATCTCCAAATTCAAATGTTTGTTTGACAAACACAAATACTTTTGCATTTGCGGCACATAAACCACAGTTATAGATGAATATAAATTTCTTTTTCAGCAAAACTTACATTAATAGATTTACATTAACGACCAAATTTTATTTATGATGCAAGTAGCTTGATAAACTTTTTTTTACTTTTCTAACAACAAATATCTGCTTATTGTTGAAGTAGGGTTTAAAAGATTCTTTCTTTTACAAAAATGTTTTTTCCAAGTTACATGCTTGTAAATTCAATAAACTTCTTTCAATACTTCTGTCTTTTTTCTGTCAATTGATATAGCTCTGTCTTTTTTGTTCTGTTTTTACCACCATAAGATCAATATTTTAGACATCAATATTTATAGTACTGTGTTCGTGCTCGTGATACTAGTGGTATCGCGTTTAAACTGTTCCTCCGTTAATTAGTGTTGTCTGTCAAAGTTCGTGTTTAAGAACTATAGTTTTAAAAAAGGGTTCTAAAGTTGAAAAAACTAATAATAATGATAATAAATATGTATTCTCTCTAACTGTAATGCGCCCTTGACCTTGGTCAAAAAATTATTAAAACGAAAAGCGTTACATGGGTAAGCTCTCTTATCAAACATCTATTCCGACAGTCTCCTTTAAGTCCGCAAACATGAAAAAGATTAAACTTTCAGTTAAAGACAACCTGCCCAAACCTAAACCCTCAGTCGATGTATGCACACTCACTGTGGCTATGGCTATATAAATCAGTCAATGTATGTTCACTGCTATGCGCCTCTTCCTATATTTCCTAATTTCGATGCGATGCAATGTTATTAATATATTTTATATATAACTTTTATTTTACCGGGAAGTAGAAATATAAGGTGACAAAAAGTCTCATTACCTTTTTGTTATTTTTTTATTTTTTTTTAGCAAAAAAAACAGTCCAAAAACTTCATGTTTACGACAAAAGATAAATTGTAAAAAATAATTATTTGTATATTTTACAATATACGTACTTTGCATTATGTTTAGAGTGATTACCAAAACAACATTCAAAAAGCGTTTGGTAATATTTTAATCTGTTAAAGTTTTACCTTTGCTCCAATTGAAGCGCGGTGTTTCGATTGATGGCAACAATATTACAAATTAAAGTTTGTAAAAAGGATATGTTTAAATATTTCTTTATACACACTGTACAAAATTCATTCACTAATTAAAAATATAAATGAATCTCCGTCTTAAACAGAAAAATTACTTTAATAAAAAATATGATAAAAAAATTTACGAGATCTTAGTACTACTGAGGTCTTCTGGAGTTTTTTAGTCGATTATTTATAAATGATTGTTTTAACATTTACGTTGCTTAACAGAATCAATTTTTTAAACTTGACCTGCTGTTGTCACCAAACAGCAATGCATTCTAAGTCATTTTAGACGGCAACACCTTTTGTGAATAAAAAGTAACAGCGGGTTTGTTACATTAGGCCGTCAAATGTCTTACCATGGTTTTCGTGGTTGTATCGTGCTTTATTTATTCAATTCTGATCAAGAATCGTTGCTAACAGGAATATAGTTGCGTTTTACCGATGACCTAAAATGCTGGTTGCTCTCCTCAATTGGCTCCTCGTCATCGTGATGTGCGTACATCTCTGCACCTGGGATATTTCCAATATTGTTTGCAACAGCTGCAAATTGCTCTAATGATGAGTAACCCGGCTCTCTATTTTGTTTGTTTGTAAACGCGCTCCATTGATCCGCTGTTTGAATTGGCTGAAAATTAAGTGATGAATAGTCTGTTGGTTCTGATAAAGAAGACGGTTGCGGAGCAACCACTGGTTGTCCGAAAGGTTGATTATATTGCGCAGCAGAGGGCTGTGCAGAAAATTGTTGACTTAAATATTGCTGATGAATCTGTGGATTTAGCACAGTTTGTTCAGGTTGAGGTAATAAAACACTTTGACCAACCTTCCTTGTTAATGCATCTGATGACGTATCACCTATAAAATACGTATGAAACAAAGTATAAAAGTTTTCTTCAAAAACGTGTTTACTAAATACAACGCCGCAGATATATTTCATAACTATAGGGAAGTAGCAATAACTAAACGCATACATATATTTATGCGTTTTTTTGTTGTTGCTGTAAAATACTCTTTACATATTGTTTACATTAGGTTTATAACTATACAATCCAAAAACCTTCTAAATTATTTATAAATGAAATGCATTTTATACTTTAAAATATGTTACTTAAATTTTTTTTTTAATTTTAAATAAAAAAAAAAGAACAAAAATATCCAGTCCAATAAGTCCAGGCAGAAGAATAAACTTTTCCCGCCCACTTTGTGCACTAACCAGATTTTGCGCTTTTTTTTTTGCTCGTTTTGATTTAACATCAGAACTCATTCTGTTGTTTTTAGATAGTAAAAATTTTTGATAGTAAAAAAATTATTTTTACCTAATTTTTGAAGAAATGAAAGAGATATACCTGGAACAAGATAGAGGTTTTTAGATATTGGAAGGTCAAGTTCGCCACCTGGTAGTTGCACTCCAACGCTTAAATCGTCACCCCCAGTTCCTTCCTTCATAAAACTCTCCATAAAGTAGTACTGATCTTTTGCCAAAAATATTGGGCGAGAAGTTTGCTCGGCTGGATATCTGAACAACAATTTATAATATAAAATTGAAAAATGAATAACAAATCGTATAGTTACAAAAGATTTTTTAATACTAAAATATAAATAATACTAAAAAGTTTTTACTTATGCCATTGTCTATATGACGTATAATGACCATGCTTCAACTCTAAGATTAAGTTGGAGTGAATTTCTTCAGTATCTGGACTTATCCACAACTCACATTCATTGTCACACGAAATGTAAAAAATAAACTCTCCAGTAGTGGGTGCCTACAATAAAAATGTAAAAAATAAACTCTCCTCTAGCGAATGCCAACAATAAAATAAAAATAAATAAAACTTTTTTGTTTTACTGACCATTAAAAAAAAAACAAATACGTATCATAAAATTCAAAATTTTATGATAGAGATTTTTTTTTTAATAATCATATAAAATTTAAAATTTTATATGATTATTTTATATGAAAGGCAAAAATTACATAATGAAATAAATTTTTCATAGAAACATTTATATAAATTTTAACATAAACGTCACCTTATAATAAGTTGATAGCCTCTGTCCATACCCATCTCCGGCATTTGGTGGCGCTTCAAACTTGTCTAGAACTATATATTCATCGGGATTAGTTGGAAACCGTGGATTGTTTGTAAGAAGGGTCAGTAAAGGACTTAGTCCTAAACCAAACCATACTTCTCGTAACACACCATCATCATCTAAAAACATAAAATTTATATATATATTGTTGGTATGTATGTATACATGTATATTTGTATGTATGTATGTATGTATGTATGTATGTATGTATGTATGTATGTATGTATGTATGTATGTATGTATGTATGTATGTATGTATACATGTATGTATACACTGATATTTTTAAACATTGAACAAATACCAGAATGCGGGCGATTAACTCTAGGTTGAGCTGCTACTTGCTTTGCTGTGTCATCTCTTAAAGATGGAGCAACTTGAAAAACGGGTGCAGCCAGTGGATTTGTATTTGCCGCAACAAAAGGAACAACTGGAGGAGAAATAGTTAAAGCTTGTGGTTCTAAAAAAATTTTTTTCATTTGGTATAAGATCAATATAAAATTTTTACCGCGATTGTATGGAACTTTAGAATACCTATATACAACATTAGAATATCTGTATGTATTATTAGAACACCTGCATGTAACATACCTGCATTATTATTTAGAAGTGTTGTTTCTACAACAGAAGGTATTGGTGTTGCTTCACTTGAAAAAGGAACTATTGCTTGTTGCATTGTTAAAGTTGTTATTATAGATGGTGTAAGAATTGATAGTGGTGTGGTTGATGTTGTTTGTGCATTATTTTGTGTCAACACTACATTTAAAATTATGAGTTTCAATGAATAAAAAACAATAAACTAACAGTAATCAACAAGCTATATCTTTAAAAAAAAACCTTAATTTACCTTTTGTTGAATCACAATCTACATTTCTAGGGTAGTCGCAAATATTTGTAATTGGATTAAACATTTTACCACGTTCGCAACTTTTGTAGTTGCCATGATTTCCATGGCACTCAATATAACCAACACAATCTTTAGGTATCGGACAAACACTATCGGGGATTGCGCAACACGATCTTGTCATTTGTAAAGACATACCAACAGGATGCACCTAAGATTCATTACAAATAGGTTGGTTTTGTTTAAAAAAACTCAATAGTTTTAATTAGATAATATTATACTTACAAGTTGTGGAATTTTTTCTGATTGAGTTGTTTTTGCTAAACTTATTCCTGGAGATAATATAACTTTGTGAAGGTTAACTTTAGATTTTAAAGAAGATTTTGTAGGTTTTAATGTTGGTTCGGCATGAGGAGCTGCGAATGTGTGCTTGACCTCAGCATTGACCGCAGTTGGTGGTAAAGCAGTAGGTAAAACACTTCCTGAATGAGCTACAACGCGCTGACCTAATGGAGCAAATTTTGCATTTCCAGTCAATGAAGCTGACAAAGGAGGAGAAGGTGGTGGTGGTGGAAGACTGTGCACCCAGTTTGAATGTGTATTTGTGATTAAGCTAAAAGTATGAGGTGTTGCTTTAACAACATTTGCAACAACAACAGCATGGAAATGCGGTAACTTTGGTTGAGGATACATCAATTTTGATCCAGAAGACCTAGAGTTTGTTGTTTGCATTTGACTAGTCGTAGGAGTTACAGAACTTGTTATACGTTGTGTAGTTATAGTTTTTACTTGTTGAGCTATTTTAGTTGTTGAAGCTGTTGTAGTTGGCTCATGAATTTTGGGATCAGTTCCATTATTTTCTCGCGGAATTGGTATATCAGATGATGTTTCTTGGCTAGTTGCTTTTGTCTCTAATGAAGACTTTGGTTTGTTTTCATCAGTTTGATGAGAATCTACCATCACGGGTGCAAAGTGTTTATTTAATACATCAAGAGAAGCATTTTTTGCAGGCATACGTGTCTCAGCAATACCAGGTGGAACATTGAGATCGTCATTTTTTTCTAAGACTGTGTTTAAAATTTTGGCTGATGAGTTTCTGGATAAAGCTGCAGCAGCTGCTGCTGCCTTGTGAGAATCTTCAAACTGATTGCCTTTTTGTTCAATAAGTTTTAAAATTTTAGCTGCCATATCTGGTGAAATATGAAGCTGCTCCTTATCTATGGGCGTTCCTGAATTTAATAAGGAAAGTGCATTAGGATTTAGTTGTTGAAGAGAGTTGATAGATTCTTCAAGTGTCTGAGATGTCTCGGGACTAACATTAGGAAAACCTAGTAAAGGTCTTGGCGATGTAAAAGCGTCTAGTGGTGACTCTTGAGAGGGAACCAATGGAAAGTTTGTAGGTGGAATAGTAGGCATTTGGTAAACAAAACTGTTGACATCTAAATTATAACGTAATATTTTTTAAAACTAAAATCAACATTTTACTTATAAATACTATTAAACACTTAGTACATCCGGAAAAGTAAGCGTATATTATTTTATGTTTTAAAATTAGTTTATTAAACTTTATATCTATTATTATATCTGTTAAACATTACAGTAAATAAAAACTTTTAAAACCTCGATGAATGACAACAGTGCCATCAGGTAAAATCCCAATAATTCCTTTATTACCAACTGTAACATGAGCAAGTCTAAGATCTAGCTTTACCCACTTTACACCTTCAGGTTTAATTGCGGTGACACCTTGACGTAAAAACACATCATTTGTGTCACTAAGACCAACTGTTAAACCTGCTGGACCACTCTCCACCATTCTAAGTTTTCCTGGAACTACCGTCCACTGTATTCCTTGCGGTAAAACTTCAGTTATTCCAACACGAAAATAAACATTGTCTCGTTTATTCACTGCCCAGCAGCCAAATTCACCACACGAAACATACTTCATGTTACCCTCAATTCTCATCCATCCAGTTCCCTCGGGTCGATCGCTAAAAAATAATTTAAATTGAAGTTTAACCAATAAAACATACAAGATTGAATAAATGAAACATACAATTTAAAATGAGTTGTAGTACATTAAAGGTTTTTGAAATTAAAATATCCTAAAAACTTGATGTATAAAATTTTTATATAATAAACTCTTAGTACTATTTCAAAGTACATAAAATTCTTTACCACTAAGTAAATCCTGTGAAATTTTTATTGATTATTATATTATTAAAAAGTTATATTATTTTATACATTATAATGGCCAACAGCAAATGTAAATTGAGTTAGACTTTCCACTTTCTTAAAAGTTTTTTTTGTAATCTGTTTAAAAAAGATTTTTTGATTCAAATGTCTTAAAGAAGAATGTCCTGGAAAACTAAATATAATCTATTAATGTTAACATTAAGAGCTAAAACTAAATATAATCTATTAATGTTAACTTTATTTTCCCAGCATTCATTAATGAAATTTTTTGTTCTTTATATTTTACTTTTAATAAAAGAATGTTTTATTTAAGCCAACATTTGATCAACGAATTCCGTATGAAATGTCTAAAATATATGTGTTTGACAGAAGAGTATACAGTTGTATACATACATACATGAACTTTAGTTCGACTTTTTTGTAAAAAAATAAACCTGTCCGACTACTAAGTAAAAACTGTGTATCCATTTACATATAAATAATTTTTATTCATAATTCAAAAAATATTGCCATTATTAAAATTTTGCGTTTTTTCTGATTTAATGATATTATTAAGACTAATTCAGAAATTAAAAATTAAGCATTTTTAGAATCCTGCATTTTGAAACATGTGGGGGAGGAGGGGGAGGGGTGGTTTTAAAAGATAATTTTAAATCTAGCAGCACATAACTTTACTGCTAAAAATATGTCCTTTATTATCAACAAATAACAATAAATATTGACTAAAAAATAAATATTGACTAAACAATATTTAAAACCCAAAAACCCAAAATATAACAAAACAAAAATATTTTTCCTTTTTAATAATTTTTAAACCATGAAATATTATAAATATAGACAAAATATAGGTTTTTTTTTACATGTAACATTTAATTTTATTTAAACTATGCGGTAGTGGTTTTTATTTAAACTATGCGGTAGTGGTGTAGTGGTAGAGCGCTCGCTTCATAAACGAGTGGTTCCGAGTTCGACCCCCACCACATCCCTGGTAGTACCGCGCTCAACTCGTTTCTCCGCGCAGCGGCCTTGTTCATCAAGGTTTGTGTTTCGGAGTTATAGAGTTGAGAGAGGGTTATAACCACAAATAAGTAGCCTCCTCGTCTGTAGTGGCCTTCTCGGCCTTGAGGAGGTGAATTAAATAAAAAAATAAAAAAAAAAAAAACTATATTTTAAATATTTTTAGGTGATTAATTCATTAAAGTTTTAATATTTCTACTGTTATCAATATAAATAAAATTTAATAATGTAATATTATGCTCATTAACAGTATAATACTGTTTTAATTTTAGAAAAATTAAAAGGAACTTACAAGGTTACTATTGGTTACTATTGTGTTTACTGGAAGAAAAAAAATTGTTTTTAGTCCAAGGTACCATTAAAAAACTGGTGTATACACTACCCAACTGGCTTTGGTCCTAAAAAGACGTCTTATGAACCTTCATTCAATGTTCTGAACATCTTTTGAACATTCAAAAGACATCTTTTTAGGACCAAATGCCGGCTGGATAGATGCATCAAATAAATTGCAGCCTATCCTTTTTTAATACATGAAGTTACAAAGCTAAGTTGTACATGCTTGCAAAAAAAAGCCAACTGAATCAGTTGGACACAAAAGCTAGAAAAGTTAAGTTAATATTGTATGTTAAACATTTGCATATATATAAAGATGTATACCAAATGTCAGTTATGAATTAATAATATTTAGATTGACTGGAATTCTAAGTAGTAAAAGTTTGATACTATTACAGTTAAGATTTTTCAGAGGTCTTCTTTATCTCCAGAAAAAAACGTTAAAAAATTCTGTCTGTATATGATAATAAAAACAGAAGAATTTAAAATTTATAATATAACAGAACATAATAAAAATATATAATATTAAAATACTTAAGTTATCATTAAAGTTATATCAAGAATAAATATACATTTAGGGTGTGGAAGTTTAGGGCACTGCTTATAACATGAACGATGCAAATCAAATGCTGTAAAAAAACTTATATAATCAGTTTCTTCTAAAATAAATAATATAATGATTGCAGTAAAAATTAATTCAGGAGATTGATTTAATTTAGCCACCTGTGGACAGTCTGATAGTAAGAGTCGGTTGTCCTGAGAATAAAGGAGAAATCCATTAACTCTCCTTTGAAACATCTAAGCAATAAATTATGATCCTTAAAACAAAGGACATGGAAAAAAATTTCTTTTTATACAATTAGAAGTAATAAAGTTACTATCAGATCAATTATAAAAAATTATTACAGTGTTCAGTTCATAAAACGTGAAGTTGGTGATAGAAACCAGATTTGTGTTGAAAACTTTGCTGACTTCATATATTCATACTGCATGTGATTTGAAATTGGAATATCTGGCCATGGTGAAATTCATTTGAATCTGGCCATGGTGAAATTCATCTATATTTATACTGTGAAACCAAAAGAATGTAAATATAAAATTTTAAGAACGTTCAAAAGAATTGATAATTATGTTACTGAGTACCAAGAAGAAGGGGAAAAAAAGAGCTCAGCTAAATAAAAATGTTATTCGAAAAAGGCTTATCCATCTAAAGAACAGGAAGTTTCACTGATAACCAAAATTCTTTCATCGTTCTCACATATTACTTATTGATAGGTTTTGTCTATGTTCTAAGCAACCTAATTTTTGTTTTCTAACTAAACTTTAATCAGCAGTTGTCTAGAAAATACATTTTCCAGGAGTACAGGAGTAAACTATAAAAATAAAATACACAATCTTGGAGATCTAAATATATTTTTAAATAATTGTCTATGGTTAATACCTTTTAATAAACGTTTCAAAGATTTAAAATTGAGGATATGCGCTTTAGTAATTTCTTTGGTTCTAATGTAAAGCATTTTATTGTTATATTAAAAGACATATAGTCGGGGAAAATAAAATTTGCATAACTAGCATTGGCTACTATAATTGTATATCAATAACTTTAACACTAAATAGCTGTTGTTAACATTATAAAGAACATGAATAAAATTCTCTATGCTAAAATTAGCCCAAAATCTATTAAAACAAAATAAATATTTTTAACCTTCTCATAATAGAGTTTGTAAAAGACTGTAACTACTCCTTACCCATAGAAAGCCTACATCATTTGGATCCAAATTTTTCCTTTTTGTGAAAAAATCAATGACTTCTAAGTAGATTTGCAAAGCAAACTGGAGAAACCATGTATTCTAAATTTAAACCAACTTCGGTGAGATATAAAAGAGCCGTATGTTACGAGGATCATGGACAGAACTAGCATAGGGCAGTTTCTGATTTTTCATCAAAGTGAAGATAACTGTGTAACTTGAAAAGAATTATAATTAACTTTGAAAACATGATTTAATTATTCAATTAAATATTGATTTAACTCAGTAAAAATTATTAGCATTAATATAATCAAATTTGTCTTCTTCCAGCAAATAATCGGGAAACAACAGCGGGGAAAAACAATGGACTATGCCTTTATAAATTCAAGCATTCCTCAAAGTTTGAAATATCCGAAAAAAAGATAAAAAAATTTTCCTTGGAATTTTACTTAATAAAGGTTATGAAATAACTGCCTTCTTTGAGCACTACTGGACTACCAACACTTTTTAAAGATTTCTTTTGCTTTTTAGAATAATTTAAGAAAATAAATTACAGCTATTGCTGTGGTTCTGACATTTTGTTAAATATAAAGACAAAAGACAGCATTTAATTTCTTGATTAACATATTTCAATTGACGAATCAACGGTACTTTGGAACGGATGTTTCGTTTTCTAGCAATATATAAAAAATAAAACTTAATTTTAATTTTTACTCTTACGAGAAGTATCACAGAGCACTGTGGAGAAACATTCTTGTACTTCTTCCTCCTTCCTTACCAGTTCGCTTACCTCCTTCCTTACCAGTTTGCTGGTAGGACTGGAGACGGTATCAAACCAGAACTTTAACCACTGCTTTTTAACCACGGCTGCATTTTTAATATAATATTATAGTGCTTAACATTTTGACACATTTTAATATGAAGTCATATGTTTGATGATGCGATGGTGTTCGGTTTAACAACGTGATGGTGTTTAGTATGATGACAAAGCATTTAAAAAAAAGTGTTTATTTTGGTATTATATATTAGTACTTAGTCAAAGTTGAAAAATTTAACTTTGGTTTAATTCTTGGTTTAGATTGGTGTATAGTTTAACGTCATATTTAACAAAACGGTTTTGATGAAAAATAATGAAATAAAAATAGTGTTAGATCTTATATGTAGTAAAACATTTTAAGAACATCTTTTTAAAACAATCGGTAAGTAAAAAAACAATATTTGATAAAAATTTTACCGAGTAATGCCAATCCTGCAAAATATTCTATTGTATCGATTAACTCCCCAGACGACACCAGTTATTCCAGCATCGATCTGTTTTAAATTGCCAGGAATTTTTTCCCAAAAAGACGTTAAAACTAAACATAATGTTATGAATAATAAAGATTAATGAAAAAACACTGCGAAAGCTAAACAATAGGCGGTTCATTAGAGAAAAACTTTGCAGCATATCCTAAAAACTAAATATTTTGTTCAAAGTAGAGCTAAATAAGATTAATTTGGGTACTTACTGTTTTCTCTGCTATTTAAATCTAAAAATAAGAAAGAATAAAAAAGTCTAAGAAATGAACTATTGAATTTTTTTTATATAGATATATATTAATGTGTTTTTTTGTTGTTGTTTTTTTTGTTATTAATTAAAGACTAATTAATGAAGTTTTAAAACAGATCTTTAAAAAACAAGTTTTCAAAAATATCAAAAAAATTTAAACCTAAATCCCAAAAACCTTCTTTAAGCATACCTTCTGCGTCTGGTTCGGTTCCTTTACGAAAAAATACATTTCCCAATAATCCAACTGACCAAACTCCCGACTGTCCAGATGATACATGATGCATTGTGCCGTCAATTTTTTTTAATACGTTGCTAGCTCCAAAAGAAAATACTTCGTGTTTGCCATTAATTCCAACTATATAAGGCGATATACCAGAATCAACTTGAGATAGATGAAATGGTAGCTCGCTCCAACCAGAAGGTAACGATGGCAATGACGGCAAAGAAGACAACGATGGTAATAAGGAATGGTCGTTGTTTGCAATAGCCATTACTAATATATATATATATATATATATGTATATATATATATATATATATATATATATATATATACATACATATATATATATATATATATATATATATATATATATATATATATATATATATATATATATATATATATATATATATATATATATATATATATATATATATATATATATATATATATATATATATATATATATATATATATATATATATATATATATATATATATATATATATATATATATATATATATATAAAGAAGAAAGTATTACATTTTAGGATATGTAAAAAATTTTTTCCAAATTTAAAAATAACTTTTATAGCTAAACTTAGAGCTTGAACAAAAAAGTTAAAAATTTGTGACAGATGTGACACGGAGTATTAAACTTGTGACACAGATGTATGACTTTTATCAATTATTGACTAATTCTAAAAAAAAATATGGATTAAATAAACTTTATTTCAGTTTTTAATACTTAGCCAATTAATAACTATTTTCAATGCAATTTTAGTTAGAGTTATTAACTAAATAAACATTTTAAATTTAGATTAATTTTGTATTAAAATTATAACACTATACATATTACTTTTTTACAATATGATTAAAAAAGAAATATCAATAATGAATGAAAAAATAATGAATAAATAAAAATTTATAGCATTCTTTTTTATTGCAGGCCCTTCTGGAGCCTTTGGGAATTTTATATTAAAAAAGAAATAACTTCAAAACTCATCGGTAAATTATTATTTTAAACTGGTTTTTAAAACTTTTAAATTTTTTAAAAATTAAAAAAAAAAAAAAAAATACATATAAAGCTGCTCCAAGAAGAGGAATGGAGCACCGTGATGGAGCTTTAATGAAGTGGTTTTTGTAATCCTACTTGCCGATATAATTTTTATGACCATACCGCCGAGTTTTTTAAAAAAAATTCTAATCCCAGTGCTTTAACCACTGCGCCACGACCGCTAAAAAAAAATAAGTTTAAATCGAACGGGTACATACTCTTTTTTCATTATTATTTAACTTTTGCTTTAGGGACACAACGAAGACCTAACGTTCACGCCTAAAGGAAGGAGGCGTGAACTTTAAGTTCACGCCTCCTTCCTCACCAACGCTGCGAAAAATGCCCAGAACTCGCTTCGAACCCTGGATCTCTTCTTGCTTTTAAAGCAAACGCTATAACCACTGCGCTACGGCCGCTTTATAACTCTTATAACGGCCCGCTTTATTACTCGAGTTATGCTGCTCTTAATATCTTGATATTTTATAGCTTAATAAAAATTAATTACTTGATTATGTAAATTTCTAATAAAAATGGGTTCCTGTAAATACTTTTAATAAAATTTAAAATATGGAAGAAAAAAAAATGGAATTGCAAAAGAAAAATGGTGCAGTTAAGCTTCATTTTATTGATTAAACCTCTGTCATATCTAGTTTGTAATGGGCTAGTCTTATCATAACCTAAATCCATGAAATTAGAAATAGTCAGGTGACAATAAATTTTATTGAACTTCTAATAACATTAGAAGTTCATTAAAATAAATTCACAAAAAAAGGTTTCTGTTTTTAAGTCGCCTAACAAGTTCAAAAATTTTATATTATTTTATATAATTATTTTTATTTTTATATCTGTGAATGTTGAAATGCAATCATAACAAGAGTATCGATAGGCATCCAATTTTGTGATTTTAATGTAAATTTAATGTAAACAAATTAAAAAGTATTTGGATTTGAAAACTAAAATTTGAAAAAAAAATCAGTAAGCTATTTATCTTAATAATCCTCATTAACTTATAGCAAAAATTTTTTAAATAAGTTTTGCAAAAAAAGTTTTATAAAATCTCAAGAGGTTTTATAAAACTTTGTAGAATAACTAAACGATGAAGGCACAATCTGCTTTTTGTCATTTTAAATAAATTTTATAAGACAACTTGAACACACTCAAGTGCATAATATAACCAATTAAATAAAAATTTATTACTCACCAGGAAGATTTGCTGGTTCAACTGATATTGTTGTTTGACCGCGTAAATTTGGACATAAGAGAATATTTACTCCAGTAGACTGTTTTTTAGAAACATCTCCTTGACATTCAGGTTTCGAAATTGTTTTTTCCGTTTTTGAACTTTCTTCAGACTCTGATGGATTTGTTTCGGTTTTTTTACTCTCTGTACATAGGTTATCCTCGCATAAAAGCCCGCTTGGACATTCGCTACACGATTTTCCTGTTTTATAAGGTCTCTGACCAACATAATTACCACCTGGAGCGTAGTTACAAACAAGAATGGTACGATCTCCACAACGTTTTGCACCACAACCAAGTTTGTTGCTCTCCCACCATACCATTTGAGTATACAATGTACATTTTCCTGAGCATTGGCCTGTTAAAAAATTATAGCTCTTGCTTTCACTGAACCATCGTTTAACTCCCTCATATACATCGCCACATTCTTTATCTCCACAGGTTCCTGTACCCCATGCTATATTTTCTCCGACCCAATCATAATTTTTAGCAAGCTTATGCCTGTCAGGATTATGAGCGACAATGCATTTACTTGCAAAGTTTGTAGATATTTTTTCTAAATCTTCGTCCCACATCATACGCAACATATTTGATGCAGTTGGTTTGACCATAGAACGAAATGCATTATGTAACTGTAGAATTGCGTCTTTTTGAGACTGTGAGAGCGATGTTCCTGACACCGATCCTGGGTTTTCTGAAAAAAACAACTGTTATTTAAATTTGAGAAGCAGTGTTGATGATAACACAACCAAGTCACTGACATAATTAACTCCAATTAACATAATTAACATGTCACTGACTAAATTAACTCGTCTAAAAGATCATCAGATTGCTAATCAATCATGCAAAAGTTCTAGACACAAATTTAATAAATTCAACTTTGTAACGTTGGACCTAAAATGCATCTATAGAAAAATTTATGATTTTAACAGCTTATTAAATATACGTTACATTGAATGAATGAATACGTTGTATTCATGCAACTAAACGTTGTATTCATGCACAATACTAATCACTTTATACTTTGTAACTACTCGAGTTTTAAGTATTAGTAATCAGATATTTAAAAGACACTTTGTATTTGAAAATTAGTCCAAGATGTATTTTAGGCATTATTTTAATGGCAGGAAATAAAAATCATTTAAAAATTTAACTAATCCAATCACAAAAAGAAAATCAACTTTTTTTTCTAACCTGAGTTTGATAACTCGATTGTATCTCGAAGAGCAGTTAACACTAAACCCAAAAATAAACTGATCATGCATTAAGCTTCCGTGCAAATTTAAACATCTTTATATTTACATTATAATCGCACTACACAATTAAATTAACAACATGCAATTTCATAGCTACCATGCAAATTTAAACATCTTTATATTTACATTATAATCGCACTTCACAATTAAATTAACATTCTTGAATAAAAGACCTCCTTTTTACCTGCCATGTCGTTATTGGATGTCGCATTTTGACAATATAAGTTCACAATAATCCAGAAAACCCAACCCTTAAAATGACTCATAGTCCTTAACACCATCTAATTTTGAATTATACTCTGACTATTGCCGTTCATCGGCGTGTACATTTTCAATTTCAATGCGGATATATATTATTAAATTTATTAATTATTAAAAAAAATTAATTTTTTTTAGAAATCCGCTATACGAAAAGATAAATTCAAGATGGCTACTTTGATCTTTTTTCGCTTGATAGGTTTGTTTACAATAACGCATTAACTCTTACTTCAAAAAACTAACGCTCTTGAGCATGCTTGTGCAGTGCGCAGCATCTGTAATGTGTTTGCTTGCACCAAACCGAGAAAAGCACCATTTAGCTTTTTTGCAAAACTTAAAAGTTTTAATAGAGAGTTTAAAGCGGCTAACAAAATTTATACTGATGGGTTCTTTTTATTTTTGTACTAACTTAAAAATTGTTCTAGAATACGCTACGCTACGCTACGCTAAAGAAGATAAGAGTAGAATACACAAGATAAGTGTAGAAAATGACCTATTACTATCTTTTTAAATCTTTTATTGGTCTTATGACAAATAAGTACTCTCCTTGATAAACTGAAACAAACAACACAAACAAACGCGCAGATTCGCAAATAATAACATAAATGTAAAAGGAGTAAATCGTATTTTCAATTATTTTTTATACAAATTACAAAATCTTGCAATATTCAATAAAATGTTTTATGTAATAACAATTTATCCTGACATAATACTTCGACTAAAACCAAGTGATAAACGTTGATTGTTCAAAGTAAAAGCTGCAACAACAATAATTCAATCAGCAGACTTGTTTTAAAGCAAATATGCTTAAATATATAATTAACAAATTGCGAATCAAATTTTTGTCATTTATCTTAATTGTTGAGGTTGATATCCTTTATAGTTGGTGTGAGATACGACTTTTTCGTGTAAATTTTTCTTTTGCTTCTTCGCTTCGGTCTAAATAATAAATGAACTATTAAATAAACGTTAAAAAATATTTAACCATAATTGCGGCCTCATTTTACAAACAACTTTTTTTGAGAACAAACCTACAAATGTGTTCTGTATTATAAACAAACACTCTTAAAGCGTAATACTGTTGTAAAATTATGCAGCAATTTTATTAAAATAAATTGCTACTACTACTTCTACTAAAGGCAATTAATAGAAAGAATTTTCAAAACTAATAAACTTGAATAAAATATCAGTTTCACATTTGTGATTTTTTATAACAATTCTGAAAAAAAAAATTTACCTGTCTTGGTTTATAAAAACAACACATTTTTTTATCTATAAGTTTCTCTACTCTAAAAACTAAGTAATTATAAAAAAATACTTTACAGTTAACTCATTTCGTTAAAAATGATGAATTATCTGGTTGTTATCTCTACTTTTTTTTTTTAACTTTTTATTGTTCTTATTAACAATATTTGTACATAAAAAATAAGTAATACACGAAAATACAAGTACACAAAAACTCGAAGAAAATTGAAAGATTTTGAAACCAAGAACCGTTTAACAATACAATAAAAATATAATTAAATATTAAAAAGAATAAATATCGTTTAAAAATGCAAAAAAATATTAGTAGTAGGGTCGTCGTTGACTAACATTTGCCGTTTTGCAAACTAAATATTGTAGGGTAAACGAAAAAACAGGGTTCGCAGGGTCAAAAAAATAAAACTCATTATATTGCGAATAAAAAACAGCCTATATAAACTAATTTAAGTAATACCAAAAATAAATATTTGCAGTTTAATAAATGTGTTTATACTTTAATTTATTTTAAGTAATTTAACTTTTTATATTATTATTAATTTTTATTTTTAACATTTTATGACTGCATACTATATTTTTGCAACACTACAAGATAGCAATTCAATATAAAATTTTATTAAACAGAAGATTTTATTTAACAAATATAACTAAATTGATTTAATACAATTTTTTGACTCTCTGCTAAAGCCAAAATCATTTTTGTATCTGCTTAAAATACATTTAGACCTTGTAAATAGTTTTATAAGAAACTTTTAAAACTATTTATTCAGGAAAATTTTGAAATCATAAAATTTGCTTATTCTTTAATCATTATGGCTTTTTACTATTATTTTACTATTACCTCTTTATATTCTTTCTACCTCTTTTTATTCTTTCGATTATTACTAAATAGGAAATATGTAGTTTTTAACTAATCAATTTATTTTTGTTTACAAGTTAGGTCCAAAGATATCAAGTACAGCGTTTTAAACTGCTATCTTATTGATTACCTAGCAACAGACGGAGTAGATCAAATAAATAAAATTGCTGAAAACAATTGAGAGCATGGTGGTATCATCCATACACAAAGTTACAAGATAGGAATTTAGAGAATTTGCAAAATTTTTTTTCTTTATGTAAACTTACCTCTCCAAGGCCGAAAAGACCACTACAGACAAGGAGACTACTTAATTGTGGATATAACCCTCTCTCAACTGTATAACTCTGAAACAAACTTTGACAAACAAGGCCGCTGAGCAGAAAAACAAGTTGAGTGCAGTACTAACAGGGACATGGTGTGAATCAAACTAGGAACCTCTCGCTTATGAAGCAAGCGCACTACCACTACACCACTACCACATTTTATAAGTTTGTGTAAGCAGTTATACTTCAAAGGACCATATTAAATGCGCAGTGAAGTAGAAAAGTGAACAACAGTTTTAAACAACTAGCAGTAGGGAACCCAATCATACCAGATGATCCTGAATGCTTTTATTTTCTTGTGTCACTGTTTCTTTTGAAAGCAGTAATTTCTGCCATTTGATCCAAAACACCCGGAACATTAGAATAATATCAGAGTGCAGAACATTCATGTTTGCTAAAAAAAAAAAAACATTAATGTTTTCTAAAATCGCAGTGACAAATAGGGAGATAAGATTCGCATCTGTGTTATGGAAGCAACAAATTATCTACAAGCATTAGATAAATGATATAATCTTTCATGCCGCACAAAATTTCTGGCCGCTCAAAATGTTATGAATTTATAGAAAAAAGGGGTTGTTAGTGTTTCAAGTAAAGAGGATGAAGGTTTTATTACTGCTACCTCTAGAGTTTTATACTCTATAGTAATGGTAGTTGTATGTAGAACCTTGAATGCTACATACGTGAGCCATGATGTACAAGAGGCTAAAGAATTTTTTTTGATTTTTCAGACTATTTTAGAAACCATCTTTGAACCTCAGCTAATTGGAAATAGATAATTTGCTTCCAAAAGGAAGCAGCGCTCTATATAATCATACAAATATATAGTAAACAAAGAATTTGTTTAATATATATTTGAACAACTGCACACATTTACACCAAGGATGAGGTTGCCTCCTAATGCAGCTGATACCAAAATATTTGGCTGAAAATTCAAAACATCATAACTGGTATTGTGCCAAAAAGGTATACCCCTCAACAAGTGTCTCTTAGTGTAATTCTTCGTCACAATTATGCATCAAGACAACTTATTAACTCACTGTATAGTTTTGGAGTTTGTGGCAGCTATCCAAAGTAATAAGGTACAAATCATCAGATGCAACTACAGTTTGCTATTCATTAATATGTTTAATACAGTTAATGTCATAATACACCTTGATATTTATTAACATAAAATGTCAAAAGTATTGCAATAGCTGTTTTCAGTAAATAACTGAGTTTTATTTGAATTAAAATTCACATGCCACTACAAGCCCCAATCTGTTACAGAAGTGAAATCATATTTAAGATTCGAAAAGAGAAGACTTTGTCAAGACAGGAGTATAAAGTTGAGTTGTTGCAAATTGAGCCACTTTAGATGTAAGGTTGTCAAGAAGATCATTAATATAGCTAAGAAACAAAACAGGATCAAGGATAGAACCTTGAGGCACCCAGAAATTACTGGAAAGGAAGAAGAACCTTTAAGGTTGACTTTAATAAAGCAGTTAAAAAGAAATGATTTGATGATTTCAAAAACTTTCCTAGACACACAATATGAAGCAAGCTTATGGAGAAGACCCACATGCCAAACCTTATTAGAAGCTTTGAATATGTCAAGAGTGATAAGCTCTTGGTTCACTTCCTCCATCTAATGCACAACAAAATCTTTCATTCACAGCAGTCAGCTTTAAAAAAGAAGATTAAAAATCGTGTTGATTGTCTGACAGTAAGTTATTTTATTATTATTATATTATTAAGATGTTTGAAATTTGTTGATAAAAGACTAAAAAACCTTGATAAAGATGAATAAAGACTGATTGAAAAGAAAACAGCTGGAGGGGTCAGAATGTTTTTGAGAGTTTTTAAAATTTGGAACACAGACATTTTCCAGCAGGCAGGAAAACAAGATTCAGTCAATTCACTTATTAAATAGTCAAGAGAGAATTGAAAAGAGTTCTGGAGAACAATTTTGTAAGACTAGGACAGTAATGGTGTTTGGACCACAAGCTGTAGTAACTGGAATGATTTAAATGTCTAACAATGGATTAACCTGTTTAATTAAAATGACAGAAGGAGTATGGCCATAAGATTTAAGAGTCAAATTAGAAGAAAAGTTCCTTGTAATAGTTCTGATATATAAAAATAAGTGAATACAAACCAATATTTATGCAGTCTCTTCCGTAGAACCGGGCTTGGCCACGGTCAACTACCAGCCCCGGTTGTTTACTACTTAATGATACTGTTGAAGATTTTCTAAGTCTCTAGAGCCTAACTTCTGATATAAGATACGAAACATAGTAAACTAGAAATAATGTTTAGCATTGCTACAATTAAATTGTTAAAAAGGTCAAAACTCTTAAGCTACCTGACAAACAAATCCAGCATTACCAGGTTTATAACTAACTATCCGTGCCTGACAGGGTTGGCAAAAACCCAGATTTTTTTTTAAAAAAACCCGGCCCAGTAGGTTTTTTTAATAATTTTGGGTTTTATTGCGTACATTTGGGTTTTTTTAGGTTTTATTTTTATTTTGTATCTGTAAAATTTTCTCTTTTTTTAATGATATTAAAAATTAGTTTAACTTTCTACTTTAACTTTATTTAAAATATACTACTCATTAGTATTTAATTTAAATGAGTAGTCACTACTACTCATTTAAATTCACTTTGGGAGGTGAATAACATAAAAGCTAAAAAAATCTTAATCTATAAAAATATTTAAATAAAAATTACAATAATATATTTCCAAATAACGATTTTCAAATACATACACCAGGCTCGGTCAGGAAGATGTATATAAACCAGGCTAGGTCGGGAAGATTGTACTCTATTCCTGACTTTGCATATAATATTTAGTTGTGACAACCTGGTCACAGCTTTTTAAATGTTTTGAGAGCATTTCAAAAATATGCAAAAATAGGCTTTAACTTGACTGACAGAAGACAATTACAAAAAAAAAAAAAAAAAAAAAAAAAAAAAAAAAAAAAAAAAAAAAAAAAAACATAAATAAAAAAAAAGAAAAGAAAAAAAGAAAAGAAAAAAAAAAACTTAATTAAAACAAAACATATTTAGAAATAAACTTTGCTCTATTATAATTTTTTTTAATAAAATTAAGGAACACTCTTTTACATAAAGTAACAACTTACTTTAACATCATTTAACAAGTAAACAACCATTCTTCAATTTATCAAAGAGTATAATACAATTTCTTTTATTTATGTACTTACGTTTTATTTTAACAAGATTCCAATAAAAAGTTTTAACAAAAATACAAGATTTCTTTATAACTCTTTCATGCTGAGCTTAGTTTACAAAGTTTAAAATATTTGAAACAATTCTTCTTAGTAAGATGAATAAAAAGAAATAATTAAAACATTGAGTTACTATAGGAATATTAAAATAATCTTTATTATTTAGCAAATCTTTAAAAGGTTTAAAAAAATTTTACTATGAACCAGACCCCTAAATCAGCAGTCTATAATGAATGATCATTATAGACACTAACTGCAGACTAAATACAAAATGCAGACTAAGTATACATTTAACAACTTTATATTTTACTTAAGTCCATCAGTTTACATTTATTTGATTATTAGCTTCATTAACTTTAATGGTTAATAATAAAATTTCATAAGAAACACAATTGAATTGTTGAGAAGAAGAACAGTGCTAGTCCATTATTGTTATTTTCACTTTTTTCCATAATTTTATTTAACTTATGTCGATCTCCATATAATACAAAAATAATATTAGTCCATCTTTCTTTCATTATTTTTTGCCATGAAGTAGATTTAAAGTAGTCGAAGAACTTAAACATTGATTAGATTTAAACTAGTCGAAGAACTTAAACATTGATTAGATTTAAACTAGTCGAAGAACTTAAACATTGATTAGATTTAAACTAGTCGAAGAACTTAAACATTGATTAGATTTAAACTAGTCGAAAAACTTAAACATTGATTAAATTTAAACTAGTCGAAGAACTTAAACATCTTGAAATGAAAATATTGGACAAGTACTGTTCTGCTTTTTACAGATTCAATTGTTTTTGAAGGTAAAATAAATTGTACAAATTTTTTTTAAAGATTTAAATTTTATATAAAAAATACATACGTAAAATACATTTTGAATAATACAAAATTAGTCTATACTCATATAATTTCCTAAACTTTAAATAATTTTTAATAAAACTTTCTCAACTTTATATAACTAAAATATTTTTTTGCTAAAAACTTTTGCTAAAATGTTAATTTAAAATTCAACTCAATCAATTCAAAATTTAGAAATTCAAAAATTTAGAAACATTGAATGCTTTTGCTTCTGGTTTTTTAAAATACAAAATAATTTCTTTCTACAATTCTCTAAATAATAAATTTAGTTTTAAAAGATATTTAATCAAATCGACAAATCAAATTTACTTACACAACAGGTTTCCTCGGTTCTATTATATTCCTTCGTTGTAAACTTTTAAAATTATCAATCAGAAGATTTCCATCAGGCTATATAAAATAAAAAACGGAATGGTTTCAGCTTTGAAATGCAAAAAATACAACAGGGGAGACTTTGAAATAACCACTTGCAAATACCTTCATTTCTCGAAGCGTTGGTGCAAGTTCTTCACTTAAGTTAAATGCAATTTCTGGATCTTCAAACCTAGTTGCAGACAAAACAACTTCAAACTAGTCATCAAAATATATTAACTGATGACATAATAAAGACATTAAACATAATTAAGAAATAACTAAGACATTAAACATAATTAAGACATAATTAAAACATTAAACATAGTTAAGACATAACTAAGACATTAAACAAAAAGAGCACACACAAAAAAATTGTTAAAATGTTCAATATTTTTGTTTAAATAATTTTTTGAAATACCATAAATTTCAAAATTTGTTTAGGTATATTATTTTTTATGAATTTAAGAAACTTTATGTATTTGAAAATTATAATTAAAAAAACATAGTTAAACAACTTTTCCATTAAAAAAATAAAAAATGCAAATTAAAAAAAAAAAAAATTAAATGTTATTCAAGATTTTCTAAGGGCTGACTGGGTCATTGGAGTGAACTTTTTAAACTAAAAAGTTTCTAGGGTAAAAGTTTAAAAAAAAAACTTAATTAAAGTACTTCTTAAGGTAGGTTTAGTTTACCTACCTAGGTTGGTAGGTTTTAAATATTGTATTAAACTACTTTGTTAACTGAATTTTTTTTTTATATATTTAATTTCAAATTGTTTTTATATTTGACACAAAAAAACTATTAAAAATCATAAAAAAAAATATCTAAGACTATTACAATACTTCAGATAGTCTCTGACTAATTAAAACTGTTCCACTTTCCTAAATAATAAAATCACACAAAAAAAAAAAACTCACTTGTATTTGCTTAATCTTTTAGTGCGAGTAGCTGTTTGAAGCATTTTTTCTGATTTTTGTTTCATTCTTTCAGCTATTTTTTTCTCTTCCTCTCTAATTTCTTTTTTCAGTGTTTTGATTCTATATAACAATAAAAATTTTAAGATTTAGTTTATTATAGATTCATACTCTTTTTGAAATTTGTAATTCTTAACATGTTCTGTCAATCTTAAAGTGTTTTTTTTTTTTTTAAATTAAAAAGATGATCTGTAATTCTTAAGGTAAAAGTCTTCGAATCTTAACATGTAATTTCTTAAGTTTGTTATTACAAAGATAAATTTATGGTATTCTGTGATTTTTAACATAACCTATAATAATTAATGTTATCTTGTACAAAAAGCAACATTTATTAAATTATCATTAATATGTATTTTTCCAACATCTTCACTTCCAACAAGGCTGCAAGCAACCACTAGTAGAGTTAGAAGTTACTGGAAGAGAAAAGATGAAGTTTATAGAGTAAGGTAACGATTGATAGACAACTAATGAGAAAATTATATGAATCAGGAAAACAAGATCAAGGAAGCAAATTCCAAAGAACTGATGTTAGAGGGAAAAAACTAGAAGAATAAGAATTTTCGGAGCATATAGGAATAGTCACAATAAAAGGATGAGACTTAATTGAATGACGAGTAACACAAGAATGAATTTTTGTAGATGGCACAAGAGACGCTAGCTCTTTAGAGCAGTGCCCATTATAGTATTTATAGAAAAGAGAAAGAGAAGCAACATTATGACGATGGGTAATGGAGGTTTGGCTGCAAGAGCAGGTTCAACCATGTTTACAAAGCTTTTTTGCACCTTGTCTAAAAGAGAAAGGGCATCATTCAAAGATCTACCTCAGATGGCAACAGTATTCCATACAATGATGGATTTGAGATTTATAAAGATAAAGAATACAATCCTGAGTAAGAAAGTGGTGAGCACAATAAAGAGATGCATCTATAGCAGATGCTAATTTTACAATCGATTTGATATATGGTTTCCAAGAAAGACTGGAAATAAGAGTTAATCCTAGAAGATGAAGAGTAGACTCATCAAGTACATTACTGTTCATAAATATAAGATCTAGATTATTATATAATAATCTAGATTAGCAATAATGATTAGCTGAAAAAAAAAGAGTTTTATCTGAGTTAAATTTCTCCAGCCATTGAAAGCTCCATGCTGTAGCAGAATTTTTTTGTCAAGCTCAAATGCCCCCTTCAAGAAATCAGAGAGTAATGGCTTCTTATCAAGACAAGAAAAAATGGAAGTATTATCAACCAATAATGCAACCTTATATGTGAGAGTTTCTGGAAGATCATTAATATAAATTAAAAAGAGTATAGAGCCAAGGAACCTTGAGGAACCCCTTGTGATATGCAGAAGAGTTCTATCGAATTTCACAATTTTTTAATTATTACTTCTATTTTTATTCCTATTAGTAAAAAAATGTCAACTAAAAACTAGATAACTTGTGTCAAAAAAAAAAAAAAAAAAAAAGCATCATTAATGGTTGTGGAATAATAAACATAATTAATGGTTAGGAAATAATTAACACAATGGTTGTGGAATAATTAACATAATTAATGATGTTGGTATAATCAGTACCTGAATACATCATTCATAATAACTTTTGCAACTTTCATTTCAATTTTTTTTCTATCCTAAAATTGGTAAAAAATCAATCAATTTTAATTTTACATTCAACCAGTCAAGTTTTAAAAGAACTTTTAAAATTTGACTGGTTGAATGTAAAATGAAAATTGATTGATATTGTAGATAACAATAAACATAAAAAACCTCAATTTTATTAAGTTTTTCTCTTTTACGCATTTTTGAAGTTTTAACACGCTTCTTCGATGATAATTTGATTGTACCTTGATTGGAAGAATCATCAAGATGATCATCATTATCTTCTGATTTATGAAAATTGAGACCTTCAGACATTTCCTTTAACCATAGTTTAGTCTATATGAAAACAAAATATAATCATAACTTAAAAGCTCAAGTAGAAAATTTTTTAAACTAAGGCAAGTAGCTAGTATATTAAGTAACCATAGTAACTAGTGAATTAAGTAACTAGTAACAAGTAACTATATATTAGAATGGGGTTAACAGAAAACAAAGAGAGTTAAAAAGTAAAAAATTGGTTGACAAAAGACCATGCGTCAGATAAACACAAAGACAGTATTCCAAAGCATTGATGCTTTAAAATAAAACAAGATGAATAAAAGATTTTTGGCATGAAAGTACAGTTATATTAAAAAATGTTACTCAGCTGAATGACAACTCCTAAGTTTTGTTAAATCAAAAAAGTAATAATAACTCGTTTAAGCAGACCGTTTAACCATGGTAGCATTTGTAGAAAAGACAGCTATCGCAGGTCCAATAAATCAACAGTTTGTTTTTGACTTTGCCGATAAGAAAAAGGGCCACATAAAGTATAAAAAAATCAACAATATTGCAACAATTATTAGAAGTGAACAACTGATTTTTTTTAATCAAAATTTAAATCAGATCAGCACAATATGTCCAAGGATAAAACCTTGTGATACCCAGAACTACTAGAAATAAAGAAATTGTCTAACCAAAGAAATGATTCACCAAAGAAATGATTCAATAATTTTAAAAACTTTCGCAGATATTTTTATGAAAAGAGCTTATAAAGAAGACTACCATTTCAGACATTCCAGATAATAAATTCCATTTATTGAAAGCCTTTGATATGTCAAGAGAAGTAGCTCTTTGCCTCACTGATTGAATTGTTTCATAAGTCTATTCCCAGCCAAGCATGTGACTATTGGTGTTTTTGCAAATTAAAAGATAACAGCTATAAACACTGAGATGAAACAGCTGAATTTAAATTAGTCTCACAAAATCAGGTCTTTGTGAAAGCCTAAAGAAAGATTCAACAAATGAAAAGTTACTTTAAAGTATTTGTAAATATTGGAACAATTTGATTGTAATTATGTTTTTTTTTTCATCAATATTTTTGGTACTTTATTCCTTTTTTTTATCTGATTGAGACCTTGAGTCAATCATAGATAGTATATGACACCCTAAGGAATAACTTATAATATTGCCTCATTTGTGCTAAGTAACCTAAAATTGTAACAAGCAGCTCAATTAAAGGAACCAGTCTATCTGAGATCTACTGTAGAGTTCAAGAAACCTTACTACCAACCAGCCTTAGAATCATTAAACTGAGTTTTAGAGCTGTAAAGAGATAACAGAAAGAATTGCATAGTTACTACCAATAAGCAAAAACTATAAAAAAACCAAAAAGCAAACTAACTTTCTCTAAAATTGATAAAATTGATATTAATATATTGCTTTTTTATATTATATTTATAACAAACTTTTAATTTAACAACCATAAAAAAGCCAGTGTAATGCTAAGTAGTGCTTATTTCATAGACACACACAAACACTTGATTATACATAATATTTAACAAACAAAAAAAACCTGTTTTTTAAGTTCATCAACAGAAACCATTTTCACTTTGTCATTCAGTTTTTGTTCTTCAATCATCTTTTTCATCTGTGCATCGTAGGCTTTTTTGAGCAGATTCTATACAATAAGCTTATTTCAAAATGTGCAATTTATTCAATATATTTCAAAACAGTTACTCGTCAACTTATTCAGAAAATGATCGATTAATCATGTTATGCAAACAATAGATAACTAAAAGTCAGTTAGGGGATATAAGTAACTGGTGATGAGTCATTAAAAAAACAACTTATTATCACATATATCAATATTAAAATCTCACCTGATGAGAATCATAATCTGGATTGTATGAGGTACCGGGTTCAGGTGTAAGAACAGCTTTTATGTCAGCTTTTCCTTTTCCAACAGTTTTAGGTTTCTATAGAATAATATAGTGATATATGTTTTATTATTGTTATTATTTACTTTATATCTTACTCTTATTATTATATTAATGTTGTAGTGTTAGAATACTCACTTTATTATATCTAAATATAATTAGCACAATGAATATTATTATTATCATTAGTGCGCATAGTTACGCATTGTTACGCCTATTGTTCGTTTTGTTAATTATGGTTCTGTATTCTGTAAAATACACTATTTCTTAGTTTTTAAGTTAATTCTAGACTTTCCTAAGCGCGGTTAAATATTCCATTTTAAGGTATCTAAATATGTATTTATTTTTCATTTTTTAGAAGAAGTTAGAACTAAATTGACTGGTAAAATAGTTTTTTTTAGTACAATGTTTCTTTTTTAAGAGAACTGTTTCTGTATTGTCATTAGTCTTTTTAAAACATTTTAAGCAAGTATTTGTTTTATTTTTTAGAGCAGTTAAGAGGAGCTGATCGCTTTTTTAGTAAGTTCAATTTATTTTCTCATACATAGACTAAAAAAAATTTTTTTATAGAAAGAATAATGAGAATAAAATTTTATTTATGTATTTAATATGAAAAGTTAAATAAAATAAGACTGTTATTTGTGGTCATGTAAGTTTATATACATAAGTTTGCGTTTATTTCAGTCTATTTTATATTTCTCTATATCTATATGTATATTTTCTCTAAGGAAAAATAATAAGGAATAGAAAAATTAAGAAAATTTTTTCTGGAATTTGTCAAAAGAGAGTTGTGTTATGCTTCATTTTAAGGTATCTAAATATGTATTTATTAGAAATTTTTAATTTTGTTTTTAAATGGTTTCTTCTTTTTCATTACTTTAGATAAATTATACTGACTGACACAACTTCATTTTTATTAACAATGTTGTGCATTGTAGTCTGCATTCTTTGTTACATTAATACATGCTAATAAATTAATACATGCTAATAAATGTTGTTTTATAGTTGTTAAAAGTTTGCATATATGTTTCCATGTATATTATGCTCAAAGTTAAAACTTTTTTGATAAATACGTGTATGTGGTGATATGTTATAAAGTTTTTTTATAAATGTGTTTATATAAATGTGATTTTATAATAGTATGAAATGTATCATACCTAATTTGTGCATTATTGTTAAATGGGGTGTTTTTATATGTTAAGTAGCATTAAAAAAATATATTGTGTTTTATAATTAGTATATATGTTTATATAATGTTGTTTCCATGACTTCAAAGTGGCGTGACTTGGCAAACGTGTAGAGCAAGATTTGTCAACCTTACCAGTCAATCGATGTTACTGCTTTAGGTCTACGTGTTGCCTAGCCTTTAATATAACTATTCTGAAAACACATAGTATTATCTTTAATAATTTTTTGCGTAATGTTGTTACCTTTGGCTTATCTTTACGTTGGTGTCAGCTGTTAAAAATGATTAATAAGTAGTTTCATTATTAGAACTCACTGCTTTTATTTATTTACTAAAATTCATTCAAGACATCATTTTGCTATAAATACATTTTGTTTATCGTGAAATAATAATATTTAGCAACTACTACTCAGGTATCACAACAGCTTATCTCTATCAGGTACATTGATTTCCAATTCACATATGATGTTTTTCTTTGTATTTACTTATTCGTTACATTTTTAACTTCAGATTTATGGTGTATTTATTTGCTATAGAAGAACAAATCATTTTGAATTTTTATGAATTTTTTAAAAATATCTACTCCAGTCAACATGTAAAGTTCAATGTTGCATATACCATTTTTAAGTAGCTTCTAGGCTTTTTTGATGCTTTTCTTATTCAAGTGGTTTTATAAGGTCTGCAAGCAGATTTGAGCTGAAAAGTTTTTCAGCTTTCAAGGAGAATCAATGTTGTTCTCTGTTTAATTTAATTTGTTTAAATAGAGTAGTTTTAATAAATAAATGTTTGTTTGTTCTTGGTTTTTTACTTATTTGTTTTCAGATTCTTAAGAACTAGGCAACTTAGCAAAGCAAAATTTGTTTTATTTTTTAGTGCAATTGGAAAGAGCTAAAGTGCTTTTTAGTCACTTCAAATCAATTGTTTCTTTATTTAAATAGAAGGGTTAATAATAAAATTTTTTAGACAGTTGAACTGTTACTGATTTGAGTAAGTTTAATATTTTGTTTTATTTTATATTAGATATATATTTTATGTATTTAACATGGAAAACTAACTGTAATTTTTGACAGGTAAGTTTATATACATATAAACTTACCTGTCAAAAATTATGTGCCTATATATCAGTATATTTTATATTTCTCTGTATCTATATAAATATTATCTCAAAGAAAAAATTAAAAAGAATAGAAAAAATTTGCATATATATACATACATATATTACTTTAGACTAACATTGCTTCATTTTTTATACAAGATTCTGCATTTATTATTTTTGTGCATAAAATAACTTTGCATTGTAGTCTAAATTCTTTGCTAAATTAAAATAATGTAAATAAATTTTGTTTTATATTTTTCAGTTGTAAAAATATAAAACGCTAATTTATTCAGTTGTAACAGTAATCACTGGTAATATGTTTAATGATAACAGGTAATATGTTTATCACTGGTATCACTGGTAATATGTTTAATGATAACAGATGTATAATATTAGGCTCAAAGAAGTTATTAGTGTAAATGGCTATAGGTGACTTGAAATTGTTGTGATATGAAAGAGATAGATCTAGGCGTGATAAAATTAATTGTCGTTGAAATATAAGAAATTTTGCTTGATGAACAGAAAACTTACTTGCCAGAATTCAGTGTCAAGTGGTGCTGATGTCTATTATTTGATTTTACATTAGACACTTTAAATAAAGCAAAGTATGAATTTTACTATATTTTACTATATAGTAACATTTTACTATATAGAATTTACTATACATATTTACTATATATACTATATTTACTATATAGAATTTACTATATATATTTACTATATAGAATTTTACTATATAGTAACATATAATAACAGTTTCAATTTTAAATGATTTTAATTTTTTTTTTTTTTTGTTATCTTAAACATAATTGTGTTCATTTTTTTTTAGTTGTCTTTGTCATCACTTGATTATTTTGCTTACTGTTGAAACATGGTTTTAATTTTGTAAATTTAAGATGATGTGAAATTTACAATATTAATCATTTGTCAACAGTTAGAGAGAAGCTGGAACTTAATTAAGAAATGCTGGAAATTAACTTTTAGTTAAGGTAAAAAAAAATTTGTTTATTGGTAGCATAATAAAACCAGTTACTGTTATTTATTGCATGACTTTTTTACTTTTTCTAACATGCTGCTTTTAAAACACTTTCTCTCTCTCTTAGATGAGACTTAAATAAGAAGTAGTACAGGGAGAATTGATTAAACTCATGTAATTACTGAGCTCTTGCGTATTTTTTAATACTGCGATTGATAAAGACCATTTATAAGATATATTTACAAGTTACTTGCTATTTAAAAATATAATTCTTTAAATTGTCCCTTGGTTGTTCAAATATTGTAATAAATAAAATCTTTTTAGTTTCAAGTATTTTACTTTAGGGATCATCTATATATATTACGTAATGCGAAAGTAAACATATAGACAAAAGAAATATCTCAAAAACCGTGTTTCTCTAATGGTTAACTATATGTTGCATGTTCAAGAACTAGAGCATTTAATAGTTTGTTTTTCAAAATTGATAAATATCTTATTCAAGGTATATTAGGTAAAAAATGTTACATAAATATTGTTATATTTTCTAATGTTCTTAATTTATAGTCTTTATATTTTCATTTAGAAAATTTACTGTTAAAGGTTGTGAGCACATTTTGTATGTATAACTTTATCATTATTATTTTTTTTTTTCATAGTTTTTGATAAATATATCTGTCATTCAATAGTTGCAAAATGTGTTTATATGTGTTACATAGAGTCATATTTGTTTATAGTTGTATATATATTTAAATTATATTGTTTCCATGTTTTCAAAGTGGTGTGTCTTAGTATTATGTTAAGCAAGTTTGATAATCTTGCCAGCCAAGCGGTGTACTTATAGCAGAGGTGTGATTTGGCAGCATTTAGTGCCAGGCCATGTTACTGCTTTAGAGCTAGGTTGTGTTGTCTAGCTTTTTTTAATTATTCTGGAAACACATAATAATGTCTGTTAATGTTTAGCGTAATGTGGATGAGAGAGTATGCAACCTTAATCTTTAAATCTAGGGTGCTTTAATGTCCTAAATTTGAAATAATTGAATAACTAATATTGAATATAAAAAAAAAATACTTTATTAAAGTTTAGTAAAAAGATAAATATAGTTAACTTTAGTTTTAAATTGGTTTTTTACCTTTCATATTTTAATTTAGTTTATTATTTTCATTGGATCTTATTGTTACGTGTTATTGTAATGTTATTGTTGTAATTTTTTGTGTTGATAAACAGCTTACCTTCATGTGTTTTCTATTGTTAAAAATGAATAATAGATAGTTTCATTATTGGAACTTACTGCTTTTATTCATTTACTAAAAGCCAAGACAACAATTTATATATTATATCTTAGTTTGATTTTTTTTTTTTAGTATTGTTAATGCTTTTGTACTTCGAAACAGATTTTATAGTTACATTTTGGATAAATCTTTATATTAACTGCATTTTCAAAATAGGTTACTATAAATAGGTAAATCGATTTTCGGAAATTGTGTAGTGGTTTTTTTTTTTTACTTTGTAATTATTATATCATAATTTCATTACTTATTTATTTTAGGTTTACGTTATGACGCATTTATGAGATTTATAAAATAAAAAAACCTGATTTCCTTTAATTGTAAATTTTTTTATTAAAAAAGATATAAATATATGCTATTAGTTTAGTATGCTATTAAACTTTTTTTACATTTAATCTATTTTATGCCTAACAATTTGTTGTATGTATTTTAGGGGATCTTTGTAAAATGGGGGGTCGTAACTAAAAACTTTTAAAAACATGGAGAATATTGTAGTTTTTGTATTTAATATCGAGTTTTATTTATGTGTTTAACTAATAAGTTAGCTTAGTCTGTATTTGCAACACTTTTGAGAAAAAAAAAGAAAACATTCTTATATATGTAAATCATTGTTTTACATTTTATTATTTTGGTAAAAGGTCTTCATTAAAAACATGATTACTCTTAATAAAAAAAACTCTACTCACCTGGCCACCATTAAAGCAAAAAAAAAGAGAGAAACCTCTTTATTAGTGTCAAAATATTTAGGAAAATTAAATTTCGAGTTACAAAAGGAACTTTTAGTAAATTGTGGCAAATTACCGTTTACTAAAAATTAATGAAATAAAGAGGCAAAACAAATAATATAGAAATGATCTGTGTTGAACAGACTTAACAAGATCCGGGTCGGGTCAGCTTGGTTTACAAATTTTTATGTCTACTTATCTGTTATAATTTTTATTTTAGGTTTGTCATATGATACATTAAGTTTACATATTTTTTCAAATTTGTTATACCCATGTTTGATTGTAAATTAAACTTTTTTTATTTGAAACGTATTTGTACTCAGTTGCTTAGTTATTTCTAATAAACTTAGTTATTTTTAATAAATTATTTAGTTGTGTGAATAATGTTAATCAAATTATGTTAAGTAGTAATTGTAAATTTAAGTAGTAGTTGGTAAATTTTTTTTACCTCCTCATACTTTTTATGTTCATTTTACAGATGGATTAATTTTTTCAAGCTGAAGACATTTTTCTAAAAGGGTATTAGTTAAGGTTTTGCAACATTAAATTGTGGAAAACAGCCACTATAAATTAGAACACTTTGTTATATCTTATATTAATATTGTAGTGTTAGAACACTCACTTTGTTAGAGTTCAGTGTTTTCTACCTAATCCCTGGTAGTACTACGCTCTCTGTTTCTCTGCACATTATCTTGTTTCTCAGCCTTATTTATCAAGGTTTACGTATTCGTGTTAAAGTATTGAAAAATCATAATAAAAGATTTAAAATTAAAAAAAGTCTTTTTAACCCCCTCGGCCTCCAAAAGGTAAAAAAACAATAATAATAACTTTCAACACTTTTTACTCATCATCTTTTGACCAGCACTTCTTAACTAAACTAATGTTTGAAATTTAATGCTTTTAAGGTGCTTCAAGAGTAATCCTAACGGTTTTATCACAGAGCACTGTGAAAGAGAATTTAACAAGAAGTTAATGTCACCTTTCTTACCAATGTCGCTTATCTGGCCAGAGCTTACATAAAATCGTGGACTTCTTGGTTCTGAGCCAAAACTTTAACCACTGTGCGATGCAATTATCTTTATTGGCTAACAATTTTCTTACTTTTAATTCTTTTTCTTTTTCTTTTTTTGTGTGTGAGGTTATTAAGGTGCTCCAAGAAGTCCTTACAGTCTTATCACAGAACACTATCACTAGGAAGTTCACAATTGGGTTAGCGCCTTTTTCTCTTTTTGAAACTAAACTTGTCATCAAACCATTTACTGCTGCACCTTTCTCTACTTCTGCACTGTTTACTAACTCTGGATTAAAAAATATAAAAGCTCTCTGCACTTTTAATTGATAATAGTTACCTTTTAGTTATGTTATGTTTACCTACTAGTTACATTTAAATAGTTACATTAGGATAGAACTATTTGCTTGACCTTCTAATAACTTATGTGCAACTATCGGTTTACATACTTGCAATTTAAACCACATTTTTCACACCTTTTAATATTTATTTATTTTATTTTTGAGTCATGCTATTTCTAATTCAGTAGGACAAAAAACATAATGTTGATAAAAAATTCTTTATTACTGATTTTTTTTCTTCTTTTCTTTCACTATACTCTTCTACACCAAAGCATCCACTTGCTGGTCAATTTGATACCAGAGCATCCACTTGCTGGTTAATTTGACACCAGAGCATCCACTTGCTGCCCAATTTTAATACCTGAGTTTTTTCAACACCTAAACTGTTTATGAAAATCAACTTTTAAAACTATCATAATTTTTTAATTTTTTTATTTATTTCCTATTATAGCAAAAACAAGGAAACTCAAACTTTGTGCAAGTCAATAAACAGTAATTTGCTGACAACTTTAATAATTTCAGTTTCTTTTGGTTTTTTGTTATTTACTTCTACTTTTTTTTTTTGTTTTACTTTTATTTGTAACCTGTAACTTTATTTTTCTTCTCTATAAAAATAAATTATTATTTTGTTATAAACAAATTAAAAAAATAATATGCTTAAAACATGTTGTTATTAATTATTATCAAATTAAACTTAATCATAAATAATAACAATTGTGTTAATTGTAATAATATTTTAAATTATTCTATTTTGAAATTTTTTTTTAAACAACACCTCAACCATCAGAAAAAGATGGAAATGCAAACTTGGATTCACAACAAAAATTACTGAAAAAACAAACAATTCCACTCACAATTTTAGCTTTTTTGATAGCTGGCTCAATGTATGCATCAACTACAGTTAGTTTTTCTATAAAATAAAAGTCATAAACTAAAAGCCATGCAATATAAACCAAAAGCCATGCAATATGAACAATAATTAAGAAATCTCATTACTTTATATTTACATTTTTACCTATAGTAGTATTAAACTTAATAATAGTAGTGTCCACTCATGCGTTTTGATATGGAATAGACTTATTAAAAAAAGAAAAAGGCTTGAGTGCATTTTTTTATTAAAAAATATAAGAAAATTATATAGAAATGAGTTAACTTATGTAAATTTAAAATTATGTTAATGTAAAAATTCTATATATGAAACATATACCTGTAAGAGTAAACATCTGTATGTTAAGTTGAGTTTGGATTGTACTTGTAAGGATTGTGTATGTAATATGTTTAAATAAGTATAATATATAATAATATAATATTTATAATACAAGAAAACTTTTATAACAATTACAAGTCTTTTTTGCTTAAATGGTTTTGCTTTATTTTCTAAAAAAATAGAAAGAATAAATAAAAAATATATATATTCCATTAGGTTGAGGATTAGGAGATTTGGAGACCTTTAATTCTTTGGACAGTGAGCAGCACATTTTCTCATTAAGCTTTTTATTACTACAACATATTTGAATGCAAAAACAAAACTTTATATAAACATTTTATGACAATAGTAATTTAGTTAAATTAAATTTTATCATAAAATTATTTTATTTTTATAACTTAAGACAAATAAATTTTATGATTAAATTTTTTTTTTTTTGTTGTGCCGAGTTCCATTCAAAATTATTATTTTTTTGTTAACTTTAATTTTTTATGTGAAGGTATATCTAAACCAAATAACCTATAATCATCTTGGTGATTATGTTCTATTTATTTTAATTTTTTGATTTAAATAAGTCAATTTTATATTGATTTATGCTTTTCATTTACAATGAGCAAATATTGAATCTCTATTTACAAAAAATAATTGCTATTGATTTTTACAATATTTACAATAAGTAATTGGAAAAATCAATTCCAATTATTTTTACTCTTTAACTAAAAAAATTAATTTTTTTTTATCAATGATTGACAATTGACTCAAAATTCGAAATGGGATTTTTTTGAACTTTTTCCCTGCTGTTATAACAATTTAAAAAAAAATCTTTATAAGAGAAGTTAAGAAGTCATTTTTTAGAGTCAAGAAAAAGTCTTCATGCCATTTACTAAGAGTTATTTAATCATTGTTAAAAATTGTTATAAAGAGCTATTTGATAATTGTTACAAATATTATAAATAAAATGTTATAAATTAAACTGCTAATATTTGCACATTTAATGAATTTTATGCTATTATAAATCAAAAATAGTTCAAAGTAGAATAACCTAAATCTATATAATGTCCTCTTATAGATTTGAATTTTTTGTTGAGAGATTATTGTAGATTATGCGTTGCTCATTTTTGTTGTTAGTACAGAAAATTGTTACAAAAAAAGTCAAATTGATAGTTAGAGTTACTATACTGAACATTCCTGATCAAAAAACCTATTTAACGCTCATTTTTAGTATTTAATTTTTTTTTACAAGAGTTATGCTTTTATATATCAATATGTTAATGTCTATAATCTGTTTTAAATTGTTGACATTATTTGTTGACAATCGGGTTAAAAATCAGGTATCACTTATTTAATCAGGTATCAGAACTTATCACATGATATTATAGCAATCTAACATTTACCTTTGTCATTGTTTCTCAGCAAAAATGTTAAAGTTTTTATCTGAGGATTGTAATTTCAATTATATTGGTTTTTTATACTTTATATAATGACATTCTAAATGTTGCTTCATGTTTAAAATGTTTTAAATGTTTGTTTTTCTAAAAGAAAATTTGTAAATTTTATATAAAAAATTTAGCCTGCAAAAAGAGGGGTAAGAAAGCATTATATATAGGAGCAGGCCTTGTTATGAAATTCTGTTGTGTAACAGAAAAGTGTAACGCAAGTAAATGTAACTTTACTCAATATACATATTTATATCATTAAAAGTTAAACTACACCAGTTGCGTACCATATTTTAATTAAATTTGAAACTGCAGTAAAAATAAATATTTTTAAACTAAAAAATATTGTTATAAAAAATTATCAATGAAATTTAAATATGTTGTTTGAAAAAAATATATATATCCTTATTTTAAAAGACTTATACTTTTTGAAACTTATACTATTCATTTCTTAAAACAATTATAACACACAACATTGTCTTATGTTTGCTTCCTCACAATTAACTTGTGTTTTTTTTAAAAAAAGGGACAATTGTTTATGGGTGAGTTTGAGTTTATGGGTGAGATCAATTTAAAAAAAAAAAACTATCAAATTTTTTTTGTAACATCAACTTGGTTTTAACAAAATTTTCACCTTTTAATCATAAATTAGTTAATCATTTCTAATTGACGTTCTATGATCAATCTAAAAAATTATTTATAATGAAAATGTTTTTGTTAAAAAACAATTTCAAAACAAACAAAAAATCATCTTTTCATAAATTTGTTATATAAAATTTACTAAAAATATTTTTAGAGGCTTGATTGTGGTTTACCCAGCAATGCATTTATATATAGTTATAAATGCATTAAGCACTTTTGTATACAAGCTCTTTCGTTACAGGATGAAAAAAATTTATTGATTTGAAACTATAAATAAATAAACAAAATAGTTGGATATAAAACAAACATAAAAAAGTAACTTGCATTAATTTGATAAAAAGAATTTTCTTTTCTTTAATTATATATTATAATAGTTAAGAAATTTTAAAAGTAAAAAAAAAAACCCTGTAAAACAGAGTGTTTTAAATTTAATAAAAAAATTTAATTTAATTTAATTAAATAAAGTTAAATTCATGAATACTTAATAATAAATTTAACTTAAGTATAATAAAATAAATTCAAAATTAAATATTTTAAAAAACGAAAAATAGAAAAAAATTAATTAATTAGAAAAAAACTGTTTTTTTTTTTTATCAAAAAACCGCACAACTGCAGTGAAAATAATTTTCACAACAATTAATTACTGCTTATTGTTTTCAAACAAATTATTTCAGATCATTTTTCATAAAACTGTTTTTATCCTATTGAAATTCAAAAGACTGATTAAATCCAATTGAAAAATAATTTTGCTTAATGATTTTAAAACTGTTTAAATTCAATTGAAAAAAGATTTTTGCATAATATTTAGTGTTAGGGTTGTATTTAAAACTTCAAAAAAAATTGCTTGGTATTGTAAAATCTTTAAGTAAACTTACAAAATTTTATATTTAAAATTCTTATTCTGTATTAACAAAGTTTGTGAATCACTTTAAGAGAGGCAGAGCTAGGTAAATATGATCTAGGTCTGACCTTGAAATAAAAAGAACTGATGCCTAAGAAAGAAAATATGCCTTTAAAATATTACAAAGAATAACAACATAGAGTGTTTAATGTTAATGTCGCTCAAGAATGAGAAGAGTACAAAGGGTGAACTTTTTACAAGGTACAAGAAATTGAGGGTAAATGAAGAGAATAAATAAGATATTTTACATCTTAAATCAAATCAAATATAAAAATACCTTGTCCCCATATTGAATGAATTTGTTTGTTTCTTTCCTTTTTTGCTTGTTCTTCTTCTTTTTTTGCCTCTATATCTTGCTTTCGCTTTTGTCTTTCTTTTTGAGAAACATAGGTTTCTTCATCATCATCTTCTTCTTCATCATTTTCTGCAACTTTTTTTTTTACACCTAATGTAAAAGTTACTTGTTACTGCACAAATTCAAAAAAATTTAATGTTGCTGACTCCACATTGTTTAGACAGCTTTCAATTATGCTGTTTCCCTACTTATATATGACTTTATGGTAAAATTATATAAACTTTTAACTAGATTTCATTCCTGCTAATAAATTTTTGTTTCAAAACCACCACAGAGAAGATTATCTTTCAAGCACCATAAGCTTTATTTACCCTGACCCACAATTCAATTGAAGTTATATTTAAAGTTTTTTTTTCTGCTAAGTAAATTGTTGTTTTTGTATTTAATTGATTTTTAAAATTAAAATTTTACAATACAAAAGTTCTAAATAAGCATTCATTACTTTTATTATTAGTTGTTTATTTAGTTTAATATAAAATAAAGTTTTGAAATTTATGAAGTAGATTTAAATAAGTTATATAAAAGAATGTATAGAAAATTTTTAAAACTACCTACATTTTAGACTAAAAATTACATTTAAATAAAGTTTGTGTACAGAATGTATTTTACAGTTTGTGTAAAGTACTGAAAGATTTTTTAACAATGTAACATTTTGCAGTTAAAGAAACCAAAAAATAGACAATAAAATTTATAGTCTTTAAATTTATTCTCAAAAATGTAATTATCATTGTAACTAAAATAAAAACACAAAGTAATTTTTATAAAAATAAAATAAAATAATAATTGCATAATAAACTACAATATTTTTTAAAAGACACGGCTGCTGAAACAACAAAAAAATGGACTTACTGATAAAAATAAAATTATTACACTCTAAATTATTGTAAAATAACTTTTTTTTTATGCAATGAATTACATATTTTATATATCAATTACTTGAACATATTATTCACTTTTATTGTGGAACTTTTAATTGTTGTAATAATTCTTAAATTGCCTGCATTCCTAATACAATAAGAAAATAAAAAAGTTTTTTCATAAATATTTTATATCTCTCTGTCAAATTTTTTATCAAATAAGTAATGTTGTTAATAAATAAATGGATAGCTAATGTGTAAACCCAAAGACAATGCTTGATTAAAGAATTTTTCAAAGCGTAATAAATGACACTTATGTACATATTCTTGTAAAATTAATGTTGCAAACATATGCTTGTAATAAGTATAAAACCAAACTTTGTTTTTAATAACCAATTTTTTTAATGACACATAGCTTGCGCTAAAACCAAAAGCTCTCGTAAGAAGCTATTTAGAGGAGCAGCACACATGACTTGCCATGTTTGTTTTAGGAGAGCTTTTCTCTGCTCTTGCACTTATTTATTCCTGCCAAGGCCTGTAATTGTAATAATTGTATATAATATATAATAATTATATATGCCTGTAATAATTATATATGTAGTGTAGTTATATATATATATATATATATATATATATATATATATATATATATATATATATATATATATATATATATATATATATATATATATATATATATATATATATATATATATATATATATAAATATCACTCTCACAAAGATGTATGCAAGCACTAATACATTGAGGCAATCTTGTTTCTGAACAAATTGATTGAACTTGAATTAATTATATCTTGTATCAAAGTGTTCCAATAATTTTATATTCTGTTTGTAAATAAGTTGTGTCTGATTGCTTCATTCTTTAAACCTTTGTTTGATATTTCTCTTCTAACTCTCATATTATGCCTTCTTGTAGTTGTTACAATATGATTGATGGGGCTGTAAAAATTTACTTTACCGAATCCTTTGGATATTTTTAACATTTAAATTAGATCTAATCTTATTCTTCTATTTTCTAACATTTCAATTTTTAGATAAATAATCCTTTTTTCATACAATAAACCCTTTAAACTCTCCATTTTTGTTGTATTTTTTCAATTTCATCAATTTTATCTTTTCTAAAAGGGTTCCATATTCCTGCACCATATTCGAGAGGAGGCCGTACTAATGTTTTATATAAAAGTTTTACTGATCTTTCATTAAAGTAATTAAACAAGTGCTTATTAATTCAAGCCAAGTTGTTTATTTGGTTTATTTGTTGCATTGTTAATTTGAGGTTTCCAGTTTAGGTCATTTGTGATGGTTATATCGTGATCAATTTTTAATAGCGTAATGTAATGTTTATACTGAGATCAATTTCTAAGAGTTTTTAATAGCGTAAAATCATTTAGTTCATAATCACTTTTTCGATTACTTTTACAAAAATGCATTATTTTGCATTTATTTTCGTTAAATTTAATTGACCATTCATTTCACCACTTAATTCATCTAAATCATTTTGAAAATTTTTATTGTCCTCTTGATTTTTTATAACAAAAATCACTTTTGTATCATCAGCAAAGAGCTTTGGATCATTCCATGCCAAGTAAACCATAATCCAACATGGACCCCCTGAGATTTTGATGAAACTTGGTGGTTTAGTTTATATCAATATTAAAAACAATTTCTAAATATTTCAGCTTACAATTTTTTTGTGGTTCATGAGATATTGCCATTTGAAATTTCTGACTTTTCCAAAAATTAACTCCGTTAGCAAAAACATGTTTTGTTCATACTTTGAAGCTCTGTATTTAAAAAATAAAATTTCAGAAAACCTTCTAGATTTTTTTATTATATACAACTGTAGGCTTACTTTGTTAAAACCTTGATATTGAATATTTTAATGTCACATTTTATCCATAATGGCTGCCTAAAAAACCTAAAGAATTGTTTGCATATAAAAAGAATTGTTTGCATATAAAAAGTTGATTTTTGATGGGTCAATATACAAAATTAGCAACTTAAGAAGTGAAAAGACAAATCTTTTTAGTTTCTATATAAGGTAGGCTTCATAATTTTTTAAAAATTGCTGATAAGATACGATTCAGTAAGAAATAATGGACTCCTAAAAATGGCCCCGGGGAACACTTTAAAAATTGTGCCTTCCCTTTAAGCCACTGGTAACCTAGGATCAACACTGATTTTTATAATAAATTTTTTTTACTGATTTAACAAACTTAAATAAAATGAATTCAGAAAAAAAATTAGTGGGTACTCATGGGGAAGTGAGAGTCAGAGCAATGAAGTTAGCACAAAATGCAATAAAAAAGATAAAAATATAGATATTAATGTACTTTAGTTTTCATTATCTACTGCAATGCAAAAATATATATATATAAGTATATCATAATCATTACTAGAAATAAGCTATAAACTAAAACCTAATTAAACTCAGTTTTTAAATAACCTTAGTTGCCTTCCCTCCCCTTGCCCATTTACTTTTTAACACGCATATTTTTGCACAGAACATATTACAGGAAGAACTTTTTTTCTTAATTTTATTAATTATTGAACAAACAAATAAAAAAATGATTGGGAGCAGGAAAGGAGAAGAGGCAAGTGGAATCGTATAGTTCTACTGCATTGTTGAAATATTTACACACATTGTTGAAATATTTAAACACATTGTTGAATGACACCCGTCTCATCTGTAAAGTCGTTAATGATTTTGGTATAAAACAATAATGGTTTCTTGTTCCTGGAATTGTTGAACAAGTAGCATAACTTTCTTCTAATTTCAAATTTATGCAATGTAATGTAACTGTATCATTTGAAATGTATTGAAAATGTATTCCTTTAATATTTTGTCACACTAATCATACATATTCTCAGATGAATTGATAGGATCAGTTAGTGATTGTTAACTAGCCCTTGCTACAATTCTTTTGACAGTATCCCCAACACCATCACAAGCACTCTTTCCATGCGATGTAGCAAAAAAATACCATTCAGATACCTCATGATTATGTTCATGGTGACATAGGTTAGATATGTTTTTATAATTTTTGTATTGTGAACTTGCACCATTACTAAAATAAATGCAATGGTTAAAGTAGGCTATCAACTCTTTTAAATGTTTTAATACATGAATGAAACAATGAACTGAGTTTGTATTTTGTTGCTAAAGATCTGAGATGATGCAAATACTCTTACATTTTATCTTATTTTCTTATATAAAGTAAATAACAAAAGGATGCAATGTTGCATGGCTGTTATTCCAATGGAAACCTTGTACTGCATCTTGAATTAAAAAACTGTAATTTTCAACAAAGTCTAGTAATATTAAAATATGATTACTTGGTAATGTGATTTTTAGATGCTGCAAATATGCTGCTTGAATTTTGGCTATATAGTGTTGATCTCTAACTGGTTTATTTGTTGACAAGCTTTTTCGATAAAATCACCCACTTGAAGAGTTACTGGAACTATATCATGTTTTTTGTCACTGATAATATGTGATATTTCAATGCTATGTTTATCAAATATAGTAGTAAGATAGTCATTAAGTGTGTCAGCATCTGGGCAATTATCACAACTGTGCAGCATGCAGTCTCGATTTGTTAAGTTACATACAACTAATGTCAAAAGTTTTTATATTCTAAAATATCTGGTACAATTAATGCTAAAAGTTTGGCATTCTGGTGGTATTCACAAATGCATACTGAGTGGAGACCTGAAGCACCTCCAACAGGAATACACCACTTTGGTCTAAATTGAGACATACTGCTTTTTCCCCGGACACATTTGAGAGTATTTATCTGATTGGTAGAATTCATGAACTTGATTTTTTACTTTATCACTAATAGGTCTTCCTACTTTTAGGTCACTAATTGGTCTTCCTGTCATTATGCCATGTATTTGTTTTAAATGTCTTGCAGTTTTTATCATTCTTTGGGTAGCAGAAAAATAGTTTTGTGTATAGTCAATTTTCCAACTCTCAGGAACCAAAGTTAGTAATTTAATATTTTCTGATTTTGAAGAAATATCAAACTTTGCTTTAATTAATTCCATTAGTGAGTCCAAGTCTTATTTACTGTTACAACATAGCTCTTTTGTTTTTGGTTTATTATTTATTAAATTGGGAGAAACTTCTAAAACAGTTACTATTTTCTTTTTGGTAGCAGTATGGATCTTGATCATCTTTTTGATTTTGCATAGTTGACCCTGTCTTT